GCGTCGTTACAACAGACACGGGCCACAGTGATGCCACATGCACCACTTCGGACGTGCGCGCAAGGTTGAATGCCGCTCGGCAGACGATGTAAAGAGAGGAGTGAGCTTGTGGAGCAGTGCCGGGCCGCGTGGGATGGTGGCAGCCTGGAGAGGCCTATATCCAGGGGGGAATAGAGGATGGCTGTTGATGCTGCTGCTGATGATCTTACAGATAAAAGGGAATTCACTTTCAGTTACAATTTTTATCAGTATTTTGGTGTTCTTATCAGTCTAACTCATTTATCTCCTTTCTTTCGAACCAGGGGTGGTGCCACAGGGGGGGCTGGGGGGGGGGCTCAGCCCCCCCCTGAAATTTTGGGAAAGTCGGTAATCGGGATAACCGGATATCCGGCTGCTGCAAAATTATGCAGGCTGCCACCTTGTGCTGCCCTGCAGGCTGCCACCTTGTGCTGCCCTGCAGGCTGCCACCTTGTGTGCTGCCCTGCAGGCTGCCACCTCGTGCTGCCCTGCAGGCTGCCACCTTGTGCTGCCCTGCAGGCTGCTTGAGCGGCAGCCTTTCGAACTTATCGAACTTATTAGCCACATCAGCAGCTCCGACCTATTAATAAACTCCGCGTTCAAATCCAATAAAATTAGTTTTATACATTTGTGGCGCAAATTGTACAACATACACTGGATATCTCAGAATATTGAAGTCAGCCCCCCCAACGTCAAAATCTTGGCCCCGCCCCTGTCCTTCCCCCCCCGCACCTCCGATTAGCACGTTTGGCTACGTCCAGTGTGAAAGATCAGAGATTTGTTCACGAGGCAATTCAGATCTACAAACACAGACACAATTTCAACCGAGAAGATGGTTTCAAATTAAGCAACCATTGGAAAGATGTTCTAAATCGAACTAAACATTAAACTAATTTCAATGGTACAGTATATTTTTCAAGTAGTGGTACCCCAAACTTTCGCAGCTCTTATGAATTCCCTTTTCACACCATCAATAGGTAAACTCCCCCCCCCCCCGCGCCAAACGGCAAGTCTACCGGCACGTACACCACCTCTTTTCTAAAATCGGCCAATCAAATGCTAATTTTTATGCTAATTTATTTCTCAGGACACCTTGTTTGCTCGCACACAGTTTAAAGGTCCGCGGTCTGAGCGTGGTTGTGTTTCGCTAAATTCTCCTGTTTGATTTGTACTAGGTGCCTCGGTGAATGTATATGCTCTGACTTTAACATAGCTATTTCTGTGACCAGTTACAAGCTAATCACTCAGCTATTTCAATGCTAAATTCTATGCTAATTCCTTTGTCAAGGGGTGCCTCTGCGGATGTGTATACTTTAACTTAGCTATTTCAATGAGCCATTTCAATGCTAAATTATATGCTAATTCCTTTGTCAAGGCGCTTTGTTTCTTCTCACACAGCTTAAAGGTCGTGATCTGAGCGTGGCTTTTTTCACTCCAGCGCTGTCCTCCAGACACTCTCGTCCCTTCACCTGATGAAGGCCGCTTGTGTTGTGGCCGAAACGTCGTGATTTTTGTTATTTTATTTTTTACCTACGTGACTTTGCCCAATAGAACCAAAGAGTAAAGTTCAACATAGTATGACCTTAGTATTCTACAGAGTACATTTTGCAAGCACGTACAAATTGAACTCAGTGTTCATGCAATTACAAGCCTTAACAGTGTTAGTTCAGAGTTAAAATGCACAAAACAAACAAGATAGCCGTATGAGCCGCTTCATTCAGTGCACGGGCATTAAGAGAGGGCCAATGGTATGCGTGTTGTTGTCACGCCCATACACATACAAAACTAAAGGTCAATAAAGTAAAGATAAATAACACAGGGGGGTTTATTTTCTGGATGATATAACCAGCTGTACGTGCAAGCCAGTCGCGACTGGGTGGCACAGGTGGTGTATCACTCGTGCCTCACAGCTGTAAGGGCCTGGGTTCGTTTCTAAAACTCTGGTGCCTTTCCGTGTGGAAGTTTTGCATGTTCTCCACCTGCTCTTGCATGGGTTTTCCCACGGCTTCTTCCAGTTTTCACCCATAGCTCAAAACGTAGAGTATAACTGGTATTGTGTGTATGTACGTTGATCTTCTTTCGCACCGCACGTAGCCGACCGTGCTGATCGGAGGTATTGGCCAAGCATCCCAATGCTGAGAATGTACCTGTCAACTGCTGAAATGGGATCACGCAAAGCAGCGACACGGCCTCCACTGGTGAAAACTTGATGGGACCCTCCTTAGAAAGAGCCTTGAGACTCAGTGAGGTTTTTCCTCGTAAACAACTTGAAAATAATAATGACAAAAAAACACTTTTGCTGCTTAATGATACCTATCTTGATCATAGCTCATTGGCTAAATAAAAACTTGAACGCAAAACCCGTAGAAAACAACATGTTTTTTGTGATACTGCGTTGGCAGTGATACATAAACACAAGTAAAACAAAACTCGACACATTCGTAAATAATAATACTGCCCTAAAAGGGAAAAACATTTTTTTATAGGCGACACTTAGGGCAATTGACTCTGCTATCTTCATAGCTATCTTCATAGCAGCAGAGAGATATATCTCTACTACGAAAAAGGGCCATTGCTCACATCACCATCTATATTTTGTTCCTTATAAGCCAGTATTTTTGACTCATAAAAACCTCACGTTTAAAATCGAACGCCTATCAATGGATACACTCTTGTTGTGATAAACAAAATGCAGGAAATTTACTGGCACTATTGCATGGGTAGCAGCATTTAGGAATGGGCCGATAACCAAATATGTAACCGCAGTGCCCCACTCCGCTAAGGCAAGTGCAGGCGAGTGCAATTACTCCTGCTCAGGGCTGATGACGTTGCAGAGTATTAATTGTGTAATCCATGTGCAAACTCTCGACTGATTTTTTTTTTAGCTTTGGCAAGAGCCTTCAGCAAAGTGCGATGCGGGCGATAAAACTCCAAGCCAGATATCAAATTGGGTGTACAGTCGTTCTTCTCTGCCCTCGCTTTAAAGCAAACAGCCGTTTAAACGGCGCCTGCTTTAAACATTGCAGCGACACAGTCTGTATGTGCCCTGTATACTTTTTTTTATATAAACACACTGAGATTTCATTCAGTTTTCCAGAAGCTCTGGGTCGATTATTTATAGATTGCTACTAAAAGAGTGGCACAATTCCAGCGCTGGTACTGCCAGAGGAATGTGGCAGGAGCGTCGCAGCATAAGTCGCACACAGCAGAGCGCCAGATGTCACGTGCGGCGACTTACCATTACAACATTTTCTAAAACGTTTCACGTTTGATATTAGAAACTGCGTGTCTCATGCTAGGATCAGGCGGTGCAACGGACACGGGGGGAGTCTGCTTCCCACTCGCATTGCATGTCAAATGTTATTTGGTAACGATGCCGGGAATTTCTGTGGTGGAGGAATATTGTCACTCAACCGATGGAAAGGAGGAACACTTCACCCGGCTTGTTTCACTGGGTCCATTTCGTCAGGCTATTTTAACTGGGCTAGTTTCAACAGGCTCATTTCACTGGGCTAGCTTAACCAGGCAAGTTTAACTGGGCTAGTGTAACTGGGCTAGTTTCAATGGACTTGTTTCACCAGGCTGGTTTCACAACGCGAGTTTAACCAGGTTAATTTAAATCATGCTTGTTTAACTGGGCTTGTTTTCACGGACTCTTTTCACTGGACTCTTTTCACCAGATTAGTTTCACTGGGCGCGTTTTTTCAGGCTAGTTTCGTTGCGTTACTTTCACCAGCCTAGTGTCACGAAGCTACTTTTGTCGGGCTCGTTTTGTCAGGCTAGTTTCATAGGGCTAGTTTCACCGGACGAGTTTTTTTTCCGGGCGAGTTTCACTGAGACGGTTTTCCCACGTAGCTGGATCGACAGCATTTCCCATTGCACGGGGAGAGGTCTCTGGGTTCTCACCCGGAAGGTCACGCATGTAGAACGAAGTAATCGGGCACGACCAATACGAATCCCTGAGGGAATTTTTTAAGTACAACATTTTATTAATTTTCAATGAACGAACGTTTTTATTTAGAACGAGCAAGACTTGCATTTCAACTTCAAGAGCACATTGAGATATAAGAGCATTGCTTTACCAATGCTGCCCACGCTGAGCTAATTATTTGATTTTAATGTATCCTCCTGTGATGATTATGCTATTGAGCCAAATGAACAAATCCATAAGACAAGGACATAGGAATTTTAGCAACCAAGAGGCCCGTACATGGTTGGAATTCTCTTTATTTTGATGTTTAATAATTCCCCAAGAAGATATTTACGCTGTGCACCTGATCATCATTCTCATCATCAGCCAATGTCATTCCACTGCTGGATGACGGCCTCCACAAGCTGCTACCACCTCTCACGATCCTGTGATGTAATAATCCGCCAGACACTTCGAAACAAACTGATGTTTCCTTTTGCGTAATTGAAACCAGGGCACAAATGTTAATTGTTGTCATTGCAGTAGCTGCCTGGAATCAATTAGATGGAATTGCAGGGTCCAAAGGTGCCTTTGGGAGATTATGTGGAGAAAGAAGCCATGAAGGCATGCATACATGCAGTACTGAGCTTGTGACATCCACACTGCGGAATTCACGTGCCTGTGTCACTAAAGGTCAGTGCACGCACTGACCAACTGCGTCTGGGTGTAGGTGGTGTGAGTGGTGTTGTGGCTCGGGCAATGACGTTGCTCTGTGATGATGTGCCACTCGAGCAGACACACACTTTGATATAACATAGGCTAACGTGTAAACGTGGTGGGCTGTGTGAGACCGATTTTAACATTACGCCCTGCAGCGAAGCGAGACATCGGTGCTTGTAGAGATAAACTGCAATATCTGCATGGACAGGTTGAACGTTTCTTTTCTTCACGAAAAAAAATACATTAAAGCTGCAGGAATACTCCGATTTATGTCTCCTCCTCCTCAACCCAACACACGTCACGTCACTGACAGCATCGTCCGTCCTTTCTCGCTCGCCATCACTTCTCAGCCTTCTTCTCCACCACCACCACCACCACCCACTACTACTACCCTGTACATCGCTTTAATTGACATCGTTTCGATATTCGTCATTGCCCCTTTACAGGAACGCATCTCCCCTCCGTAAACCGGGTTTATTACTGTACTGTACTTGTAATTAATTTCACAAAGTTGTCTGTGAAAGTATACTAACTTTCACGACGTTGCTTTCTATTGTCGTGTATACATGTGCTTTTCACGTCGTAGACTTTAATAAAAGAAAAAACTCAAGAAACTCGTCAATAAGAGTGCCCTAAAGAGGAATAAACATAATAGGCAACGTTTATAGCAATAGTCCTTCGTAATGGTACAGTTTGTGCTCACCGGTTTCGTGCATGCTCACTCAGTCTTCAGTTGCACCCATTATCTTTCTTTGGCAACCTGTCCTCGAGTAAGTCATGAAGATTTCCGTCATCCGTTAAGCGGTTGGACGTGGGTGGGTTCCACGTACCGGTGTTTGGTAGCGTAAGCTCCCCGAGAGGCCTTGTTTGAGTGTGCTTGCTGACATGTCACCATGCACACATCGCTCGTCAGCCCATGCATGGCACTCCGACGATTCAAGGCGTCTGCCTCAGTGGCGGCACGAGGCAGAAGTCTAGAAAAAGCGTCAGGCCCCAAGCAGCGCAAGGGGCCTTGGATTATTGAAAAAAATAGAGGCACATCAAATGCCAGCTCAAATTCAAGTAATAATAAGCGTAACAAGCTAATAAGTGCAGTATATAAAAGTCCATCTCTATTTTTGTCGACATGTCTCTTTTTTCACATCTTTACTTCCTTTCTGTTTCTCTTTTGTCTTCTCACTAGTTTGTTTTTATTGAGATCAGCTCGCACCCCCACTGGTCTAATTCTGCGTGCGTGCACATCGGGTTTCATCGATAGGTGGATTACCTTTAAGAAGTTTTTTCAAAAAATATATAGATATAATTGAGCATCGAGTAGATGAGTCCTCTTTTGCAAGCGCCATTGTTCCACTCAAGGTGGAGACAAAGCTGGTGGTGTAATATTTATGTATTTACCTTCTAGATACACGTGGTTAGAAGTTGTGGTTGGGACAAGGTTACAGGGCAAAATTAATGATAAGTGCGGTATTCCGCATTGCCAATTGGTGGTTGTACAGTATTGCTAAATAAAGACTTTCGAATTGATTGTGCACTAATTGCACTTTGTACTCTGTGGCCAAATATTAAATATCTAATAGGATGTTTAATAAAATTCAAGTGTGAAGCCGAATATAATTGTTACTTGTTTTTTTTCGATAAGCTGGCAAATGTTAATTTTCATTTGTCTGACTCCATCTCTGTTTCTCTATCACCTTCTGTCTCTGTGTCTACCTCCCTATGTCTCTATATCTCTATGGATCTGTCTCTCAATGCCTCTGTTTCTTTCTCTGACCCTCTGCTGTTCTGTCTCGCTGTCCGTCTTTCTTTCCCTGTCACTCTGGATTCGTCTGTTTCTCTCATCTATTTTTGTGTCTTATCACTTCCTAACAATATCTTCATTGTTGGGGTTTTTGTCGTCTTCTCAGCTCCCTCTTTCAGTTCCCTCCCCGTATGTTTCTCTTGTTGCAATTAAGCTGAATACTAAAATACACATAGCATTCCTTCAGATTCAAAGGCAGGCTAATGATTCAGCGTCAAATCAAAACTGCTGTACCCGTGTGTGTGTGATTATCAGAATGCTTTTTTCCCTTTCTCTGCGTCAGTTCAATCACAAGTTATTTACAGAGCCGGCACTATTTTTATGAATACATTTGACCTAAATGTATAATGATTTTTTACACTTGAGATTACACCATGTGAAGGCTGTGTCGAGGCCTGGTTGATGTATACACAGCTCTTCCATGCTCATAGAGTTTGTTCTTGGTATTACATAATCTTTGGGATTTTTTTGCATCAAATCTCAGCATGAACGTAGAATTGCCTGTTGTTCGTGTTGTGGGAAATGCACCCCGAAACATTTCTTATGAAGGCAAAGTGAACTTAGTGGAATACAAAGTATTGTACTGTACTAAGGAGACCTGGGTAACATTCATTCCCAATTGCTCCCAAAGGCAACTAGTGATTGCTTCAACATCACACGGAGAAATAATAGTTTAATTCAAATATTTTTTGTTCCACTTCGAGTGACTTCACATGAGTAAAATGGAGCTTTTTTTCGGGGAAAAAAAATCTATGCTGCGTGCCAAATAAATATCCACTTTGCTCAGAACCCGTGCTTCCTTTCCCATTTTGTTCAAATGTGACTGCCACTGTCTGAGTACAGTAGGGTTTGTCAGATATAATTCTCTGGCATCCTAAGCGTTCCCCTGTCGCTGCCCTCTTAATTAAACGCCGTGTAGCTACACAACAGGCTCCGGCATTGGTCGTGTTACGCAGTTGCGCGCTGTGTTGCCAGTGCTACATTTCCACAGAAACTTTCCACCAATTCCATTTCCAAAAATAAGCACGGACAAATGATCCTGCTACGAATAAACCACATCCATCGGGGCACGCACACATACGCACGTATTGTATGTGAGTGTTTTGCATGGGAGATCCGGGCTCAAAACCAACATGCAAGCCTGGAATCTGGACAGATCCGCCACCCCTTTGCCCGGCCGCTGCTGCAATAGCAGCAGCAGCCTGCGGTATTTATAGATGCGATCTGGAGCGAGAGAGGAGCAGAGTCGCCGCTCTGAACAAACGCGCCTCTGTTGATCGCGTGTCACCTGGGTGCGCTTGCGCACGCAATGGAAGTGCGTAAGAAAAAAAGGTACCTGTTGGAAACGGTAAGCCGTCTCTCTTTTTTGTTTGTTTGCCCCTTATTTTATAAACGCGAATTATTTTTTCTTCGAACCGTCCGTTTATAACGCCAGGGTTTGTACAGTGTGCCCTGTTGGAATGTGGGCGCGTTGTTCGTGATGAGTTTAACGAGACACGTGTACCGAGGGCCCCCCTTGTGCCTTCACTGGGACACTCTCTCGGTGCGCTCCCACGGGCTGCGTGAGTGCCGTGCGCCGCGCGTTCTCGTCGACGTGGAACGGATTAACGAGCCCGTTTCTGTTCGTGAGATGTCTTGTGCTTGGCTGCTTTCGGGGAGAGACCATTCCTTCGCAATTATGCAATTGCCTATATATTTGAATGCGCATTGTGTGCTTGTTGTGTAACCTGCCCCATGAACTTTGTAGCTGTCACCCAATTCGTTTGAAAAATTTTGGAGCTAACTGCTGAAAGTAAAATATATCCCGTGACATTTGCGCTGGCATAATGCTTTGCGTGGCTCATGGAAATGTACCGTGTCAACAACCGGTATGTTCACCCTGAGTTTGTGTACTCTTTAGCAACAGGTTAACTGAATTGTTTAACAGCGCAAATGCTTTGTGTGGCCTTTGTAAATAATTGGTGTGGTCGTGTTTATGCTCCGTCCCCTTGATTTGGTTGCACAAATTCAGCCTGCCTTTGCCAAACCAATGCCTTCAGACGTGCGTGCATGCGTTACGTAGTTTGTGTACGCATGCACATCGGTGTACACACACTCAGCGACCCGAGTTTGATACACGCTCACGTCTACCAACACTAGTGACGATTAACTGAACAGGTCCTGGGCCTTCCCTAGGTCGACTCAGCCTCAAATACGTTCCTGGTGCGATGTGAAAAAAACATCTCAATGAGGGAGACAAAGGCGGCCGGGCGTGGTGCTGGCCACCCACCCCCTCGTGTGCCGTGCAGGCCTTCATAGGTGCTTAGCTTACAGCACTTGCCCCTATAGTAGCTTGAGGCTATATGAGGGATCTTTGTCTTGCACGTATTGATAGGTGCCCACTGACAGAATCTGTTGACATTGCCTCAATGGGAAATCCTTGCTTTTGTGGAGGTAAAACTGTAATGTCAGCGTGCCACTTCTTCGGGCGTACAGTTGTTTTTTTGTTCAATAGCAACCCAAGTCCATACCCAAGTCTGATGGGAAAAGACCAGGCTCAGGGAAAGCTGTGAACAGATGTCTTCGAGGCGTCCGCTGAACTTTCCCGGTTCACAATGGCTCACAGTGTGGCCCACAGTAGGGTCATCCAGGATTTCAAATTGATCAACTAGGGTACCGATATGAACATGTAAATTGAATATCTCTCAATGTTGGCTACAAATACGATGGGGTTTTTTTGGTAGTCCTCGGTTTTAGACTGCAGGTTGGCGCAGTGGATGCGAGGCGGACTGCGAGGCTAAAACAAGCTGGCAAGCCAGTCCATTTGGGTGGCCTCATTTTTATGGTTTGGGAATTCAACTGTGGAGAGAAATTGTGTGCAGGATGAGAGACCACACGAGCGCACGTACTGTACGCAAACGGCCGCGCGCATTAGACACGTGAGGCTACCCCACGTGCATGCGTGCCAAATGCGTGAGCTGATTCAGAATCAGAATATTTATTTATCCTTGAGGAATTTGAACAGCTATAAAGCTCTTTTTCACAGATGTCCAGTAGGGGCACAGGATAAGAACGCCACAACAACAAACAGTACAACAACACGTGATAGTAGTGCAAAGTACAAGAAAGGTCAACAAATCACCCAAACACACAAACACATTCAACTAAACCATCCCCATCCTACCAGGCAAAGCCCACTGAGGTATTAGCTTTTTTTTCATAGGCGACCTGGCCACAAATGATAACAGCTCAACAAAGTGACCTCATCATTTGGACATTTATAGCGGCAAAATAATCGAAATAATCTCAATGCATTTATATAAATGTGGAGGGAAAAGCCAGAGGATCCGGAGGAAAATCCACGTGACCACGGGGAGAGACACGCAAACTCCAAATATACAGGTGTCAGAATTTGGATCGAACCCCCGCACTCCTGCACACCAGGCGAGGAAGATGACATCTCACCACTGTGGCGCCCCTTTAATAAATAAAGTAAATAAGTTCAAATTGCATTGTCAATTCCCAAGCTTCGGAAAGGCAGTAAAAGTGCAGCAAAAACACTCCCAGACCACACAATTGGGTGAACAACATGATTGGGTGAAAACATAACGCAATGTATTTTTTAAATATATACGGTATAAAACGCGTTTTTTAGAGTATTCTATTGTTAATGTTGCTCAAAAACGAAGCAGATACATCTGGGTATCGGAACAGTTGAGATTTGTCGTTTCTATGAAAAATTTGTGAATTGTCCTCGGATGGACGGGGAGAGATTGAATGATGGACATAATATTTTCTGTGCACGGAAATACGCAGTCGCTCACCTACATTGAAAGTGGTTAATTAACTCCCGCCTGATTAACGTGCTGCATCGTAGAAATAACTTGTATAGTTATTTACAGATGCCAAAAATAGCATCAGAAATTACATTTATGTGAGAAAAGAGTACATTTGGCTTTCCAACAGGTGTCAGTATCTGTTTGTATGACTCATCAATATACTAAACAATAATTTGCTTATGGTGCAAGCAAGATATTTAAATAAACATTTCTCAATTGGCCATCATGTTTCGCATGGAGCTTTTCATGTTGCTGTCGCCTATTACCGATCACCGTTTTGAATTTCTCGTCATAAGTGGTGGGCGCATTGCTTAGTGATGAATATGCTGCCAGGGCAAATGCAGACGATAAGTTTGGCGGTAGAAAAGTATGAGAGAGCACCACTACATCATCCGCTCAGGGATAACGATAACTTACCGTGCTTGACTTTCCTTTGACATAATGGGCATGTTGATGCACTGTGTTCCTGTCTGGGATGCAGGCATTTTATTATTATTATTACATGACTTAGGCGATGCGTTACCCATCAACAAAACGTGTCCCTCTTAATTGTTGTGAATGCAGGCACAAATTATTTTTGTAGCTCGCTTTCTCCATGAACTAAACCCACGAAGTCAATGTATGGCATTTGACTGCGAAATCATCGTGTTTTTTTTCCACCGGGAGTGAGACTGCCTTCTAAACCCAACGTGGCTCTTTATCTCAGTGTCCAGCTCTGAAATAATGTGGTACCAGTCTATCGCGCCGAGGCTGTGGAAGGCATGCAGTTGGAAGGCGGTGGAAATAAAATAAAAAGAGCCCGTGTCCTTTGTGCAATCCGTGTGATCGTACAGGATTTTGACATCAGCTCTCAATTTTAGCCTTAGCTTTGAAGAGAAGGCTGCTCAGACGGGGTAGTGCAGAGCCTGGGAACAGATGTTCTCTTGGTAAAAACTTCAGGTGCCATCATCAGTCATCTCGCAGGCGTCTGTAAGACATGTGAACGCAACACGATCTCACACGGAGCTCGGGGGGGGCCCGTCTTTTTTGGTGCAAGGTTAAAAAAGTTATCGTTTTTACCTCTTATCTCCTTGTTAAAGTGACGTTGGGCGACATCAAACAGTTGCTTTAATGTTCGTCTTCACTCTAATTCTTGATTTGTTATAAGCGCCCACTCTACTAGATATGAAATGTGATCACGTAATGTCAGCGTGATGTCTTTATTCCCCTTAAAAGGTCAATGTCAAGTACTACCTTTCGCATCGAGAAAAATAATCAGTTTTAAAATCATATTACAATATTTTTTTATCACCCTAGTTATGCATGTTGAAGTAGTACGCTACACATTTTAATATCATACACGGTTTTCCGGTATAGCTGCATAAAGAAAATGTGCTGTGCGATACGTAATTTTTTTTATGAATGATGGAAGATGTGTTTTTAACATTTTTTATTCTGAGTTCGTGATTTTATGTATTGGCTTCACGTAATTCAATTCAATATTATTACCGTTTTCAATTGGATTGAAAACAGTGTTGGCTTATGCGTAGCAATTGCAAGTATTAAGACCCATTGTATTGGTTCATATCAATGTATTTGTGCCTAAGGGATGATTGTTTCATACCTCCAGTACTTTATTTCTTGTCTATTTGTTCCTCTATGGAAATAAATGTATTTTAAATTAATGTGAATGCTGTTACTGCTTCTGCAGCCTATGGTAAAATATGCAATGACCTATAGGAGCAGCAGATGTTTTTTCTACAGCAGCCTGGCCTTGCTTTTATCCCATGTTAAATCTTTAAACGAGGAATACCACACTCTTCACTTGGCAGATGATTTATTCATGAGCCAGCTGATCTTGACGTTAAAAACAAACCTGGAATTGAACTTTCAGTCATCAGATCACAATTGCCATTTTACCAAATTCAATGTCTGGATGACAAAACAGGTACTCGTTGTAATTGATATTACATTTGCATGCTTACATATCTTGATTTTTTTAAATCTAAATTTAAAGGCACAAATTATACATACCTTAATTCATGTATGTATGTATGTTGAACTTCTTTAGCACTGTACGTAGCCAACTGTGCTAATCGGATGTGCGGTGGAAGGACAACAAAATAAACACAAAAGGCAGTTCTAAAGGAATGAGTTTTCAATGTATATTTAAAAATGCATATCTCCAGTTGCTTCCTAATATCGGAGGGTAGAGCATTCAAAACGGTCGCAAAAGCGCATCTAAAAAGAGGCGACGCGTTGACCGTCTTTGTTCGATGGTTAACCCGACAGTGTGGAAGCCGGGTGGGTGGCTCATGAGACACTCGCGTCATCCGCATGCCAATTGGCACAGTTGGCCTACGCACGGCGCAAAAGAAGTTCAACATACATACGTACATACAATGTGGTGCCGCTGAGAGACAATGGAGATTTCGGAGCCATATTTGGGGTTTTCTTCTCTCGGCTTTGGGCTTTTTTCTGACCACTCTGGCCAAACATCCCGAGCAGGACCTCGTAAGGGTGATTTTGAGCCTCGGTGAGCCTTGGAGACTTTGCTGGATAAAGACAAATCATAATTGTTTTTTTTTCATCTAGGAACGGCTGACAACCTCAATACTGTTGCAGGAAGGCCCCTTATCTTAGAATATTTGGCCATTTTGGTACGTGTTGCATGGGGAAAGAATCCAAATGAACTTATATGCACTGGAAACCCGGTGCATTTGCGAATTTCATACGCATCTGCATGATTCAGCAAATGTTTCCCTCCAATGTGGTAGATCACAGGCAGTGGGTGTATCCTGAGCGTCACGGGTCCTGCTGTTTCGGAATGAAATGGGGCCCCGTGTCCAATTTCCCCCCGTGAACCCTGGTTGAAGTTGCACAACCTGCACACCGCATAGCGATGCCACCGTGTACCGTGGTTATTATTGCTGCTGCATGCTTTTTCGCTTTGTCCTTTCAGTCAGACGCGGCGACCAGCTTCTTGCGCGCTGCTCGCAATGGCAACCTTGAGAGGCTCATGGACCACCTCAAGGGAGGCATGGACATCAACACCTGCAACCAGGTGCTCCGCGTGCCCTCGGGCTGCACATGGACAGCCTCGCACACACTCCGGGCCGATATAGGCCTTGCGTAAACACCGCCACCTTCATATGTGTAGTGGGTCCAACTGAGTCGCATTCGTTGTTCCTTTTAGAGGCAACACTTTTATTTGTAACACCGTAACACAAAGGGGTAACTGCCCCTTTAACAGACTGCAGCGAGTTACTGCTACGAAGGGTCGATCCCTCACTCGAGGCTCCGACCACATGGTTGCCTCGTAGGACGAGAGCGTCAGCTTGAGATGTTGAGCTTCCCGCTTGTAGGTGTTGAGCTTCCAGCTTGTAGCATGCAGCGACCCCGGTCCCTCTCAGGGACCCACCTTATATCCATCTTCGGTCGGGACCGCTCCGCCCTCGGCCCCGCCCGCCTTCTTGAACATTCTCGTTCCCTCTCGATCCTTCCCAAGAGTTCTCTCTGGACACGTGATCACCCACTAGTCCCCCCACCTGGGGCACCCTGTGAGGACATTCCGGATCACGTGTCTACAGGGTCAACCAGAGTGCCACGGCCCAGGGCAACCCTGCCCCTGGGCTGACGCTCACCCTCTCCCCCTCCACACACTGTGCGTGGTGCCCGCACTATCCCAGTGCTCGCCAAGCCCCGCTAGGGTTGGTGTTACACACAGCCACCCACACGGTGCTGTCCACGCTAGGGCTGGTGTTACACACAGCCACCCACACGGTGCTGTCCACGCTAGGGCTGGTGTTACACACAGCCACCCACACGGTTCTGTCTACGCTAGGGCTGGTGTCACACACAGCCACCCACACGGTTCTGTCCACGCTAGGGCTGGTGTTATACACAGCCACCCGCACAGTGCTGTCCACGCTAGGGCTGGTGTTACACACAGCCACCCACACGGTTCTGTCTACGCTAGGGCTGGTGTTACACACAGCCACCCTCACGGTGCTGTCCACGCTAGGGCTGGTGTTACACACAGCCACCCGCACAGTGCTGTCCACGCTAGGGCTGGTGTCACACACAGCCACCCACACGGTGCTGTCCACGCTAGGGCTGGTGGTACACACAGCCACCCACACGGTGCTGTCCACGCTAGGGCTGGTGTTACACACAGCCACCCACACGGTGCTGTCCACGCTAGGGCTGGTACTACACACAGCCACCCTCACGGTGCTGTCCACGCTAGGGCTGGTGTTACACACAGCCACCCACACGGTGCTGTCCACGCTAGGGCTGGTGTCACACACAGCCACCCACACGGTGCTGTCCACGCTAGGGCTGGTGTTACACACAGCCACCCACACGGTGCTGTCCACGCTAGGGCTGGTACTACACACAGCCACCCACTTGGTGCTGTCCACACTAGGGCTGGTGTTACACACAGCCACCCACACGGTGCTGTCCACGCTAGGGCTGGTGTTACACACAGCCACCCACACGGTGCTGTCCACGCTAGGGCTGGTGCTACACACAGCCACCCACACGGTGCTGTCCACGCTAGGGCTGGTACTACACACAGCCACCCACACGGTGCTGTCCACGCTAGGGCTGGTGTTACACACAGCCACCCACACGGTGCTGTCCACGCTCGGGCTGGTGTTACACACAGCCACCCACACGGTGCTGTCCACGCTAGGGCTGGTGTTACACACAGCCACCCACACGGTGCTGTCCACGATGTAGGAACATCGAACGGCACGACGCTTCCGGGCCAGCACCACACTACATATGTAACACGTGTTTCCCCATTGTGTCGATGCCAAAGGGCTGTATTATAGCTCTCCAGTAGGAGGGTTCTCGATATAAACGTCGGACAATCATGCTGAACCATGTGGTGCGTGACAAACAATCATTAAAAGGCTCTGCAGCACAACCCCGAAGGCGTATGCAGAAGTACTGAAAATCTGCGGCAAGAATAGTTACGTCCCAGAAATTAAGTTGAGAAATTATATATGAATCATCCAGATTTAATATTTAAAGTCTAGGGTAAAATTGTCTGTAAACATGAACATTGTAATTTATTGGTCATTAACATTGGCATCAATTAATATTTCTGATTGCTTTCGTAACCATTGATTACGAATCATGCTCCGACAATGATTATAAGTGATGCTCGGTTGATGAGTGTTACCCCACAGAGAAGTTTTGTAGACAGATTCTCTCGATGGTGCGGTGGACTATTCTATCCCAATGAGCTTAATGCATTAAATAACAATATCGACAGAGGGAAAGCCCCAGCTAGCCGGATCACGCTGTTAGCCACGTCAGGTAGGTTAGTTAATACATACTATCCGTATTTATATGCAATATAATCAATAGACATTAAGTTATTAGCATATCTATACTTCAGAGAATATTATACAATGTAACATGTAAAATAAAATGCACTTGAATGCGTTAGATTATGTATCGTTTGTATGCACTAAAAGTGCATTCAATGTTCATAATAGAGGTGTTTGGGTTAGATCGTGTGATTATAAATGTGTCGTTAAACCTACCACTACCCGACACAGCCAATTAGCAAGGTTTGTCACGTAAACAAAACGTGCCACCAATTCGTTGCTAGTTCAGCACACCGGTGTGTTCGAGAGTAAAACCCAAAACATTTACAATTCGAGTACGGCCTTTCATCAGTAATTACAACGAGTATCATCAAGCGGACGGCTAGAGTTGTATTCAATGCACCAATGGCATTATGTTCATGAGTGGGAAGGGCGATAGGTGAGATGCAACCCAGGTCTTTACAATAGCACGCATAACACACTGTACACAGCACAGTCGTGTAGGATTGTATACTGTGCACTACACAGGGTTGGTTATTCGTTGTTGTTTTTACATTGGACTTTCAGCGATCCGCACCCGGGGTTTGACTCCATCTACCAATCTGTACTTCCCGAAGTCATTGCTGCAATTATTTGTTTACGTGTCTGAGTTTTGTTTATTGCTGCATTTCCCCTTGTGTTGTCACGGAATCTATACGCTACATACAGTACACGTACAGCAGCAGTGCGGTAGTTAGCACACTTGGCTACGAACTCGATTCCCACTCACAGCCAACATCGGTGCCAAAATATCCAAGCTGGTTCTGGACCTCCTCTATGTCGACTCGGCCTTAAATGGGTATCTGGCATGGTATGTAAGCATCAGCACTGGGAGACAAAGGCTGCCGGGTGATAGCCGTCCCAGCTATCATAGGTGAACGCTAACAGCACTTGCCCCAACGGTCAAGTCAAGTTTGTTTTGATGAATCAGGTGAGAATTCAAGCAAGTTGGATAGTCTAATTTTTCAAGCGTGACCTGAGGCATAATTGCTGCGTGATCCCCAATCGAGTGATTCACGGGTACATTTACAACTTCGGCAAATGTGGACCCTGACGCCCGGCAACACAGCGGTCCACTCTTGCCAATGGAGTTCGGGTGTGTTCAACACGATAATTGTGAAGGAGATGGTTTATTACACACACCGCAGCATTAAGCGGGGTGGCCGTTGCTCGATTCGCAACTGAAACTGCGAACCTCTGCAACAACAATCGGCTGTCGGCCGCTGGGCTAACGCGATCGTCACCGCCCCTGTTAGTGGCTGAGTAGAGGAGGGGACCCCTTCCTCTTCATCATCGTCTTGGTCATCTTATTCTTCATCTTCTTCATCGTCATCTTCTTCGTCGTCTTCTTCATCATCATCATCATCGTCTTCTTCATCATCGTCTTCTTCATCTTCTTCATCATCGTCTTCTTCTTCATCATCGTCTTCTTCTTCTTCATCTTCTTCATCATCGTCTTCTTCTTCATCATCGTCTTCTTCTTCATCATCGTCTTCCTCGTCTGTGTTCTCGCAGAATGGGCTCAACGCGCTGCACCTAGCGTCAAAGGAGGGTCACGTGGACGTGGTGACCGAATTGCTGAAACGAGAGGCGGAGATCGACACGGCCACCAAGGTGAGGGGACAAGGCAGCGGCAAGCGGCAAAGCACTTGTAAATGAGTGCCGTTTGTTGCTGGCTCCTTGGCGTTTCTGGCCTTTGGGGCCTGTGGCTCAGGAACCGTGGTATAACAAAAATAAAAGATTGAAGCAACGTAAAATTTGTTTACGTGCACACGCGCGAGCATGCTCGTTGAAAGGTTTTATTCTTTTATTTTGTATTATTTTAAGTTGAGTTTTAATAATTAAATACTCTCAATATCAAGGTGCTGCTTAAATCATGGCTTTTTGCTTAATTTACGTACGTTTAAATGTAATTCCTAAAACAGTGAAAAGTAATGTTTTTGCCTAAATACGGTTTAGCTGCTCAGAAAAACTCTGCTGGATGGCATTGGGTCCGAAGGGCCATAGGTCAATGAGCTGAATTGTTAATTCAGTGTGGAGAGACAGACTTTTGTCAAAAGATTTTTGGACAGCCAATATAATTGAAAGAAGAAAACCCATCATGTACTGAAATTAATCAAACAAATCACAACACCTATACAGGGGTTTCAGGTTGGCAAATAAGTGAAGGATATCAGATTTCCATAGCAGGTAAGATATTAATGTAGCGGGTGTGAAAGTTACATGCTTACGATTGATGGCATAACACGCTTATGAAGGTGCTGCTCAGTGGCAATGTTGGGGTTCGGTACAATGTATTTGCTTAAATTCATTTACTAATTACCTGGTCGGGAGGTAGTTATTGTTTCGTCAATTTTATGCAATAAACTCGTCGCAGCAGCCAAAATGGTAGTGGAGATAATGTAGCACACATATATAATATATATTTTATTATTTTATTGTTTCTCTTCAACGTGACTTTACCGAAAGAGCTAAGAATATAGCTTTAATCCCATCAAGACACATGCTGGCATGGAGCAGCAAAGCAGTCTTTAGGACACTGCGCTATGAACCTGGCAACCCAAGTTTGAGTGGCCTTAAAAGAAGCACTTGGCGGATTGTGTAAAGATCAGCGCCAGGGAAACAAAGGCGGCCGTGCGTGGTAGTGGCCACACACCGCCGCTCCTTTGTAACACTCGTGGAAGGAAACAGAGGACAAGCGAGAAACACGTGGTCTCGTGAAGTGGAGGAGGAGGCAGATGGGATATGATGATCATCGCCAACAAGAGGACTGCTGCTGCTGGACAAGAATAGAAATCCGTGCTTGTATGCTGTGCCGACCTTAATAGGTGGTTGCTAATCACCCACCACCACCAGTCTGGCTATATGGCTGAACTTTGCCTTTGTGATGTTTCCATGTGTGTGTGTGTGTGTGCACGTGTGTAACTGTGTGTGTGACCCACAGAAAGGAAACACAGCGTTACACATAGCAGCGTTGGCTGGCCAGACAGACATTGTCAGAGTTCTGGTGGAGTTTGGTGCCAACATCAATGCGCAATCACAGGTTGGTTTGACACAAGACATGGGGGTGCTTGTCACATCACGTTTTCTCTCCCAACAACTGGCGATATATACAAGACACAGACACTGAACCATCGCGGTCCATTTATCAAAAATATATAAAGTACACGAAGAATTATATTGTTTTGCCGAAAGCGGAATTCGAAAGCATTTCCCAAAATTGACGATTATTATAATTCGAGCAAAGTTTTTACGTTGTATCTCACGGCAGCTGATGAAGTGGAAATTGCTGTCTTTAAAATGTCAGCCAAAATAATCAGGCGTGCATCCATGGTTTACGCCACAGTGTTGTGATGTAATGGGAGCATGACCTGAGCTGCTGATTGTGGCTCTTACAAAATGCTTTGAAATGCTGACTGTTCCACCCAGCTCAGCAGCACGACTACTTCTGAAAAATGTTTATAGAAAGGAGGGCAGATGGCATGAAATACAAAAAAAAATCTATATTTTTTTGTCACTTATTACATATTTTTTATATATATTGTTGCATTATTCGTGCAAATTGCATCTCACAATCGCTCACGAACCAAGAGACAAGTTGGAAGACAGCCAGGTGGCAATCCACCACCACCAATTGTTGCTAAAGCTCTGTGTTCCTCTAGCCCAGTGGTTATTCTCAACCTTTTTTTAGCTACTATACCCCCCTTGTTGAATTTTCTTTTAACCGAGTAACCCCCCTTGCTTGACCCAACGTGGTTCTGAGAAATAAATGTATGAATAATGAACATCAACATTTTAACCAATTGTGCATTTTGTGAGCTATCCTAACTACTCTTTGTTTTTTTCGGTAAAGTCAACGTAGAAATAAGAAATAATAATCAAATAAAATTACATAATAGCATACGACGTTTCGATTGCAACGCAAGCAATCATCACCAGGTATAGAAGAGCTAAATTTAAGAGAGAGAGGAAACAGAGAGATGGAGAAGCACATCAAATTGTTTGTATACGTAATCAGCTAGACCATGCGTTAATTGTGTTTTGACCGACCCTCTGTGCTGCATTATATTGTTTCCAAATTTTACTATATCTTGTTCAATTTGATGTGCTTCTCCATCTCTCTGTGTTTCCTCTCTCTCTTAAATTTAGCTCTTCTATACCTGATGATGATTGCTTGCGTTGCAATCGAAACGTCGTATGCTATTATGTAATTTTATTTTATTATTATTTCTTATTTCTACGTGACTTTACCGAAAAAACCAAAGAGTAATTCCTGCAGTCACGAAAGCACCAAATCAAGTTCTATCCTAACTAGCCAGTAACTGCAAACGAATAAAAACAATTAACGAATAAAAACACAATTAACGGACACTCTGCACGCGTGACGTCATTTGTTCGTGCTCGCTGGTTACTCTTGGAAACCATATGATTTACGATCAATGAGTTTTAAAAGGTATTTTTAATCATTCTAGGTTACTCTATGAATTCCATTTTATTATAGTTATTTTATATTGGCATATTCATACGTGATTATTCACCAATGACTCTTGTGTACGATATAATTTCACACATTTATAAATCACCTCACGTACCCCCTGGGGCATTGCCACGTGTACCCCCGGCGTTGAGAACCACTGCTCTTTAAAAGAAGATGTTTTTCAACCATTTCAGTGTTCATACATGTGGGAGAAAATCATAGCACCTCAGAAAAACCCACGCTAGCAAGGGGGCAACGCTCTATCCCGCACAGAAAGGACAGATATTTGTCTCCACTTTTGCCAAACTGCCTTCTCTTGGCGAACCAGGGTAAGGCACCTCCTCGACGCCTACGGGAAGGAGATTTTGCAAATATATTTGTGCATTCCAACCAGCGCTCGCCTCCACAGTGTCGGAGTACAGGTATGCACCGCCATCGTTTGGCTATATTTAGTGTAAGAGACACGATAATCCAGAAATTGTAGTTGAAAAATTATTCAGTATAGGAAGAGGATTAAGGGTCCTTCCCCCGTACTTCTGATTAGCACGGTTGGCTACATATGGCGCGAAATAAGTTCAACATACATACAAAAGGTTGGTATGTGTGACCATGTACATTCATCATCATCAGCCATGGTCAATCCACTGCTGGATGAGAGCATCCCCAAACCGCCACTACCCATAATGATCATTTGATGCAATGATACACATAAACTAATCTCCGCATGTATATTTTAAAATAATATATTTACAGTATATCTTGCGTCACCATGGCATTGGTGAGGGGGCGGGGGGGGGATGCTGATTGTCGTGGGCCTCCTGACCCTCCAGGCCTGGTCCAGGGCGTGTCAGTCGCCTCCTTAAATCCACCGTGAAATCAAATGTTTTGCAAATAAAGAGTTACAATGAAAAAACAAATATATACGCATTTAAATTAATGTATCATCCAGCAGATAACTGATAATATAGCACAACTACATTGATTACACATGCCAGTGTATTGGCGATGAAATTGTTCTCAACACGTTTATTGTCAATATTCTGGACACGTTTTATGCCGTGAATGTTCACATGGCACGCACAAGCAACCGCGTGCTGCGTATATGCTTTCGTGTGTTTATTCATTTCTTTTGTTCCTTTTATTATTGTGGATTTCGGAGCCCTCACTAAAGTGTAACTATGAATGCTTCTCAAAGCAAATTTGCAGTGGCCAATTAATATCGCTGTATTGTAATGAGAATGTGAGAAAAAAATTTTAAATTGAACTGCGTGAATATAAAGATGCCTCGATGGTACAGCCCGTGCTGTCTGGCCACATTTGTGCAGCAGTCATGGTGACGGAGCAGTTACCATGGTGATGGATCCCGAGAGAAATCTGATTGGATGAGATTGAGGTTGTTGCTAAGCAACAGCAGTAAGGACTTGTCCATTGGGCTGTGCTAAGGGGGGTGGCAGTCGGATGGCCATTATCAAGAGAGCTGAAATGAATCGTTCCATTTAATGTTCTGCGAATTCTAATACTTATTGAAATACTTAGAACACCTTTAAATTATCAGTATATTAAAACCGCAGCTAAACAGAGGCTACCATATATATAATGCATTTAACACATTCCAAACGTTTCCACATTGTACTGTATATAATGCCTATATTGAAATATAACAACAATTTTATTTTCACAAATCACGCACATTTCTTTTGTGCAGATAGCCAGCAGCAAATGCTTAGCTCGTGCTGAACGACCTCAAAGCGGAGAGCCTTTGATTGTCATTCGCGTAAAAATCCATTGCCGCAGCGTGATTTATGATTCATCATTGCTGGGGATATGTGGAAGTTATTTCCAGGTGGGATCATCAAGCCAGTGGGCACGATCTTAATCCGCCGCTGCTTAGTTTTTTCGTGATAGGGGCGGGCAGGCGGCTGGAGCTTCCCGCCGCTGTTCGATCGCTTTGATGTCGTCGCAGGTGCCAGTCGCACGTGTATTTATTTGCAATGAAGGTTTTTTTGGGTTGGATCGCGTAAATGTAAAAGCGTCGTTGACCCACCACCACCCGACACAGCCAATCAGTAAGGTTTGTCACACAAACGAAACGTGCCAATTAGTTATTACTTCAGCACGCCGGTGTGCTGGAGAGCAACCCACAACCTTTACAATGTGAGTGTGACGTTTCGCTGGTTCATCAGGCGATTTGCCATAGTTGTGAAGAAGTCTTCCTGTTTACGGTCTTAAATAAAGTCAGATTATGTCATCACTGTGCCTATCGGTGGTGGTGGGTTAATTACACATTTATATTTACACGATCTAACGTGAATTTACGTCTTGCGACAGAACGCACATTTAACAATAACAGCTGCTGTCTGCCTCATTTGAATATTTTACAACGTAAACCACAGCCTCACAACAATTCTTCCCACGTGACACTCAGTGGAATTTGGTAAACGTCCCAATGTTGCAGGACCCTCCTGAAATGTAACAAAGGAGTCTTGGGACTTTCTAATGCTTCCCTGGGTAAATAAAGGGCATTGCTTTCTTAGTGAATTATACAGTGGGCTGATGGTTCGGGCAATGTCCATTTTGGGGCAACATACATGTGGTAGAGTGAGCAGCTCTCAAATCAGAGGGTTATGAGTTCAATTGCGACGCTGATTGGGGGTTGACGCGGCCAATCTTGCCATACAAGGAGTGCCACGCTGTAGGGAAGTCAACAGTGGTTGTCCTTCGTAGGAACTCACCCCCATTTTAGGAATGTGGATTTTTTTTAACACCGGTCCAGGGATTTAAACAGAGGAGATGAGCACTGCCTCAATGCTTATTTGCGCAGGAAATAATTTTGAGTAGCTGGATCTAAACACACACACCGCTTGGGAGCAAGGCCAGATGTACTTATATCCAAAGTGTCTGCTTGTATCAAGTCTATTTTATTTGACCTGGTGCGATCTCAAAAGACCTGGGTCACGACAATAAAAAAAATTTCAATCAAGTACAGTAATTAAGCAAATAGAAATCAGAGCAAAAACAACTCTGTCACAGGAGTTACCCTTTGCCTTCCTCCCACCAGTGTAATGTAAGTGTGTTGCTTATATCAGAACTGTCTTGTATAATCTATGCTTATATGCAGCTTGTATGTACGCACGTTGAACTTCTTTCCCACCGTATGCAGCCAATCGTGCTAATCGGAGGTGCGGGAAGCTTCTATTCTCGGTGTAAAATTTCCCTCTGAATATATACATCTCTGCTTGCTAGTGTAGTGACATAGAATTTGTCACGACGTAGTATAGCGCTGACTGCTGCCAGGGAAGGGGATCTGCAGCTTGTAGCTGCCCTGACTGACAGTAGGCCACGGGATAGACCCGAGAGGGATCTAGGGGAAAGGTTACGGAAGGGACACGTCGGGACCCTGCTAGTAGGTTCTAGAAAAGGGGGCGTGGCCAGGGCGGAGCGAGGCCGCGCTGGGAGGATAAAATGGGACCCCGAGCAGGAGCTCGGGGCTGTCGTTTGGAGTGGGATCCCGTCGTCGTTGCTGTTGGAAGATCGTCGCCATTGCTGCTGTCGTCTCCACTTGATAATTGTGCTGCCCAGCGGTAGTTGGCTGTCTTAGTTCAGTGCCGTCAGTGTCAGATGGCTAAGTGTTGTTTTGTAAGCTAGCAACCAGTGTAGAGTTGCGTATAAGCGAGAGACAGAGAGTGTGTGAACAGCGTAGGTTGTGTATTGAATGCAGTGTATAAAGTATGCTGGGTGTTTAATTAAAGAATTGCCTCCAATAAATTACGTCTCCAAGTCAGTCACTATACGAGCATGGAGCCAATTGAAAAGGTGAGCTCCGAGGAGGCAGATGCGGGTCCAATGAGGCGTCGAGGCACAGGAACACGTTGGGGAGTCGGCGACTAACTCTGCCGAGTCGCCCTCGCTCGCAGCGTGGACCTTGTAGACTTTTTGGCTGGCCATCAAACAAAGACGGTCACCGCTCTCAGATATGCGCTTCTGCGACCGTCTAGAATGCTCTTCCTTCCGGTGTTAGGAAGCGACAGGAGCTATGCACTTTTAAATCAAGATTGAAAACTAATTTGTTCAGAACTGCTTTTGGTGTTTGGTTCGTTGTCTTTCTTCCGCACCTCCGATTAGCGCGGTTGGCAACGTACGGTGCGAAAGAAGTTCAACACATGCGTACGCACGTAGACAGAGTCGGGGGGGCGGTCGCACCAAGCCTCCACCTTTGTCTTTGTGCACAGAATGGCTTCACCCCACTCTACATGGCAGCGCAGGAGAACCACTTGGAGATTGTCAAGTTTCTGCTGGACAATGGGGCCAACCAGAGCGTTGCGACAGAGGTACCTACTCCGTAACGCCGGAGATGCTTCGCCGTGTGTTGTTTTATGGATTTCAGTTGTTGTTACCTGACCGGGTGGCTCAGTGGAAGAGCGAGTGGCTCACAAATAAGGTTATGGGTTTAAATCCTGGTTGGGGGTTGTTTTATTTGGCTCATTTCATCATAATCCCGCTGAGGTTGGTAAAATGAGTACCACGTTGTATGAATTGTAAACATCTTTGGCACCGTATGTAGCCAACTGTGCTAATCAGAGGTGCAGGGAAGTCAGCAGTGCTCATCCTATGGATAAACTGGACCCGTCATTGGAATGTGGATTTTCCACCGGTGACCTAGGGCTGTAAATAGGAGATGTCATTGTGTTTATTGCTCATTCCTGTGGCTTAATGATTTTTGCAGCTGCAGTCAAAATTAAGTTTATTCTGCTTGACAGTAATAAATGATACACCCGTATGCTGATGGATATTGTGGAAGTGATTCTTAGAGCTGTTGATAACAGCATCAGCCAGTGGAAGTAAATCAGTTCTGTGTTGTAGCACCTGCAGCTTTAATGGCAGCTGTGTTTACAGCTGGCTTGCTCACGCTGAACAGCTGCGCGTATTACAAAGCAATTAATTCACGACAATAAAAATGTAATTTATTAAACTGCGTTTAAATGTGACCACATCGCAAAAACACTGCTGAAGCGGCGGGCATGTTCATTTATTAAGGAGACAGTCCGTCACAGGTAAAGGAAGAAAGGAAGGATTGAGCGTGAATTTGAACAGGGGCAGCGAGTCAACAACACAGATGGATGGGGGTAGAGAAACTTGCGGGGCGTAGAGGAGAATTGTTGATCATCCACTGAGTGAAGGTTGACTGGGGGGGCTTCAATTGCAAGTTTTGCTTTCATTCATATCGATTTTCAATCTCACCTTGTGCACAGAACATGCGCCGGGCCGCACGTGTGTGACGACGCACGTGTGTGATGACGCACGTGTGTGATGACGCACGTGTGTGATGACGCACGTGTGTGATGACGCACGTGTGTGATGACGCACGTGTGTGATGACGCACGTGTGTGATGACGCACGTGTGTGATGACGCACGTGTGTGACAACACGTGTTTGTGTAGCTCTCAGACGGGTGTGACGACGCACGGGTGTGACGACGCACGTGTGTGACGACGCACGTGTGTGACGACGCGTGTTTGTGTAGCTCTCGGACGGGTGTGTGTTTTCGGGTCGTGCCGCGCCCGACGTTTCGGCTCCACGTGCTGGGAGTGCCTCGGCCATCAGAGAGCCGGATAGCACCACCGTGAAAAAACCTCCCTGGCGGCAGCAGTAACCGGCGTGCGTGCGTGCGTGTTGCAGGACGGCTTCACCCCACTGGCCGTGGCGCTCCAGCAGGGCCACGAGCAGGTGGTGGGGCTGCTCCTTGAGAGCGACACCAAGGGCAAAGTGCGGCTGCCGGCGCTGCACATCGCCGCGCGCAAGGACGACACTAACGCCGCCGCGCTGCTGCTGCAGCACGAGCACAACGCCGATGTCACCTCCAAGGTAGCGGCGCCGCTCCGTGTGCCAGCGCACACGCGTTTAAGGCAAAGATCCCCCCCTGTTGTAGCCTTAACAAACTGTAGGACCAAGCGCTGTTAGTGAAGGCCGGAACGGCACACGACGGGGTGGGTGGCCAGCACCACGTCCGCCCACCTTTGTCTCCCTAGCGGCGATGTTTACACACCGCACCAGGTATTTATGTGTTGCTGAATTGACCTAGGGGAGGCCCTTAATCGTCACTGGTGTTAAACACGAGCGGGAATCGAACTCGGCTCTCGGGGTTCATAGCGCAGCATGGTAACCGCTACACAACTGCTCCCCATACACACCTATATATGGACAAACATCCCCCCCCATGCAGCCTCCATGTAGCCTTTAATAGATTGTGAGGGCAAGTGCTTTTAGCGAGCATTCATGATATGCGCATAAGCAGAAGGACAAATATTCGACCAATAGCCTTAATTGACTGTCCTGGCAGACATGGCACACGAGGTGTTGGGTTGCCAGTACCACGCCCAGCCACTTTTGTCTCCGCAGTACTGATGTTCACACACTATACAAGGTACTCATTTAATGCTGAGTCTACCTAGGGTACCGTTTCAGTTATTCACTGATGCTTGCCCCAAGTGGGAATCGAAATCGAGCCACCGAGTTCGGAGTGCAATGCTCTAACCACAATACCCCTCTCCATAGACATATACACACACGCTCATACGCACACAAAGACACATCAACGGACACACACACACACACACAGATTCACACACGCACACACATCCTGGTACCTATCGATCTCTGTGCCATCCATTGGTGGGTCTAGGAGGGGAGCTATTATCATAAAAAGCTGGCAGGGAGAGTGGCTCTGCGGCCTGCGTGGAGGCAACGTGTGAACTGGCGTGAGCTCCTGTGGGGCGTCCAGGTATCTGCAGGCATGGGACGCCTCTTCTTCAGCGGTCATCGTTTTTTGCAGCGGGAGTAAAACACAATTTATTTCCGTGCCACAATTGTAAATAATTTATTTCATAATTGTGCGTTAGTTCAGCTTAATTCCGGTGATGCATGTTTGCCATTGCATTTTGACAAATGATAACTCATATAATTGATAATGGCCAATAGCATAGTAAATGTAATGAATTACTTTTTGTGTAATTGACTGCAAGCCTGGGATTGCCACAGAGCCTCGTTTCTTGTATGGGGTAAAACATTATCCGTCTCCATCACACATGGGTCCTCGCCTAGCTCCCCTCCCTGGGGGTTGCGATACTAAATTTTCTGAGGCCATTATAGAGCAATCCTTTGTGCAGTTATAATATATTTGTGCAGTTATAATATACGCAATGAAAATATAGAACAGCAAAATGCAAATTACAAATGTACATTCTATTACGAATAGATATTTTTTCCCCAATACACAATGTGGTATGCATTCAAATAATATTGTTAAGGAAAATGCAACGATTAGCAAACGATTGTAATAGATTTAACCGAATTTCCTTGTTACAAACGGTCACAAAATGATGATGATGATGTTGTTTTTTTGCGCATGACATGCATGTATTCTTGAACAATGTTGTCATACGGTAAACACAACAATGGCTTTGCTTCACATGAGTAATGCACAATGTTTTTTGTTTTATATATATATTTTTTTTAATTTTCAGATCACGTTTCATTATGCCGTATTAACCATTCACTCTCCGATGTGCTTCCGCCAAATGAATGACAACGGCTGTGTGAACGGCAGGTTCCACCGTAGCCATGCGGCGCTGATCCAGCGCCGCTGCCGCATTCGCCTGCGTTCGTCTTTGTCTTGCCGCTGCCGTGCATAATTAGGCCGCCGGGCCTCTGCACTGTTTCGCCGAATCACGTGCACCCCCAGCCAGTGGCGTATCTAGGAAAATAATAAAGCAGAGAGGCACGCGGGGGGGGTAGGCGGAGTCGTAGGGGGGCTGGCCCCGATTTGATCTATTAAGGGGTTGAGGGTTGTGTGGGGGGTTACTGCTTGAGTGAACCCGGGAACATTCAGTTTTCTGCCTGACCGAATTCAGAAGGCACTAAAGGAGTGTGTGTGGGGGTAGGGGGAGAACGGGTGGGGAAAAGGAGATGGGCAGAGCGACAGATACTCCACTGGCACCGGCCATCGCTTTGCGACGCTCGCTGTGCGCGCGGTCGCAGCAGCAGCAGCAGCAGCAGCACGACGCCGATCACGCGGCTCCGTTACTCATCATCCCACGTGTGATCTTTGTTTTCTCCACGCTGCCTGGCTTGTGCTCAGCTCTCGCAGATGATGCTGAACCAAACCACTGAGGTATAACAGCACGCGCGTGTCACGCGCGCTCGCTCGCTCCCAGGCGAGCCTGCGAGCGAGCGAGCGTCCCCCCGATGCCCGTGCACACACGGCTCACCTGGTCCGTCGCCCCCGTACACGGGGACGTGACGCGTCTTGAACGCTTGCAGCTGAGCATCGAGATATATACGTGCTTTCCACATGTGTATTGCATGCTTGCATCTGTGTATGAGGTATCTAAATGTGCATACACGTTAAAAAAAAAAAAATCCAAATATACTATGGACGTGATTGAATCATTTTTATATTTTCATACCGGTAATTCGATTTGGATTGAGTGTGCAAAATGAGCTTTTGCATCCATCACAGATCTCTGCATTTGTAACATGTATTTGCCTTGCATGTTAAATTGGGGATTCGTTTTAATGCCCCGAATAGTGATAATTGTGGTGCAGTAACTCCACGGCGGTTCACTTTGGGGCACGGCAGTGCACTCGCGGGACGGAGCGTGTGGCAATCCACGCGTGAGAGTCTTTCTACCTTGTGGATGGCTCTTACCTAATAAGGCTAATTGGGAAATATAAAGCTGATAACTCTTCTTCACTGGCATTAACGTAAGGGAATTTGTCGCCCGTTTATCGTGACCATCCACACAGTAGAGACAACTCCGACCCGTTGAATCGCACATTCGCTCGGGATGCCGCTTGCTGTAGTCTCGAGTGTTACTGGGGTAAAAAAACCTAAGCCCTCGTGGGTCTAAATCCAGTTAATACATTTTTTAAAAACCTTCCTCAAATCCATGTGTTTGTTTTAATGTACCCAAATATCCTGTAATTCATAAATGCAAAGGAGTCGAAGATAAGCTTATGAAGTTAGCATATAGATCAGAGCACAAACTTGAAAAAAATAATTCTCAAAGAAGGAATACAATAAAACCCTCCATTTAGCTAAGATTCAACTTTTACAGCATCATGTCAGAATGTTTTTTTTCTCAACAAACGCGACGAGCTTTGCCCCAACAGTGGCAAGTACCAGTCTTAAACTGAGATCTGTGTGAAAGGAAAGAGGCAAATTTTAGTTGGTGCGGGGGGGGGGGAGAAAAAAATATGATAGTACACATCTGGTATGGGTGGGCAGACATCAGATATTCGGCACACAGCAGCCTCATTCATGCTGTGTCCTTCTCCTCGTCCTCCCTCGTCATCCTCCTCCTGTTTCCAGAGTGGCTTCACCCCCCTGCACATCGCGGCGCACTACGGCAACATGAATGTGGCCACGCTGCTCCTCAACCTGGGCGCCGCGGTCGACTTCACTGCACGGGTACCGATCCGCTGAGCGCGCAGCCGCCCCCCCCGCACTCCTCCTGGTGCTTTTGTTTGGCATGTTTAAAAAAATGCGGGAGCCATAATGCCACTTTAGATTTTTTTTTTCAGGAGGTGTTATGTCCCACTCAGGATGTGTGTGCTATATTAGTGTCGTGTCCTGAGATGAAGACAAAGTCATTTGGATCTTCTCTCAATGTTGCAGCGCTTCACCCCGTGCCAGGGAACATCCCCTGAACATGACATGGTAGAACTATTTCTGAAGTCACTGCAAATAGCCCCCTTTATCCGTGCGAGAGGCACAACTTTTAAATACACCCCGCAAAGAGTGCTCATCCCATTTCAGTGCAACTATGTTCTTAAATTTTGGTCTTAACGAAATAAAATTAACAAGATTGTTTTTTGTACAATCAGAAGTGCCAGAGCTTGGGCCATCAACTCGCCACTCATGAGAATCCAGTTTCACCACAGGTGGTCGCCCAAATTAAAAACTATAAATTACTTAAATGTTTTTTTTTATTTTACCAGGGGAGGCCCACTGAGCTATGTAGCTCTTTTTCAGCAGTGACCTGGCTGCCACAAATGACAGCTCAACGAAGTGGCTTTTCACGTGGACATTTATAACAGTCAAATCCTCTAAACGTGTGTTTCTAAATGTGGAGGGGAAAACCGGAGGACTCGGAGAAAAAATAAACTGCAATACCACACAGCGACCAGGCAAACTCCAAATATACAGGCGTCAGGGTCGGGATCGAACTCACGACCTATATACCAAGCGAGGCAATTATTATCTCGCCAACCACAGCACCCCCAAGGTTATGATCTCAGCTGGGTCGGGTGCCGAGCCCCTCAGCCCCCTTTATTTGAGACGATCTCAGAGTCGGCCGCTCCCTGCGCGATGTTTTACAGAATGGCATCACTCCCCTCCACGTGGCCGCCAAGCGAGGGAACAACAACATGGTGAAGCTGCTGCTCGACCGGGGAGCAAAGATCGACACCAAGACCAGGGTACGATGTCCTGCACTGCCCTCTCCACAGACACAGCCTGCACAATTTAGCAAACCACTGCTGCTGGTGCTGTCACCAAAGACAAAGACCCCCTCTCTAGGCCTTAAAGACCTTTCAGGGCATGTGTGGTTAGCAGGCACCTATTAAAGCCATAACAACAGACCCCTTCAAGCGGATGGTGTGATTAGCACCGAGCCCAGTCACATTTTTCTCCCCAGTGCTAATGAGTAGAAGCCACACCGCGTGCGATATATTTTTTCCTGAGTCAGCCGAGGATCTTCAGATGCAACTTGCCGTAGATGATATCTGTGACTGGGAATTTAATTCAGGTTTCTGGATTTGTGGTGCAGTTCGCAAACCACTGCTGATACCGCACACCACAACAGCCGGGACTTTGGAGTTAGCCCAGGTGGTGTTTCAAAGCAAGCTCTGAGTGGTTCACAGGGAGTCTTGCGCATTTGAGGCCATTTTATTGTGGGTCTGTAGAGCCCTGCTCAGTTCAGCAGCTAAACATATGGTTGCTGCCAGACCTATAAATAAATTTTCGTACTAAAATGTGGGCTAAAACTCTCAAGTTTGTCTAATAGAAGAAATTGAATCAAGTTAAATTAATTACATTTCCAGTAATGAATAGCACACACAGACATGAAAGCCTGCAAACTTCTCTGTCTAATGTAACGGCATAAGTGTCATTTTAATATTACAATCTTGACTCAACGTTAACCGTGGAGCTCATGTTAGGTTTCACGCGATTATTACACTTGAGAATGTTCAGCTTTAAATACGTGGATGCTGCTTGGAGAATATATCCGACAATGAATTGCCACGCCAGTTAAACTAAAAACAGAAATGGCTGTTTCTCTTGGCACGTGTAGGACGGACTGACGCCGTTGCACTGTGCTGCCCGGAGTGGGCACGAGAAGGTGATTGAGATGCTGCTGGAAAGAGACGCTCCAATCCTGGCCAAGACCAAGGTACAATGAGCAGCAGCAACGCTCGCTTTATCGTCACCCCTCAAGAAAAATTGTTCCCAGCACACGCTCTCTGCCTCGATAAGGAGCCCGTACAAACTAAGCCAACAACACACACCCCTGATCAGCACGGTTGGCTACGTACGGTGTGAAAGAAGTTCAGCATACATACACACAACACAGCGGCATACATCGGTTTTAGAAGTAGTGGAAAAGCATCTGAAGGTCGTTCAGGCTGCCTTGCTTGGACCATGGCAATGATGACCATAGCATTTATTATTACGCCCCATCGACCATACATTTCTTTCAACGCTGCAGTTCCATTGTTCGTTTTGCAATGATGCAACTCTTCTGCACGTGACGTGTTGACGTCCTGCTACGGCTAACAGAAATCACATTGCACAAAGTGCGGCGTGTCACAGCGACTCGCCAGAGGTGGCTGGACGCGTTTCCACCCTCATGCTCCGCTGGATACCATCTCACCTTGCACCCTGCTGACACCGATGCTTTATTTAGGTTTAGGGATTTTTTTTTGGCACAGGCAAACCCCCATTGGATGATAAATGCTCATTTTACGATGGGGACCTGGTTACAGAAACCTGGTTACACAGCATCAAGAACAAACACATGAGCAAAGCAATCAAACAACAACATAATGGAATATTCTTGCCCATTATATAGCTGCTCACCCCGAGCCTTTGGGTGTTCTCTCATCTGACACTGGTGAGACTCGGCCTGAAGAATGCTGTCTCTGGTGTAGGCAAATCAGTTTGAAAAACAATACATACATTACCAGAGTTTGTTTGCATATTCACTACAAGTACGTGTGGTTAATGAAGCCTTGATTCTTTGCAAAAGGTATCTTTTTGATGATTGAACATCTTAACACCTGTTTTATTGCCAGAAACGGTGAAACCTATTCTTGTTTTTCATAATTAAACAACAACTTTACAGAGTCAAGTACCAAATGGCAAGGTCGTGCATCAACACCACGGCACAACCGACACTCTCATTACGAGGCTGATAGAACGCATCACGTGCGAAAAAAATACATTTATAAGTGATCAGTTGCCCCGTACACTTGACAGAAAATCTGAGTTTCAATAGTCAATTTAAAGTCGGACAAGGATGGTAAGGTTTGGTTTTCATCCAGAAATTTTTCATGCTCGGTTATTCCAGAGATCAGGGGCCGCCACACAGAAGGATTTAAACCGAGTTTGGTTCTCACCGAATAGGGGACTTGGAGCAGAAACGCGGAGGAGGAACTTCTCAGGATACGGGTATTTATCTGGGGGATTAAAGCAAATTAAATGATCCAGAGCAAAGCTGTCAATGTGGCTCCATTCCATGCGGGTGATTCACCCAGTATCGGCAAGGAATGCTTGCGGTGCTGTTTCCTGCCACCGGCCGGCCCGTGCTGGTACTCGCATGCAAATTCAGCTTAGTAGTCGTCACTGGCAAACGTGGCACAAGCCTGGAACCCAGTGCTTTAGAGGCAATGGATGGTGGACCACGTGCATGTATGCAATTCCCAAAACTCACAGAGGTGTGAAGTGGCTAGGAGATAGCAGCACTGGACGTAGGCTCATGAACCTATCTGAGTGGACCTTGGTGTTAGAGAGATGTCCTCCCATATGCGCCACATTTCTGTGGGTACTCAAGCTTCCCCTCATGTGCAAAATACTCATCAAATGCAAGGAAGGACTGTATCTGGCAGTTCAAGAGTCGGTCTTCTAAATTTCTACAGTGCTTTACAAATATAATCTTTAGGCAATGGCATGCAGATGTCGAGAACATTCCATTTCCGCTGTTTCTGTACAGCATCTTGAAATGTGGTCACATTTAAACGCCAATATATAAAGTTCACGGGTCACCGCAACTGAGATAAACACGTGAACCTATAGGTCCCCCGAGCTGTGCTCGAGGAAAAAAAAATAACAAACGCCTGAGGCGAAAGCAAAATATTTTATTACATTATGTGAAAACACGACTTGCACGTCTTTCTCAAGCGTGGAACGACGAGCGCGCGGACGCGTTCCCGCGTCCGCGCGCTCGCGGGTTACACAAATAACGCTTCCGTTGCGCTCACCACGCGGGCAGAACGGGCTGTCCCCGCTGCACATGGCGACGCAGGGGGAGCATCTGGCGTGCGTGCAGCTCCTGCTGGGACGCCAGGCGCCCGTGGACGACGTCACGCTCGACTATCTCACGCCGCTGCACGTCGCCGCGCACTGCGGCCACTACCGCGTGGCCAAGCTGCTGCTCGACCGCGGCGGGGAGCCCAACGCGCGGGCGCTGGTGGGTGTTGCAGGCGGTGCCACTGCCCGAGTTTGCCCGGGCTACAAGGAGGGGGAGAAATTGGACGGACGGATGGATGGATGGGGTGGAGGGCGGGGGGGGGGGGCATTAAAGTTTTTGCAACGTTTTCCATGTATGTATGTGTGTGTGTGTTGAACTTCCTTTTCGCACCGTACGTAGCAAACCGTGCAAATTGGAGGTGCGGGAAAGGGCAACAAACACAAAACAAAAAAGCAGTTCTAAAGAAATTAGTTTGTCAATCTGGATGGTTTAAAATTGCATAGCTCCTGTGGGTTCCTAATAGTGGAAGGAAGAGTGTTCCAGATGGCCCCAGAAGCGCATCTGAGAGTGCGCGATTCATTGACCATCTTTGTTCGATGGCTAGCCAAAAGCTGCTGTGAGGATGACCACAATCAGACATTTCCATAAATTCGCATAGAAAACATAGACTCACATAGAGGAGGAGGCGAAGGGGGTTGGCTACGGGCCTCCTGACTGCATCGGATTGACCACTAACAGTCAAGACTTGGGGATAGGAAGGGGACTCTTAGGGGCTTTGCCAAGGAAGGGACACTAGGGGTTGGCATTGGGTTCATAGCGCAGCGTGCTAACTGCTACACTACCTTAACAGGTCACACACACATTTGGGTCAGAGTTCAGAGCATATCTCACATTGACCAAGGGATGGTCAGGAGCTATTGCAGCGGTCGAACGTGCAAGACTGAGGGTTTAGGTTGAATGACCGCTTGCACTGGAGAAGGGAACACAGATGGCCAAATTGCCAGGGGTGTTGATGTTTGCAGTTTGCGTACCCCACTGAAGGATTGCACATTGCGCACACTTGGGAGGTATCACACAGCGAAGGTTAGAGGTCAGCGCTGAAGGATGAGGAGGCTTTGTCAAGCCTAACGTCTCTAAATATTCATGAGCAATTACTCCAAATTGAACGTCTGTGCATTATCTTTAAACTGAAAAGGCTCTGAGCCAGATTTACATCTTGATGAAATGGCAAAGACACATTGTTGTTGATAATGGAAAAATTGCCCGGCTGTGCCAAAAAATGTACAATCAGGCCCCATCTCTTTGCATAGCTATGTCCGTGTAGCTGTGTACATGCGAATCCACTGCTGGATTAAGGCTCCCTGACACCGTGTTGGTCATGAGGGTTTATTTGACCATACTTCACGCAGTTCAGTGCACATTGGTGGAGGTGTCAGTTGAACACGGAGGCTTACGCAACCAATATTATCCATAATAGGTTATTGGGTTAGATCGCGTATTATAAATATATTTACACGATCTAACACAAAAACCTCTGTTATGGTGGAGGCGTGCAGCATGAGACTTTGGAGCATAGTACGGTACAACGATGGACATTGCTCCACCGCCCTGTGCTGGCACTGTGGCACCCTAGCAGCAGCCGACTGCATCTGTATTAGGCACGGTGGTCGCCTAAAACCACAGCACTATCCAGGCTCAAAATGCCGCTTAGCTTCCCAGATAGGGCGCATTCCAGGTGATTTACGAAGTCAGGTTATGCAATATCCTAAATCAGCTGTGGAGGAGCAGAATAATGTGTTTGGGTCAATCTCAATTTTAAACACTGCATCTACCGCTTAAATTGATGTAGAATTTAAGTTACATTTGGGCACCTGTTGTTTGTGATTTGGTTTGCACTGACTAGCAAGGGGCTTGCTCGGGCAAAGATTTCGACTTCGCTGTCAAACCACGACTCTCGTTTTTCATCCAGAATGGCTTCACACCTTTGCACATTGCGTGCAAGAAGAACAGGATCAAGGTTATGGAGCTTCTCCTGAAGCACGGAGCATCCATACACACCACCACGGAGGTACCCGCTTAATCTCGCACTGAGCCACCTCATTATCGCTCTTGAATGTAATTAATAGGTTTTTTTTTGCTTCATGTAAGGGGTCTACGTAATTTTTCAACTAAATACACTTTTCTGGGTGCGCGACTTACGCAAGGCGTTTAAGTAGTTCCGTAAAGTGCCCTCTGTGTTTTGTGTTCCCATCGCGTGTGTCTTTGCGTCCGAGGTGGGGTTTTTTCTTTTTCCAATAATTACAGTCGGGGCTTAATGCAAGGGGCACCCATTGCGTTTGGAGACTGCCTTAATAGTGTCTGTGTTTCATTGTGGTTGTGTGCTTTTGTGTTTTGTCTGCGCGTACCAGTCTGGCCTCACGCCTATACACGTCGCCTCCTTTATGGGACATCTCAACGTGGTGCAGCTTCTATTACAGAATGGGGCTTCTTCCAACGCCACCAACGTTGTAAGTTATTTCCAGTGTGATGGACGTAGGGGGGAGATTCAAATAGCTGCCAGAATAGACGCAAAAATTGGAAATTGTGCTTTCTCAACGACGCTGACGTGAACAAGTGCCCGGTTGATACCTTCTGATGTCTCTGAAGCTATAAAACACAGTGGAGCCCAATCATCCCCTGTGCTGAATAATGACCTGCAAATCACTCAGTTGCAAATATATATTGCAATTATTGCCCCTTATGATGGACACTTGTAAGGACCCTCCAGCAAAGACGGTTTCTGAAACTCAACGAGGCATTCTGAGCAAGCAAGCGTAATAATACTGTTGCAAAAAAAAAAACAAGCGTAATAATACTGTTGCAAAAAAAAACTGAGCGCATGGGAGGATGTGACAATATAATCATCCCTTCTGAGTCCTCTTATTAATTTCGGGGGCGCATCATTTGTCTGTGAGCTGACGGGCGCGAACGTGACGGGGGAATAGCGCTGGCGACGTCCTGTGCGTATGCTTTCAGGTCATTCGCCTGCTTGTCATCCCGTTCCCGTCTGTGCACTGCCGCTGCGAGCGTCTTGTCCGTTACCCCGTTGCATCATCACAGCTTGGCCGATCTCGTGTGCCGTGCGACACCCACGAACGACGCCCCGTCATTTGCAACATTTGGCCTCTCTTGATTGAGTCACGTAATAAAACGTTGTCTGCACAAGCGGCAATGATACGGGGTGCTCGTAGCCGAGAACATTCCATTTCCGCGGTGTTGGTGGTGGCGCACTCCCAATAAGCCAACACTGTGGTTGGCGGATCACACGAGTGTTGTGGAGCTCCCTTCCCGTGGGGTGTTGGGGTGCCACAACCCCCCTGGGTTTATGTCAGGAGAAGGCATGAAAGCAGTAGACCAATCTCCATCTCTGCCATCTGTATGGGATAGAGTGTTGCCCCTTCACACGGCATGTGTTTTCTTCAGTTTCCTCCCAAATGCAAACACTCATTAATTTGCCAATAACACCTAAATATATTGAGGACTGCAGAGCTTGGGGGGGGGGGGGGGTGGTGGGGGGACATTTGGTACCGTCTCACCGCCTGGCTACTTTTCCCGCTTGTCTGTGGTTCCTCCCACTTCTGTGTCATTCGCTGTCTTCGCTCGCGAGCGAATACTGTGCAGCGTGTTATAAGTTGACCTTATTGTACCGGTGCCGTCCGTTGTCAAATTATTTTAATTCGATGGCGGTTTCAATTCGCCACTCGGTGCCCACGCTTTCGTGGCGACGTGGAGATTAGGTCTCACACGAGGCTGATCCCTCCGCACCTCCATGAACGTCGCATCGCCGTTCGCGTGAGCCCCACGTGTTCGCCAGCTTCTTGGCTGCGATCATTGCACGTGCTACCATTCCACGCTGTGAAAGATCACTCAAGGTTTCTATTGCTTTGCCACTTAATTTTTCACGTCTCTCACGTAACCCGCAACATTCAACCAGTTCAAACTGCTGCCTAAATTATAATTGCCAAATAATGGAATATACCTTTATATGGACACCGCGTATGTTATCACAGCTTGCATCTACAGGTGTGCCGCGCAGTGAATTCACTCTGTAATTGCACACAAGTCATACTGTGGGGCTCTCCGCTGTGTTTTTGGTTTGTACTGCGTGATATGAACGCAATACAAACCCAAATACATCAGAGAGCTGCACAACCGTGAAGAGCTATGCAGTGGTGGTTTGCTTTGCTTTGTTGCTGCTGGAAGTGAAACTCACAATAATGGTTCATAATTTGGAACATTTGGCATTCCAGCCATTCTTATAGCGCAAGGCTATTAGGAAGGAAGACGCTGCTGCGCTTCACAGACGTAGTCTGCAGTAGTTTCACAGTAGGGGGGCGATGTTGCTATGTGCAATCCCAATTGCGCCATTTGCAATGTAATTTTTCGAATTTGGACCATGATGCCTGCAACGGCCTCATTTTTAACACGACGTCACGGGATCTTTAACCTCCACGATGAAGCAGACGGCCTGTAGAATTTTAAGGTCACGCACCCACGGTAATAACTGAGGGCCAGCCTATCGGATTGCAGCTGCGAACCCTCGCAATGAGCAGCGAACGGTTGCGACTGCTGCGCCGCGCCACCGCCCTCACGGAGTGTGGCGTCGTGCGTGTCTGTCTGGCTCTCCCGCAGCGCGGGGAGACGCCACTGCACATGGCCTCGCGAGCTGGGCAGCTTGAGGTGGTGAAGACGCTGCTGCAGAGTGGGGCACGCGTGGGCGTCAAGGCGCGGGTACGCAGCAGACACACCAGCGCCTGGCCTCCTTGCAGAGTTGCAGATCTACAGTCACTTGCTCTCCATGCCACTGCTGGCAGACGGGCCTCCGCAGGAGCGAGCTCGAGAGAGAGCCACACACTCTAGGGGGGGTATTTGGCCTCTTCCGCACTGGCCAGGTAGGAATTACCCACTGTTTATTCCATCACATTCGAGCGACTGTGTTGGACAGATTTATACTGCTGGGTGGACAGAGGAGGTGGATTTGAGAAGCTTTCACCGTTGTTTCAGCTGCCATGCCGGGAGATGGTATCCAACCGGTGACCTCTGGATTGCAATTCCAGTGCGCGCACAATTACACCACGGATGTTAAGAACCCCCAAAATAAAAATTTCATTTTTCAGCAATTACTCGGGGTTGGAGCAGTGATCTAGTGGTTAGCGCACTGCACTATAATACTTGCGTCCTGAAATCAATTCATACCAACAGCCAACATCAGTGGCGATAAATATCTCAGGTTCATCAAGAGTGGTTAAATAAGCACAGGAAACATTCTATTGACTGGATACAACTCTCTCTGTTTACTGTACCATCATCCCAAGCAGGTCTTTAGGTCCAGCATTCACTTCTCTAGCTGTATTCTAATTGTGCATCTCTGCATAGCAAACTACTCTTTGTGATTTTGTTCCACACGTGGCAATGCAGCCCAAACAATTAAGAACCCTTCCTTGATTTAATGTAACACCTTCCTTGATTTAATGTAACGCCACCCTTGTGTGTTCAGTGGACTGCAGGTGAAGCTATCCACGAAATTGTGTGCACGTGGTAAATTTGTGGTGTTCTCCACATACAACCCCCCCTTCCCCCGTTTCCTCCGACCTGTCCTCCCCACTCATCCATTCCTCACTTTGCCAACTTGCCTGGAACTTACCCCTCACTGCGCCATGCCCCCTCTCTCGACGCGTTCCGCTTTCCCCCCCGAACCCCGCCCCCTCCCCCCTCCAAGGAGGACCAGACGCCGCTGCACATCGCTTCGCGGCTGGGCAAGGCGGAGATCGTGCAGCTGCTGTTGCAGCGAGGCTCCGACCCCAACGCGCCGACCGCCAGCGGCTCCACTCCGCTCTACTTCGCCTCCAGGGAGGGCCACGGCGACGTTGCCTCGCTGCTGCTGGAGAACGGCGCCGACATCTCGCCGGTTACCAAGGTCAAAATCAATGAAGGCTCGGCACATCACGGCGCTTGCTAACAGACGGTGCTTTACTTGGCATCCGAGGTGCCTCTCCTAGGAGTAATAGTCAGGGATTCATTTTTTCACTCAATGTTTTCTGGGTCGCTGCTAGAATGGAGTAGTGACTCATAGTAGCTGCGGGTATCACGAGAGCTATACAGTCCCCGAACTTCGACTATTATGGAAATGCTCCCATAAATCATGTAAAAAATTCAACATGCGGGAATGTTTGCGTTAGTAACGTAATCGCAGTTAGTGCAGCGCAGTGAGGTTGCAGGTGAATACCGTGGAGCGAGGCCTAAGTCCCGCCTTACGCCTCGCTCCACCAAAACTACGCCTTCACCGAGCACGAGCTTCACGATGAAGGATTAAGGTCAATGTATGTTTTATTGCATTACGTAATTCTTTTCCTTTTGTAGCATTACGTAATTGTTTGTTTTCTATGCTTAGAACTATTTTTTCCCATGTTTATACTGATAGTTTTCTTCATTTTAAGTTTATTTTATGATTTATTAACTGTATGTGCTTTATTTAACACGATTACACTTCGATCACTTATGGTCTCAGCCAACAGCGATCGGAGAAGTCTAGGCCTAGCCTAATGCACGGTAAGTGAACATTCGGAAGTGACTGCTTTCCGTTAACAATTAATATTAAAATGTTTCGTGGTATACATGAACAATTGGATACAGTATATGTTCCATTTGTTTAATTATGGGTAGCGTTAGGGTAGATATTCGATGCAATGAAAGAAGCAACAGAGAGAGAGAGCGACATGGAGTAGGAAGAGAGGGGGTAGAGAGAGAGAGGGAGAGGGCAGAGAGGGGGGTAGAGAGAGAGGGAAGGGGTAAGGAGAGCAGAGCGAGAAACCTTTTGTTAAATCTTTCATTGAAAAAGGGGGGGGTTTACATAAAGCAAAGCAATGAAGAAAAATAACGAAATGATGAACGAAGCAAAGTGCCGACTACACCGAGCATCTTCTTGTTTCCTCTGATCGTAAAAAATTAAGAAAGAATCATAGGAAGTGCAGAGCGTATGTACAGCGATACGATACAGGCAGCGATAGAAAATGGACGGCAGTACGATACTGTGCTGAGAGAAAACAAACCTAGTGATCGGGTAGGGGAGGCACAACTATTTCCGGCTTTGAGATTTTATCTTGATTTTGAGGGATAATTGTTCAGTTTCCGACATGGAAAATTCGGGTTACGGATCATGCTCGGGAACCTTACCCTTGTGTAACCCGAGGACTGCCTGTACCGGTCGTGGTGTTCCGGGCATGGGAATATTTTCCAGGGCGCCAACCCAGGCAAATCCAGCTGAAATTAGGCCCACGTGTTACGGTTATTTGGTTATCCAGGAAAGCTTTCCCGAGACCCTTTTGCAGCATTGGTGTCTTTGTTTATTGGTTTTTGTTTGTTTTCTTATCTAATCAATGTTTTGTGTCTGGGGCGAAGTCAGAATCTCCCCGCAATAAAAAAAAATCATACTTAGCAAAGGACATCACTTAAAAGTTTGCACAGACGGGTTCGTGAAACCACTGCTCGTGGTCACCTCGCAGCCAGCATCTCCCGGTGCACTCTCACTATTAATAGAGATTAGAATATTTTAATTAAATTAACCGTTCCGCACAGACATGCCGTAAATTAATTAATTGACCCCGTGTTGTTAAACCGGGTGAATAGAAACATCCCTTCACGTGCACATTTGTCTTCTCCATTGGGGCATTCACGTTTACTCCTTTTGGTTAAGTTTGCTTGCTCTTCATGGGGCTGATATTAAAAGCACAATGCTCACTTTCCCTACTCAAACATTGGGCTTCATCCAAGCATCGTCTTTTCAAGCATAATTTAATGCTATCGTGCAGTGAACTCAGTGGGGCAATCGCAGATGAGAAATAATGGCAGTAATTGCTTTATTTTAATCGAGATTGCCTTGATACGTGCAACAAATGTACGGCTATATTACATGACATCAAAGGCAAATCAAAGACAAATGGAAGCTATTGCACATATAAAAAACAAATATGTGCTGCAGTGTGCGACAACATATATACGTCAATAAGTGCATTACTAGAGTCATAAAGTCATTTATGCTGCAGCAAACAACAATAGCTTTAACGCTATAACAATAATGCATTACTGCTCTGCTTTTTTTATCCCATTTTATAGAATAATATGTAAGGACATTCTGTGGGTCGCGGGGAAATGTGATCTATGTTGCTTATGTAATGACTTTTCCTTGAGCAGTGATTCTGAACCCCTTATGGACCTATGGGCCACGGGCAACCCTCTAAACAACGATTTCTGCGGACCGCCATGCTCCAATAATGCACTCTTCCAAAGTCAAACGACTCGTTTAATTCGTAGAATGTGCAACACTTCCACAGACCACTTTGCCACGGCCTTGCGGGCACCTCGGTGGGAACTCGCTGGGTTTGAGCTCGCAGCCAAATGCATGAGCAGGAGTTGTGGGGTGTTTAGTAACTTTCTTGGTGTGCCCTACAGAAAGGGTTCACGCCACTCCACATTGCCTCCAAGTACGGCCGACTGGAAGTCGCCACTTTACTTCTGGAGAAATACGCGTCTGCTGACCCCAAGGGCAAGGTATTAGCACTGCTGACCCATCACACATGCGCACCCTCATGTACAAATACAAAGACTAAGATTCTTCGTAGTGCCTTAACAAACTCTTGGAGCAAGTGCTGTTAGCGAACAACTATGAAGACCAGCATGGCATACGAGGGGGTGGGTGGCCAACCCCACGCCTGGCTGTCTTTGTTGCCTGAGTGGCGATATTTACACACCACACCAGGTACTAATTTTAGGCTGAGTCGACCTAGGAAAGGCCCAGGACTGGTTCTGATCGTCATTGGTGTTGGCCGTGAACGGGAATCGAACTCGGGTCGCCAGGTTCGTAGCGCAGCATGCTAACTGCTCCACGACCGCTCCCCACCAACATTCACACTTACACACACACCATTATGGTGTAGAAATACAAGAGTAGTAGTAATTTTGTTAGAAAAATCTACAGTAGATTCCTTACTTAATAGAACCATTGTGAAAGTGTATATCAATTTTATGACAAAGCTATTGACAAAAGAATAAACGTTCTTATTCCTCGGCCAAGTTGACATTTTTTTGTTTCAAAATTTAATTTCAACTGTGCTTTTAGCAGCGTCACTTCATGAGATGAAGTTTCCATTTGGGGAATCTCACAGAGCAATGTAAAATGGCCCCTTGTCTCCTCGAAGAAGGAGCGGTTACAGACCTAATTCTGAGATCTCTGAAAGTGACCTATATTTGGAGGAACCGTCCGACCAAATCTAGGTAGGGCACGAATCAAATCTATCTGCCTTTTGAACACGGAGCAGCCAATCGTCATCAGGCTGGGTGCTGCTATACAGCAACAGACTGTGAAGCTTTGTGTTCATCCGCTCGTAACCTTCTTCCGACTGCTTCGACATCACCAGAACTGATTTTGACTCACCACCCTGCAAGATTTTCTGACCGGGGGTTGCAGATCAATAAAGAAAGAAATAACGTGATCAATTTTTTTTTTTTATTCTGCACACCACCGTTCATTTATATTATTGTTGCATTTGAAATTTGTTATGAGGTGGTTTGTGCTCAGCTAATGGTTACTGGGCTGAGACTATCCACTCACTACACTTTAATCACTTTCCTGACACCGTATTCAAACCCAGGGTCTTGGCAGTTCCAGCTCAGTGCTCTGAACTCGAAGCGACCGGGCCACCTCCAGCTAAATACAATTATTAAAGACGTGCATCCAAGCATATGCTAGAACAACTTGTTATTTTGTTTACTCTGGAATCATTCAGGGATAATATGGCTTAGTTCACTATCAGCACCCCCCACTTATGCAAATTAACGATATGGATTATGTGTGCGATTTTTGGGTATGTCCGAGGAGTGATGGTGCAGTGGTTAGCGCATTGTGCGATCTGATTTGAATTCCCAGCCATGACTGACGTCAGTGGCGAGTGTTATTTCAAACGGTTCTGGGCTCCTTCCTAAACCTGGGCCTCTGAAAGTCAACGAAAAATGTAGCACTTGACGAGGTGTGTGAATATCATCACTGGGGAGGCATAGGTGGCACGGCATGGTGTTGGCCACACCCCACCGCCTTGTGTTGGCCACACCCCACCGGCCTCAATATGAATAGGTGGTCGCAAACAATACATGCCAGTCTACAAGGCTATATATCCACACAGCCGCGGAGGCAATGCAGGCCTGTGATTTACATATTGTTGCGTTTTATAGACATTCAAATAAATGGGTCTCCATCGACCTGGTGCCCCTCATCTCTCCACTTGGAAAGTGCAAGATATAGAGGGGATCTGTCCCGTGACCTTCCTGCCAGCAGTCATTCGACACTTCACGTGGCATTAGAGTGCACATAAGCTGGCACAAGCGCCATAGTGATGGCACCGCCGCTTAATGCGAATGGCGGTTGTTGTGTTCTCGCTGGACAGAACGGACTGACCCCGCTGCACGTGGCCACGCACTACGACCATCAGAAAGTGGCGCTGTTGCTGCTCGACAAAGGGGCCTCCCCGCATTCAACTGCCAAGGTCAGCCCAGCTCACACACCTCGCCCCGACGTGCACGCACACCGTACGCTGCGCCGCGCTCCCTGGTTATTGTAAATAGCCTGGTCACAATAGCGGTTGTTGACGTTTGTTTTCTCTTTTATTATTATTATCGTGAGCAAATTTGACCACAAAAATGTGAAAAATATACATTTTGTTGATTGCAGTTTTTCAAGTAATATTGAGGTCGTTTTAATTTTATTGCAATGCATCGTATTTCACTTTTGTGAACTTTGGAAATCTCTTCGGCATTGTGTGCAACGACAAGTGCTGACAATGACCATCAGTACTGACATTTTCTCACTTTGTGCTTTCCTTTCTTCTCAACGTTTCTTCCAATTGTTAGCACAATTGTTATTCACTGCTCAAATTCACTCTCCCGAGGCATCGTAACAATAACAGAACGATCGAGGGGCCGGAGCTTATAGGCACGGTGGTTTGCACGCTGTGCTGTCTATCGAATGACCTGAGCTCTATTCCGATCCAAGGCAAAGTATCGGCGGCAAATTACCGTATTTTCCCGCATATAACCCGCGGGGTATACCACTTTTTACAAACAAAACAAGACCCTGCGGGGTATATGGAGGTGCGGGCTATCCCAAAAATATTTTACACATGTGACATGTCATGACTCGTTTAATTATTTCATGGTAGGACTATCCACTATGCAACACTTACCTTTGACTAAAGCACTGCTGAATAAACCACTCACATGTTATCACATTTTTAATGAATTGTTTGTACAATTAAACGACTGTTTGAAGTGTGCGCACTGTTTACCGGCGACGGGAGAGCTGGGGAGAGAGGTGGGGGTTGGGGGTGGGGCAGCAGGGGGAGAGGTGGGGGGGTTGGGGGTGGGGCAGCTGGGGGGAGAGAGAGGTGGGGGTTGGGGGGTGGGGCAGCTGGGGGGAGAGGTGGGGGGTTGGGGGGTGGGGCAGCTGGGGGGAGAGAGAGGTGGGGGGTTGGGAACGAGGCATTTGCATTACCGTATTGCCGCTATTATCTGCGCAGTGCGCAGTCTACCAGTGCTAAATCTGTACCTATCTACCAGTTATGTGTTACTTATTGTATATTTACTTTTGTTACTTATTTACTGTTAGTTTGTTTTCTTTGTGCACGTTATGCTTTTAATGTTAACAATTGATAGTGGAATGTATTACAAATGTAAACTTCGTATTAATATGATGGAATTAAGCTGCGGTGACGACGTTAAAGCTATGAATGCATGCGGGGTATATGGAGGTGCGGGCTATCTGAATTTTTTTTACACAAAACGTTATTTTTGCGGGGTATATGCGTCTGCGGGTTATATGCGTATGCGGGCTATATGCGGGAAAATACGGTATGTCTGATCGGTCCTTGGGTCTTCATCGACACACTTTGGCCATTGTTGTGCAGTGTGGTCAAACAGCCCCCACGATCTAAACCAATGGAGAGGTCCATATCCAGCAATGCTTTGGAAAATGATTAATTCTTATTCTTATTACCAATTAGATATCTAACATGATCCATGTGCCATTTTTATCGCTGCAGTGGGACAGTTTAACTTGAAATAGATTTCACCCATTCACTCCGGTTCAGTGAAGGGACATCTGGCCATGACATGAGCACTTCATGCCCTCTCTTTATGATGGAATGACTGGAATATTTGATGATTGCCCAAATGATCGGATCATGTACTCGCTCGGGAATATTTCCACATCACGATTTGCACATCCCACCAACACTGTGCAAGGGGCACGCGCTCCGACCACCAGGCGACCAAGTCGGCCTACGCACCGCGTGCCTCCAGACACGGTCCTCGTTTTGCGTTTGAAATTCGCGGCCTGATATCCAAATGACTCAACCGCTGTATTGTATGTATGTACGTATGTTGATCTTCTTTCGCTCTGTACATAGCTAACCGCGCTTATTGGAGGTGTGGGGGAAGGACAACAAACTAAACACAAAAGCAGGTCTACAGAAATGAGATTTAAATCTAGCATTAAAAATGCATAGATACGAGTGGCTTCCTAATATTGGAAGAAAGAGCGTTTCAGACGGCCACGGAAGCGCATCTGCTAAGCGCGTGATTGCCACGCCATCGAGGCCAATCCACTTTCTCATTCCATTTTCTTGGCCACCGCCATAAGGTGGGTTCACCACGGTGTGGGACCGCCGTGTGTGGGGGCAGGTGCTCCAGTAGTCGCACGAAGCGGGGGGTCACGGGCGCACAAGCGCATGCCGAATCGGCGTGCCGGTTGCTGTAGCCAGATAGATGTTAGTGCAAAAACAGCGAGACGCTGCCGTTGCGTGAACAGCTGTTTGTTCCTCCTGGGCACGGCCTGTTTAACGGCTCACGTACGATCCGATGAATTCAATCAGAGTGTCGGGGCACGGGGTAAGAGCATTGCAACAAAGTGTCATGAGAGGATAGCCGTGATTCTGTTACCTTTGTTGTATACAGCGTCTCGTTTATAGCTTCTGTCTCATTTGTGGTGTGTGCTATCCCGTTTATATCGTCTAATTGGTTCGGCCTCGTCTGTGCTGCCTATCTCATTGGTCGTCTCATGTCTACTCTCTTGTTTTGTCGTGACCGTGTCGCATTTGTGCGATATTATTTGTTTAGGCTCGTTTGTTTGGTTCATTTGTTCTGTTAGCCTAAATGTACTTGAACAGGCTTTTGTCAGTCCACTGCTGGATGGGGGCCTCCCTGCACCACGCGGCTTGTGGGGGTTATTTTAACGATGCTTCACCACGCTGGTCAGTGTGGGTTGGTGAAAACGGGACACATAGACGTGGGAGCATGAAGTACAACACAACAATGGATTTTTCTGCACTGCCCTCTGCTGCTCACCATGTGGCTCCGCAGCCTATAACACCATGAAGTGCATGGTGGTTACCCATCCAATGCACTGCTAAGCTTCCGAGATTTGATAAGAAGGCATTGCCTGAAGGTACCGGTATATCATTTGCCTAGATTATACATGATACATTCTAACACGCCAGATGTGATGCGTGCATTGTGAGCATAAGAATCAGTTTCGCTCCACGACTCCATGAATAACTCGGCAGTTGTTTTGATCACACAAAATAACTTGTAAATACATTTACGACTAATTAATCCACGAACCTTTGCATTGGTTGATATGCGAAGGAATGGGGGGTGCTGAGAAATCACTGGGTATGAACAGGACTCCTTCTGGGTTTGATCATCACCACGCACAATGCACGGACTCTGCCTGGTGCGATCACGCGTACGTACGTGTGTTGAATTTCTTTTTCACCGTACGTAGCCAACCGTGCTAATCGGAGGTGCACGGTCGGCTATTCGACCTCGTTGAAGGAATGCCTCCGAGGGGACGTTCGCCAAGGAAAGACATGGAGCAGTGAAATTATCTCGCGTGCAGCTGCCATGCTGTTGCATCGCAGCATCGTGACGGGTGGCAGTGGTTTGAGTCGAGCTTCATCCAGCAGTGGATTGACCGTGGCTGACGACGACGACGACGACGACGATGATGATGATAATCCGAATGCACCACAGAACGGCTACACTCCGCTGCACATCGCCGCCAAAAAGAACCAGCTGGAGGTGGGGAAGGTGCTGCTGGAGCTGGGAGCGGAGACCAACATGCTGACCCAGCAGGGCGTGGCACCGCTCCACCTGGCCGCCCAGGAGGGCCACGCAGACATGGTGGCGCTTCTCCTGGGGCGACACGCCAGCATTAGCCTTGCTACCAAGGCGAGCGTCCACATGCACGCGCGCTCAAACGCATGCACTCGCGCGCGTACGAGGACAAAGATCCTCCGTACGGCATTTTGCAGGTCCTGTTGGGGCACGTGCTGTTAGCGAGCACCTATGAAGGTCGGCATGGCACACGACGGGGTGGGTGGTCAACACAGATCTCTGGCTGCCTTTGTCTCCCCGCTGCTGATGGCGTTTACACACCACTCCAGTTCCTCATTTAGTACTAAGTCGACCTCAGAGGCACTCAGGACTGGCTCAGATATTCGCCACTATTATTGGGCACAAGTGGGAATTGAACTTGGGTTGCCAGCTTTGTAGTGCAGTGGTGGCAAAGGACAACAGCACAACAAAGATACAAAGACAAAGATCCCCCGTATAGCCTGGACAGACTGTTGGGGCAAGTGCTGTTAGCGAGCACCTTTGAAGGCTGGCACGGCACACGAGGGGGTGGGTTGCCAGCACCATGCCCGGCCGCCTTTGTTTCCCCAGTGTCGATGTTTTAAACATTAATTTGACACCGAGGCGACCTAGGGGAGGCCCAGAACCTGTTCAGATAATCGTCACTGGTCTTGGCCGTGAGCAGCAATCGAACTCAGGTTGCCGGGTTTGTAGCGCGGTGCACTAACTGCTCCGCTACCGCTCCCCACAATACATGCACACACGCCCGTGCACACACACGCCCGTGCACACACACGCCCGTGCACACACATGCACACGCACACACACGCGCACACGTGCTGATTCGTGCAATCACACAAGCCAGTACCTCATGTTTATGCATGTGCGCACCCAGACTTGCATAATTAGAAATGTGTCTCGAGTGCAAGTAGTATGAAAAGAAAGGTGAAAGTGCCGCCCTGCAATTTTTTGCTCGCATCGCCGTTGGCAGAATGATGTCTACTAGAGGGAGCTTTAGAGGGTGTTTGGCCTACTCTTCAATGCTGGACAACATCTTGAAAGAGGTGGAATTGCCAGTGCTTTACTCCACCATCCAGGACCTCCCGATCGATTATCTGTGGTGAACCCACGTAGACGCCACGAAGGCGAGATGTTTACTACCTCACCTGGTATACAGGAGATTGTGGGTTCGATCCCGATGCTGACGCCTGTATATTTAGAGTTTGCATCTTATCCGTGTGGTCGTGTGAATTTTTCTCTTGGTCCTCCGGTTTTTCCCTCGACATTTAAAATCATGGGAATATTTGGCTACTATAAATGTTCACATGATAAGCCACTTGGTTGAGCTACCATTTGTGGCCTGGTTGCTTCTGAAACAGCTATCTGGCTCAGTGGGCCTTACCTGGTAAATTAAAAATCGTCGAGAATAGTTTTTAGTCTGAAACAACTGCCGCACCAGGTAGATGGAACCGGCGACCCCTGGATTGCAAATCCAGCATGCTAGCCATGCCACTCTGGTCGCCTTCTCCACAAGTTAATGGCCATTTGCCCTAAACACTGTGGAGGCGTTTTAGTCTCGGTTTTTGAAACTGAAGACATGCAAGTGGACCTGTGCCGCGTAATGGTGCAGGTGTGCGTTCACAATGCATTGTTCTCGTGCCCACGTGGTTTTTAGAACATTGCTCTCTGCCTTCTCATTTCGTGCAGGGTGGCCTCACAGCCATGCACCTCGCCGCTCAAGAGGATAAAGTGAACGTGGCGGAAATCTTGACGAAGCATAAAGCGGACGTGAATACCACCACCAAGGTACGCCGACCGAGAAAACACAGCCAAAATGCTGAACCGGCCATGATAATTATTGCTATCATTACATTTTGACGTGAAATGTACTCACGTGTACAAACTAGTTTGGGCAAATGGAAATAATGTGATCGTAACCAGTGTGTAAATGTAAACTGTGTCCATGGGAACTATTATGTTTACCACTATCCATCTGATTTGTTTCTGCCTGCCTCAATGCAGCTCTGCTACACCCCACTGCATGTGGCAAGCCACTACGGAAATATCAAGATGGTGAACTTCCTTTTACGAAACAGAGCTCTCGTCAACGCTAAGACCCGGGTAAGACGTCACGCGCAGATGCTGGGCAGCGCTCGCCGATTCCTTCTAAACTCTCGTTCTGTAAAACCACGCCGCTCGGGAATTTCTAGGAAGGTGTTTTTAGGCCTTTGGCGATAACCTGCGGTCGTTATTTTTTATAGCAGCGCACCGCTGGGTTGTACGTGGATTCCTGCGGACGGAGCGGTGGTGGAGGTTTCTGTTTTGTTTTAATGCATTGCAGAACGGCTACACGCCGCTTCACCAGGCCGCGCAGCAGGGGCACACGCACGTGGTCAACGCCCTTCTGCAGCATGAAGCTTCCCCTAACGAGCTGACCGCCGTGAGTTTCCTGTCCGTCATTTCTGTCGCCCCACACAGCCGAGCAGTTCACATGACAGGGGACTTTGCTGGGGGATTAGCACGATTCCTGCAGTTGTGGCATTCTGGTTATAATCTGCAACAATGGCAACTTTACGCAAAATTCTTTTTGAAGATATCAATTATTTTCTTTTTAGTTAAGCGTGGTTTTGTAGAGTATACGTATAAATAAATAATGCAAGTCCAGCCGTTCTCAATCCACAAATGGATGAAGGCTTCCCGACGCTATGTAAGTCATGGGGGTTTTTGACCATACTTCACCACACTTCATTCGTGGTCGTTGGTGATCGGGGAGAGGGCAGGACCAGTGCTGACATTACTTGTCACTGGTGTTAGCCATGGGCAGGAATTGAACTTGGGTGACGGGGTAAATTGTGTGCATTGCTGTCCACTGTACCACTGCTGCTCCATCATTTACATACTCAACATATCATAAACAACCCTTCTGCCAAAATGTAAATTTTACAAAAAGGTTCGGGCGTCAGTGATGCTGAGCGCGCGCCCCCTTTGCGACTCTCTCGCACAGAACGGAAACACAGCGCTGGCCATCGCGCGGCGCCTCGGCTACATCTCCGTGGTGGACACGCTCAGCATCTTGACCGAGGAGCCCGTGACGGGCGTCAACGTGAGTGTCCGTCCGCGCGCGCGGGGCAACTAGAGCCACTCGCGCTCCCTCTCCGTTTTGACGAGTGTGGCTGCTACATTTCCACGCGAATGATCCCCCTGACAATCTACCTAATTACATTAAAGCCCTTTGCTGGATTTGCATTTTTAGAGCACGGACAGCCCCTCACTTTTCATCCTCTGGTGGATCGTGCTTTTGACGAGGCAGAGTACAGGTGCGGGTTTGCTTCTGGGCCATCCGGTCTCCTCGCTCACGTTGAAAGCGAACTCGCTTCAGTCACCCGGTGCTCGCAGAGCAGCAGCAGCGTACGCCGGGGCTGCAGCGGCCACACGCAGGGAAAGTCGGAAAGTTCAACACATTTAGAACCGAGCAGATTAATGCGATTGGATTATAAGGAGACCGTTTGGTCAGCTGGTGTCCGCTGAAGATGTTACATAGCTACGGTGCAGCTGCCGTGTGTGTCCATGAGTAAGGTGTAAAAACAAAAGAGTTTTTGCATTGGTAACATTAGTATACTGTAAGCGGAGTGGTGGACAGATGAGTGACCCTTGAAACCATTTCGTTGTTATCTCAATCGTCCCTGTTGTGATAATGTGGCCGCGCGGATGTTGGCAAAAACAGTGCGACTTTATCCACCTCTGGGTAGAATATCAACCAGGGTGAATAAAGCATAAAGACAGCTGATGGCCGTTACGCGTGCTCTTTTAAAATGTGATTCAAACACGTTTGTTTTCCAGGTAATTCTCCCTGCGGGGATGATAGAGTTATACGCTGTTCGCGCCCAAACGCCAGCAGGGACCCTTGATTTTATTTTCACGCTTCTGCTCAAGCACGCGGAGTGATGCCACTCTAGCTTAGCATGCGCCCACACGAGAGGGTGCTTATCTCCTGTCTCCTCCTCTCCCCCCCACCCGACCCGACCGCCCCAACCGTCCCTCTCTCCTCCTCCTCCTCCTCCCACCACCACTGCTACGACTCCTCCTCCGCTACCCTTCCCACCTTGCAGACGGTGATAGAGAAGCACAAGTTGAACGTTCCCGAGACCATGAATGACGCACTAGACCTTTCTGACGACGAAGGTAAGAGCTTGTGTTGTGAGCAAGTGTGCTGGCGCATGGTGGCTGCCACTCCCCTCACCCCCCCTGCTCAATCTGGATCCAAAGTTCTTCTTACGGTGCCACAACAGCACCATAGCATGGCCAGGAAGTGCTTTGGTGCCGAAGGTGAAACTTTCATTTCTGTCGCCAAAGTGGATTGACCTGTCAGGGACACGTAACTGCTTTGATATGCTTCGAAGTGGCATCTATAACTGCACATTGTTAAAATGAAAATGCTGTGTTTGGAATTGGATGTGCGATTGGGAAAATTCACTCATTGCAACTAACCACGATCCGCAGATTGTTTGCAAATGATTTGCGTGTGTCTAACACGGTTTGCTTTAGCCAAGCGAGAAATGAAAAGTTTGTCTGTTTGGCCCCAGCGAGATCAGATTCACCATTCATTTTCACGTCTTTTATTTGCAGATTTGACCTACTGCGTGACATTTGTTTTAATTAAACTTCAATTTATGGTCATTGTTTTACTACAAGCACACACATACGTCACAACATTGAGCTATTCAATTTTTCAATTGTGCATAGTTGGCGATTGTTGATTTTAATTTCTCTAATTTAAATTGATGTTTGCCCTCCCCTGTACTGACCCCCTACATCCCCTCCCTCGCCCTTTTGAGTTTTAACATCACATTTGTTTCGTTTGATGTTTGTGTTCGTTTTGCCTCGGACTTCTCAGTGTGTAAGTGCTCCTCTGTGCCTGAGCGGGTGGCAGAGGGAGATTACTTCTCCGACTCGGAGGAAGGTACCCTGGCCTCGTCTCTCTAGGGGAAGGGGCTCAGGGTGGCCCAGGGTGGCACGCTGGCACGGTGGTGTGTGCAATTATGCAGCAATCGAGAGGGGGGTGGCTGACGGTGGCGGTGGCAGTGGCACTATTTTTCTCTTACCTTGCTTACCTTCTCCGTTTACATTTTCAAGCCATGCATGCATCAGACTTAACGCGACTTACAAGAAGGAACCCTTTTCCTAAATGTTGTGCAACTTGTCAGAGTTTGAACGAGGACGCATGGCAGAATTTGTTGCAGTGTTGTCAATTTTCTGAATATCAGTTCCTGTTATTTTTACACTGACACGTTGAGTGCAGTGCTACTGCGGGAGATTATTAATTCAGGCCTGAGGCAGTTTCACTGGTTTTACCAGTGAAACGTGGCTCAAGAATGCCACGTCTGATTTTGTCGATAGGTGATAGGTGCGGCAGTCTCTTCCTTATATTTAGTGCACGATGCAGACGCTGCTGAAATGTAATTCTTAAATGGCAGGATGTGGACAGGGTCACTGCCACACAGACACACTCTACGTGGACCACTGTTCAGGACCAGGTCACTGTAGGTGGCTTCTTATGGCCAGTATAGTGGTATCTGAAGCCAGATCACCATTGTCCCCGCTGCTGCGCAACTGTGTTGAGAAAGGGTAGTTTCTTGGTTATTTAAAGTTGAGTTAATGGGGATACCCACGTGTAATGGATATTACACGTGGGACGGTCATTCTCGCAGAAGCGGCTTTTGTCTAACCACTGAATAAAGACGCTCACTGCATCGCGCGCTTTTAGATGCACTTCTGTGGCCATCTGGAACGCTCTTCTTTCCGATATTCGGAACCCACTGGAGCTGTGCACTGTTAATGCTAGATTTAAAACTAATTTCTTTAGAACTTTAGTTTGTTGCCCTTCCCCCTCACCTCCGATTAGCCTGGTTGGCTATGTACGGAGCGAAAGAAGTTCAACATACATACATACAGCACAGCAAACAAAGTATTCTGTGCTTTATTAATGATATTGGTGGTAAGGTCGGCAGAAGGTATGCTGTCATGTATTGGTAATTAAACAAAGCAGTTAAAATACTTTGAAGAGTTGAACTGTCATCTTGCAGGTAGGGGGCATTTGAAGTAGCACAAGTAACCTCTGGCCCCCACTCTGCACCCCCACCCCATGATCTTCCCTGCCCTGTCACGCATGCCTATATTTTCCCACGGGTGCAATAAGCACTGCCCGTAGGTCTCACCTGTGACTAGGAGGTCTAATCTGCGAGCGCTACGTGACTTGACGATCTGCACAAAGAATGAAAAAAAAAGGCTCGTAATTCTGAAGTCTGACCACTGTCTGAGTTTGGAACTGCACTGGTGGGAGGCGGTGATGTGCCCACTGTCCCTCCCACGCACACACAGCTATGTGTCTACATGTGGTTTTGAGATGTGTGTGGGCGCTTATGCCGTCAAGACATCTGGGATACAGTTCATCGCGCTGTCGTCGGCTCTGTGGCGGGTAACGGCAGGCACGGCCGAGCAGGGAAGCTCTCTCACGGACAGCTAAACCCAGGCGCACAACGGCGACCCAATGCTACGTCCATGTGCACACGTCCCTGAAATGCAGCAACACAAAACCTTGTTGGGAGCTTCTCGTCTCCAACATCCATTTCAGAGGAGGCAGCGGCAGCTAAACGTGGCGCAGTGTCATGACTGCGCAGACGCGAAGTCCTACAGCTTCCATGCGGAGGAAGCGTGCCAGTGATTCCACTCCACAGCTTTCAGGGTGCGCCGTTCGCATCGTTTGCCATCAATCCCGGGATTGTGAAGCATGGTAATTCGCCGTCGTAGCGTTTATTTTCACACGCGCAGACAATAAAGGTTTGGCCAGATTGCGATGCACGAACTGGCCCTGCCAGAAGCAGCAGTGGGCTTGGCAGTGACTAAGCAACCGTAATTAACCACACATGCTGCAATTCGGCAGATACTGAAAATGGCTCAACGTTATTTTAAAAATGTACAACGTTTGTCACCACCAAAGCTCTCTGCCTTGAAGAAAACATCCGTTCGATCATGGGCCTGCTGAATGCGTTGCCTGCTCTTCCCGGCGGCTCGTTTATCATTGCCATTTCATTTATCACAGCGCGAGAGATGCGCATTTGTGCTCGTGCATAAAATTAAACAACTCTGTGTGAACCAGTCAATTAACTCATTGCTGCAGGGAAACTTATCCCAAACCATCGTCTGCTCAAGTTTTGGCAGGAAACTGCTCACACCTGTGACTGCCACATAACTAAATGTCCCTGTTTATAGAGGCACTTGACAAAATTCCCTCCGATACAAAGGTTAATTCAATGGTTTCGCCATGACTGTTTCACGATTGGCTGATGCTGATTGGCCATCCACCGCAGTATTTCCACCTAATCTCCGACACCGTGTTCCTGCATTTTTACCTGAGCACTCTAATATTTCCCAAGTGTGTGCTATTAGTGCTACTGTATATGGGAGCACCCTTATGAGTCGTGTGAATACCACTTTTTTTTCCACCAGTGGGGTGTTCTATACCAATGAGCACTCGCTGTTCTAGCAGTGGAAACATTAGCTGTCTCGCCAGGATAATTACCATCCCAATTGCTGATTGTGACATTCTCACCCCTCCCCCCCGTTCAAGGCTTGCAATGGTAAAAATCTGCACGTGTTAAAAACAAACAACCAAAATTAATTTTCCATACACAATTTGGCAGCGCCGTATTGTTTCCATTGCCATCGTATTATCTGTAAAACGGCTTAATTTACCAAGTTCTGTATGTACACAAGCAAGTAAACAACGGAACAAGAATGTAAAATGTTTATTATTTTATAATATACACACGCACACCAACGGGGTATTTTTATTTACTATTAACTATTTTTATTTTACCAGGTAAGGCCCACTGAACTATACAGCTTTTTCTCAGAAGCGACCTGGCCACAAATGATAGCTCAATGAATTGGCGTATCATTTGGGAATTTATAGCAGCCAAATACTCTAAACGCATGCTAATTCTAAATGTGAGGGGAAAAAACCATAGGACCTGGAGTAAAATCCACACGAGCACGGAGAGAGAGACATGCAAACTCCAAATATACATGCGTCAGGGTCATGATCGAATCTGTGACCTCCTGCATACCCGGCAAGGGAGTAAAAATTTCGCCACCGTGGCACCCCAATGGTGTGGGTACCCCCAACTCTTCAAAGATGTCTGGCCAGAGTGGGAGAGTTGTTGAGATACCCTCTAGTGGAAGCACATTCTGCCAGCAGCGGCATGGGCAAGCAATTGCAGGGCTGCGCCTTTACCTTGTTACCGTTCCTCACACAAACAGCCGAACGCCTCCCGGACTTTGTTTTGGGGGGCGGCGGTGCACACCCGCCAACGCCGCCGTCTGTAAGAAGCAGGCGACGTTCCCAGGGTTGGATTTCAGCGCCGCAACACCGTGCCGCAATGTCCTAATAAGGGATTTGGCATCCCGAGTGCTCAGCCCCATGCCAAAGCATCTTCCCGTGTTGCAGGAGCACAACAGTAACCGTAGGGCCCAGCGTGGTGTGTAGAGACGCGCCCGGCCAGCGCTACCGTCTTGGTAATCACCGGGCTCTGATCGCCTTGAACTTGTGGGGGGGGTGGAGGGGTTGAGGGAGAGTATGGGGGGGCGGGGGGGGAGGAGGCCTCTGCACTTTCTTTATTATTTACTTTCTCTCTGTGCGATTGGTCGAGTCGGGTCAGTCCGGATGCCTTGGCCTGAATTTGTAATCGAGACAGAGAAAATGTGTGGTTTAACGTTGACATAAACAGATCATGGATGGGGGGGGCGCACGCGCAAGGCTGACGCTGCTGCTGCTAGCGGTGTGCGGTGGGAGGCTTCTGCTGGGTTTCTTGCACGGCTTGGAGTGTGCGCCAATGTGTCATTGGGATATTCGTCGTGAGATTGTGGAATCACAGCTCACAGGCTCTGTGTATCCCCTTTACGCCTTGATACTTTCATGCAGATTTGTTTGTGGAAGTTTTGTAAGAAAAGTATATACCGCCTATGCATTCCCTCCACCATTTCAATATCACAATTAGCGCGAGGCTTTTGTTTTCTTCATTGTTGTATTTTTCACTCGTAAACGGATTCTTGAGTTGCTAAAAATACGTTCGCATTCCCTTTCAACGACAGATGAGCTGGGTGATCTGTGAGGACTGCATAGCGTCTAATAATAGGGATTTGTTCATAAGCTCTGATTGAGAGTGTTTCGATACCATACCAGCACCTTCTTCTCGAGAGAGAGAGAGAGAGAGAGACAGGGCGGGCACACTTGTGCGTTATCTTGAAAGCATACATTTCATTTACTGCAGGAGTTTAACAGCCAGTCGTCACCAATCACAGCTCAACAGTTTTTAAAGTCACGTCCGCTCCGACCCCTCCAGCCCCAATTCTGGGTTGAGTCACCGGTTTTCTCTTCCGTCCTCTTCCCCCGCAAGTTCACCCTAGTGTGGCACTCTACCAAGGGGCCCCATCTGCTGCCGCTCTAACCCCCGACGCTCCACTGACCCTTGCGCCCATTCTACCCCCAACCCCTCTCCGCACCCCTTCTCTCTTCCCCTCCCCCGACGCTCGATGCGTAGGTGAGGACGGGATGGCCGGCGGCGAGTACCTCCGCCCGGAGGATCTCAAGGAGCTCGGTGACGACTCTCTTCCCTCGAGCCAGTTTCTAGCCGACAGCATCACTTACCTGGGCTCCGCCAGCCTGGCCAGGGGCCTCTCTGCCAGGTACGACCGATTTAGCTCCCAGTTTGGTTTTACTCATCGCTCACGGCTGTTGCTTCTGCTGCTGCTGCTACGGCTACTGCTGCGATGGCTGACGATCTCTAAGCCGCGGGAAGCTACTACCGCGCATCTAATTTAACGCAATCCCGTTGAGCGAGTTGCGCTCACGCTCCGGTTGAATTCAAGGTCGTCACTCGACCACCACCATGATGCTGGTGATAGCTGTCTGATGTCGGGAAATGCTGATGTTGCGCAAACTCGTAACCCACCGGCACAGCTTAGAGTCAGCTTGCGAATGGGGTTTTGATGCAGCAGCAATGATTTTGCCAGTACTCTTCGCATATCCACCGTGGCCTTTTTATGCGAAGACTCATACGTTACGTGAAGGATAATTGTACCTGCATGCATATTATGTCAAAGGTACTTCTCTGCGATTACTTGCTGCTTGTTGAACGGGCCGCTACTCGAGGGAGCGCTCGAGGGTATTTGGGGCCTACTATTCCATTCAAGCCAGACGTTGTGCATGTATATCCATATATGTTAATTAAAGATTACATTTTCCAAAGGGAGTGACAAATGGTTACTCTGCTTTCGTCTGCTTCTACCCCCGTGTTCAAATTAATCTGACTGTCTGCTGTAGCAGAAATGCACAGCAGCAGGCGTTTCCATGGTGATAATGCAGCCTGTTATTACCATTACACATCCCCAATAACACCAAGCTGGCAGAACAATCTGTTTTCTTTGGTAACAATCGCCGGTTTGAACATCACAGTGTCAAATCATGACCCTTTTTGTGTCCTTTCCATGTCACCTGACTCCTGCGCTTGAATGCGTAGATGCTGCGCAGTCAGCTGTCGGTTAAGTTGTGGGGGGGTTTTTTTTGCACCCTTAACTTCACAGGCTTTCTGCCAGGTACCCGCATTGTGATTTTATCGCAGCTGCATCTGCAGAGTTCGTGAAAGCAGGGTCGTTTCTGCGCATTGTAAATACCGTACATACCGTGCTCGTCACCAATCAAGGAGGCGTTCTCCGCTTTGCGTTCACACGGGGCGCCCGTGCGGCCCGCGCTGTGGCCCTAGCGCCCGCTTCGCCGGTGCGCGTTTGTATTTTTTTTCTTTGCCCGCTCCCGTGCATTCCGCAACTCTGACATTGCGCCGGAGGCTCGTACTTCCGTTTGTTTCCGCGAGGCTGCGGCGCGCTGGCTCGCTGGGTCACGACGACGAACAGCTCTGGCCTCGCTTGGCTTCGCCGCGCTGGGGCGACGAGGGGGCTCGCGACATCACTGCGCGCGTTTCGTCCCCGCGTTCTACCCCGTTGTTCGTATTGCGGCGTGCCTAGCTGCCAGCCGCAGGCTCGACGTGCCGACGGTGCCTGGAGCACGCTCTGGCGGGCAGAATTTGGCGGAAAAAAAAAATTCCCACGTGTTTTGAGCAAATAGGAACACTGCGAAGAGAGGAGTCGGCACACGACGTTGACCCACTCCCGTCGAGCGGCATTGTGGGGTCTGTTGCGTGCGCGCTGTACGAGCCAGAAAACAGGTCGTCCTGCCCTGGCATTTCGAGCTCACTTGACGATTTCCCCACAACGTGTATTATTTTTATTAGCGTCATCCCTGGGGAATGTGTGGAGAGTTCAGCCAATGAGCCTTGGACTCAGAAACACCTTGGAGCCATACGAGAGATGAAGTCGATGGTTAAATCATACGTGTTTATCAACTCAGAAAAACCTCTTTTTCTTCAGGAAGGGGCCCCCTTGAAATATTTGGCCGTTTTGAGTTTGTTATTGAGCATTATTGTGCGTGGGAGTAGTTGGAAAAAAAACCCACAAGCATGAGCGGATGACACTTAACAGCATGTGTCAAGGCCGAGCCGCGATTGTAAAGCTGGGCGTACATTGCCCACATGGCGACGCACTCACCTGACCCCCGAAACGCCCCGTTATGTGTGCTGAACCACGGCCGTGTTGCTTTTCAACGCTCAATGGCCACCTTTACCAAAACACCCACCGTCCCCTTCCTTCCTTCCTCCAACACCCTACCCTCCCCGTGGCCGGCCAGCTCACAGCCACGATGCTCCCGCTTGGCTGAGCTACGAGCCGCACGGAAAGTTGAAGCGCCTCGTCTGTTGCTGTGTGCGCCTGCAGATTTTTCCATTGAATAACAGCAATAATAATGACGACGATGATAGCGACAAGTTTCAAACTGAGTGTTCTCTTTTTTTCTTACTTTGTTTTTTCACCCTGGTGTTTGTATTCCTCCTTCCCTCTGCTCCTCCGTTCTCCAGTTTGATGCCAAGGTAACGGCTCTTCCTTCCCTGACCACCCCCCCCTGCCCCTCACACCCCGGGCCTTGTTTTTTGTTATATATAATTTGCTGTGTCCGTGCATTCATTGCAGCTGCTGAAGCAACTCATTTGCTTCGAGACTGCCGCGTGTCATGTGCGTGCTTGGTGTTTCATATGGGTGTGTGTGTGTATATAAATATATATCGCGTGAGCAAAATGTTTTCTCGCTCGGTTTGTGTCATTGATTTATTTTAATGAAAAAAAAACATTTTAAAAAGAGGGGAAAAAGGTGAGCTGTTACGAGGTTATCACGTTGTGTCCGTATCGTGGTTCTGTGTGCGGTTCAGTGACCTTGCTCCATGAGCTCATTGTCTCAGGAGTATTGCGAGACCGAGTGGCTCATGACTCATTCCCATAATTTGCTTTAATTAAACCGCAGCAACCTTGGATTCAAGGCATTTCATTACCTGCATGCCTAACTGCGGTGTTGTGTTTTGTCTCTTTTGTCTGTCTGTTTTGACTTTCATTTGTTCCAACCTTGTTCTCACCCACTCCCCCACTCGACCACTCGTGTTATTATACCTCTTCCCCTTTGCCCATGTGCATTGTCTGCGTGCGAATCGATTTGCGCACGTGCGTTGGCATGTCTGTGTGCGTGCCATTCAATATAATTCACCACCCCCCCCCCCCCCTGTTAACCGTTACCTCTAATGCACAATTGGTCCTGACCAATCGCACACTCTGCATCTAATTCACCCACGTGTATCCACTGCGCGTATTTGTCTTTTGCGCCCGTACTGTCCGGTGCACGTTCGTCTGCGAAATTCCCGTACGGCCGTGTCAATTGTGCAAATTCTTCATTTAAATACCACGCGCTCTGGTTTGCCACCTCCCGCGCACACCCCGCGTTGCTCCCTCCGCACCGCTCCTCTCTCCCGCTCCTCACCCGGGCCGCACGCACGCACGCACGCACGCACCGCACCGCCTGCCCCACTCCCCAATGCACTGCCTCCCGACCGCCCCGCGCCCTTCTTTGCTCTTCCGCTCGAGCAGCTTGCGTTCGTTCAGTTCCGACAGGTCGTTCACACCCAGCCGTGGCTCGCTGCTCCGAGACAGCGGCTCGCTGCTGCGGGAGAGCGGGCCCCTGCTTCGCGACAGCGCTCACAACGAGGAGTTCCTCTCACCGCCCGGCATGCAGGTACGGATGTTGTCACTCCCCCCGGCAAAAGCTTTGTCTGAAATTCCAGCTCACCGTGATTTGATGCACTTTGGGAGCGGTGAGAAAAGTGAAATTGGGCTAGGGCAGGGCACGTCGCCATATAAAGGTATGATGGGCAACGGACAAGAAAATAGCGATGGAGGGATGGCCAAGGAATGGAACTCTTCTGGGATGACGTCAACCGGGGAGATGGAGCGATTACATCTATACATTGGAGTGTTGTGTCACGGGATCGTGGGAAATTGATGGCGGCGGCTTTAGGCCTTCATCCAGCAGTAGATTTATCATGGCTGATGTTGAATTTACCTGCAGCCTCTGGTTGAATCCCAGAAGAGTTCCAACGCCAGCATTGTACCTTGACTCTTACTTAACCCTCCCTCATTGATAAATGGTATTGCATCACATTGCTGTGGAGAAATCTCTAAAATAATGGAATGCATGTGTTTATTTGTACACACTATCTGTGTACATTTAGTTGCGTTGGTTAGAGCGCAGTTCCGATTCCGGAGACCTGGGTTCGAGCCCCGAGTATCTGTAACTGCCCTGAACCTCCTCCCTTGGTTCGTTCATTGTAACCTGGGAAGGAAATGCTTTGTAAATGTGAGCCTCTCACCCCACCTCCCCATTTGTCTGCCTTAATAGGCACTCAGGCACTCACTGAAGAGTATTTTGACCAGCAGTTTGTTCAGACGTTAGGAGTTTTCACAGCAAAACAAGATAAGCAGTGCAGAAGTCCGGGGTCGTGGCAGGCGAGTGTCGTAGACAGGGTTGGGCAGGACGGGGGAGGACCGGTTACCGATACAGGCGTCGGAGTGGTCTCCAGGGGTCGAGGGCCTAGGAGTAGATGGCATCAGGGCAGATGTTGGAGGTCGCTGCATGCCTCCTGTGCAGCAGCTTCTGGATCTGGAGGAGGGGTTTAGGGATTTATTGGCGAGGAGCTGCATGCGATGGGCTCTGATGGTGACGTCTCGACGCCCACGATCGATGTGTTGTGGACGAAATTTGGGACCTCCCCATCTGTGGATGTCTGTGCGTGCACAGTCACGGCCGCTGTCGATGCCCCGAGACCTGGACCGAACAGCCTCATTGCGGCAGCAAAGTTGGACTCCGGGAATCACCGACAACGTTACCTTTCACCGCAGCCCGATTCAGTCTGGGTAAGAACGCTTCACCGGTCTCCCCCCGGCACGCAGCGGCGTGACGTACCGCCGCTCACTCCGCTCCACCGGAACGCACGAGCCCCTCGGTGCCTTTTTGCGCCAGTGGAGGTTGCTGATGGTTGCCTCTGCTTCACGGGCAGGGGAGCTTCTCTTCGGCATCCTCCAGTTTCTTCTCCGTCGAACCCAAACTGCCGGAAATGCCTTCCCCCACATGTCCACAGCAATGGGCTTGCGCTGAGAGGGCACCCAGACTCGTAGACTTGCTTAACGTTGTGGCACACAATGCTCTTTGTGTAGGTTCAACGTGAGAGAAACACCGAGCCAAGCCCGATGGCAAAATGGACGTAAATAAGTGCACATGTTTAATAATAAGCACTTTCAAGTAGCAGTGGCTTTGGTAAGTAATTACAGGGCGGAACCTTTACCTTTTACACAAAGGTATGCACCGCCTGTATTGTGAACGTCCATGTATCTTATCCATATCTAATGTATATTTAAATGTGTAGTGAGTTCGACTGAGTCACAGATGTAGACAGGGAGGCAACACATTTATTCACACGGGGTAACTTCCCCTTAACAGAATAACAACCTATGGTGGTGACCACCAGGCTAGCTACACTAGTTACTACACTAGTTACTACGTAGTGTAGTTAACCTGGTGGTGACCACCAGGCTAACTACACTAATTACAACGTAACTGCTACTACGGACCGGGACCAACAGCTTTGGTCGTGGCCAGCTCCGCCCTTGACCACGACCACCTTCCAGAATCCTCGGGAAGGATCTGGATCCCAACCACGTGACCACCCCTAGCCCCCACTTGGGGCCCCTTTGTAGACTTAACTGGTTACGTGTCATCATCCCTCGGCCGGCTCTCACACACGCTGCCCTGCCATCCAGCGCTATCAATCAGCGCTCACCGGGCCCCTCTAGGCGCCGGTACTACACCCACACCCTTGCGGTATCCGCGATGTCGTTACACCGCACGCCGTGCCTCTCTTGGGCCGGCACTGTACGTTGACATCCCGTGATGTCACACCAATTGTATTGCATAGTTGGTTAAATGACGTGCTCGGCTGCATGTCCCGTGTCTCTCTTGCAAGGGACAAACACGAAACACCGAACAACGTTGGGGGTTTTTTCGCCGCACGTTTATCCTTCTGTCGGCGAGCTAAAGAATCCCGCTCGCGTAACCTTCCCCCGCGTCCCGCTGCTTCTGCCCCCCGCGTCCCCCTGCCTGTGTGGCCTCGCAGCTTCCTCGTGAGCTTCATGGTGGACGCCCGCGGCGGCTCAATGCGAGGCAGCCGTCACAACGGCCTGCGCATCGTGATCCCCCCGCGCAAGTGCGAGGCGCCGACGCGGGTCACGTGCCGGCTGGTGCGCCGGCCCCGCCTGGCCGTGCCGCCGCCCATGGTGGACGGGGAGGGCCTGGCAAGCCGCCTTGTGGAGGTGGGGCCCGCGGGGGCACAGTTTCTCGGGTAAGAGACCGCACGGGCGCACGCGCGCGCCCCCCCCCCGCCCCCGCCCCCCCCCCCCCGCCCCCCCCCCCCCCGCCCCCCCCCCCCCCCCCCCCCCCCCCCCCCCCCCCCCCCCCCCCCCCCCCCCCCCCCCCCCCCCCGCCTCGCGCGCGAGACTCTGTCGAAATTGCTCGTTCGTTTTTTGGAACGTCGTCGAATTTACGTTTATTTGAGGGTTTTTTTTTTTTTTAGCTGCTGTTTGGGGCTTCGAGCGGACTTTTGTCTTAAGGAGATTATTCGGTTGTTTGATACAGCTCACTCCAATTTGTCTCAGCGGTGGATCTCATGAGCAGGTTTCCTGAATGTCACGCTGACGGGCTGATTATTCTCTCTTAATGCACCGCTCCCATAGTTAATGGAGTGAATAATAGTCACCTCCACAGGAGTTTTGAGAGTGTGTCGCTGTTTAAACTGACACTTTAATAAATGTTGTGATGCATCAGTTTATTTGTCCTCTGATATTGCTCACAGCTGTTACTGTTGATACTGTGTTTTACCTTGGAACTGCCCTTAAGAACCATCAGGACTTTATACAATTACTCTATGAAATTGGCTTTGTATAGCACCTAAATGTGACCACATCTCAACGCACTAGACATTGCAAGGCCTTGTGGGTTGAGTGTACTTGAGATTTTTCTCAGAAACTTGAAGGTGTTGTATTTAAATGTGTATTTCAGTATTTATGATCGTAACGATGTTAATCGTGATACTGGTGCTGTTTTTGAAACGGAGTATATTTTCAATGCCGGCAGTCCAGTTGCTCTAACAAATTACCATTGTGTGTCTGCAATCAACCACTGCACTGTTGTTTACAGGTTTGGTTTTTTTTTAATGGAGATTTGATGGAAATGTATTTTTGATCAGTTTACGTGCGTAAAATGTGCTCAGTACAAATAACAATAATTATTAAATGACTTTCATTCAGCAGCCCAGTGGCAGTTTTCCATTGCGGAAACAAACAAAAAAAAAACGCTCAAATCTGCACACGAGGAAATGATTAACTAAACTTTGTGCCGGTGTGTGAAAAGTACGAAAAATTAATAGTTTTTTTTTTTAAATGTCACGACTTGGTTTTTTTTTCCCTCCTGCTTATTTGCGGCTGCTGCTGCTGCTGCTGCTGCCACAAGCTTCGTTTTTGTGGTCCCTGCTGCTGCTGCTGCTGCAATGCCCAGCGCGTGGACACGGAAGCAGCCGCACTGCGCCGCAGTTTTGGCTTCAATCGCTTTCTTAATCTTTTTGCGCGATGGCCCTGCCGCGGCACTTTTTTTGTTTTTTTTTAATCTCCGGGTCGGGGGACAAATGCAGATTCGGGAAATGTTTTTTTTTTCGCTGGGACAGGGCGATTTTTCATTAGCGCCGGACAGCATTTAGAATGTCGCTGCATGTCCAGGGCGGAATTTGATGGCTGTCCTTGGAGCGCAGCATGAGGGATTTCTCTGTAGGGCAGTACGATTATTTATTCTCTAACGCTCGGTCAACTTTGTCTCCGTTTCCCACGCGTGTCTCCCTCTTTTTTGTCCCATCCAAATCTCTCTCTGTATCTGTCTCTCTCTCTCCTGCTCTGTCTGTCAGTCACTTCCTCTCTCTTTCACTCTCACACCGCTGCTTTTGATACAAACAACCTCTCCCCGTCCCTCCCTTGCCCTCACCCCTGCCTCCCCATCGCCCTCTCCCTTATTAATCCCCTGCTTCCCCCAATTCCCCTTAACCGTCTCCCATCGCCCCCCCTCCCCCCCCCCTTACCTCCCTGTGCCATCCGCTATCAGTAAGCTACACCTGCCGAGCACGCCCCCCCCTCTGAACGAGGGAGAGAGCTTGGTTAGCCGCCTGCTGCAGCTGGGCCCCGAGGGGACCTCTTTCATAGGGTAGGATGCCTAACGGCCCCCCCTTTACGGCTGAGAAAGAGCCACGCTTTTATCTCCTCTTCCCGGGCCTCCCCACCCCCCCCCCCCAACGCTGCCCCAAGCCCCCACACCCCAACCTCCCACTCACTTTTACGTTCCCCATATCATACAGCTTTCTTTGTACCTTTTTGGTTTTCTCCCTTTGTTGTGTTTTTTGTTTGTTTTTACCTTGATTTGTTTTCTGTTCCTGAAGCAGTGGATCGTGTTTGCCCTGAGTTGCTGCCATCCTGCCGAGTATTTTGATTTCCTATCGTTTAACCCTTTGGTTCCTTGACGTCGTTCCAATAGGACTGGGAATGTGGAAGTCCGCATGGTAGTTAACAGCCTGAAAAAATACTTTGAGATCGATCTACATCTTTGCCTGTCAGGAGAGATTTGACGACTCTCTCCCTTGGCACGTACAACGCATATGCCTGCTCCGATTGCCTTCGCTTAAATTTTGACCCGGCAACGTAAGCTTAACGCGCGGAGATTATTGTTTAATCCGGGACAACGTTTGAGCGTGCGCTTGCAGGGCTCTGTCCATTTGCCTCCTTCCCCGCGACGCCGCTTGCAAGTGAGGCCGCACGGTGCGCCATGCCCACGTAGCCGCGGGCGCGGGCAGCCACCTTTGGAGAAACAAATCGACCCCCGGTGGGCCTGTGCTCAGCCTGGGTCACGCTGCGACCTCCTCTGATGTAAAGAGAGAGATAAATAAATCAAACCAAACTGCGTACAGTATATTGCACAGGCAGACGAACGCTCACATTCGGCAATCGCCCTGCGTGTCGTCACGTAAATCTGCAATTTTTTTCCCGTGCGTTCATTCGGTAATCGTAATGTATTGGCTTGTGGACAGTGTTTCCATATCTCCCGTTTGGAGAGACCACAGCCAGAGGGGTGGCGTGAGATTGGCTGCTGGTGTGGGCAAGCAGACCGCACGGTTTCCCCATTCTCTGCCGAGCCAAGGAGCCCGGAAGTGGCTCGGACTCGAGGGAAAACTCCCTTGTCAAATCAAGCGGAAAATAAAATTGTGCAACAACAAATAAACCTCTCAATTACTTTGTCGTTTAGTGTCGCTACGTAATGTTTTCTTTCGGGGAGATTTGCCATTGCATTTCTCGTTAAATGGTTTTCATTGAATTAGTAGAGTAAGCCAAAATACCCTCAAGAGGTGCTCTCTAGGATTCTCTCGACTCGAGTCTCCTTACGCCAGTAGTGGCGTGAGCGTGCATTTTGCAGAGCTGCACCTTTAAATATCCACCTATAGAATTGGAATGCCAATGAGAGATTATGATTTAATACTTAATTTTGTCTCGTGGTTTGTTTCATTTTGCTACGCACTTTCAATTGTTCAATTGTTTGGAGTTGGACCAATCGAGGCAATGGGTTGCCGCCCCCTGCTGTTGAAGCACAGGGTCAAAGGAGCGGCCATTTGGCCTCACAGAGGCCTCGGGGTCTGGAGTCGTGGGGGTATTCGTACACAGCGCTTTGACCGTGATACCACCACGGAGGGCTTTCTCACATTCCCAGGCCTGTTCAGGTTTTTCCGTTGAATAGTTTGCTGTTCACGACATACCTTTTTTATTCCCTATTTATTTTAATGGTACCTATTCGACTGGATGTAACTGAAAATTGCCAATGGTTAATTGCTTCGATAGTGCCTGTAAATGCGCGTTAATGGATGTTAATTGCCTGATGTAATGCCGTTACGATCAATAATTTTGAACGTGTGCAAGATAAATGAAATTTGCAAGTACACTGTGTATTCCCAATTTCTGTGTTGTACAATAAAAGCAAGGCATGGGTTTAATGTATTGTGTGAAGTGGTAGTAGTATTAATGCATAAGATTAAGCTGAGACAGCATGCCTAGATAACTACCACACTACAGCACGGGCACTATGTTTGGAAAGGGGCACAGTCCACGTTTAGAGTGGCTGCGAGAAACGTCCACGTGATAAGTAACTTTGTTGAGCTATCATTTGTTGCCAGGTCACTTATGAAAAAAAGATCTCTATAGCTCCAGTGGGCCTTACCTGGTCGCATAAAAAAACTTGTTTAATAGTTTTTTTTAATATATATTTTAAAGTTTGTTCAGGTTTATTTTTTTAATGTTTAACACAAGTCGTGAGCAGATGAGTAATACGCACAACCGTCAACGTCCCTCCGCTTCTGCTTCTCGTGTCCCCCCCGTGCCGGGCTGGGTGGTACCCCGCCGCCGCGCAGGCCGGTGCTCGTGGAGATCCCGCACTTCGCTTCGCTGCGCGGCCGCGAGCGGGAGCTCGTCGTGCTGCGCAGCGGCGACGGAAAGACGTGGAAGGAGCACCAGAACGACTGCAAGAACGACGACCTCAACGACGTGCTCAACGGCATGGACGAAGGTGCAGGAAAAAACCTCTCCAGGCCAGGCTAAAAAAAGCCACAAATGGAGTCTGGGCTGGAAGACTACCTGTGAAGGCTGCCGGAAATAAATGAATACAATGACTAATACATCCCCGAAATTTTTAAAACGTAATTGCAAAGCATGAATATCCGACCGGATCACTGTTCGCATGTGAAATAAGCTGCACAATGGTTACAGCATGCGATTATGCACTGGCAATTCTAAAGCTGTGTTCCTCTCTGTTGTAAGAAATTTGGCAAACCCATTCTGTCGCCCTATAAAAAGGCTCTCCGCCCAGATAGTTTGGGCCATTAGAGGTTTTATTTACTCGGCAGTGCGCGAGCTCCTGTGGGCTGTGCGTGTTGTGGCCAAAACAGCCATGTCTTGTGTGCTCCAGTGAGTCACTGAAATGATACTCGCAACCTTCGGTTTGCTATATCGCCAATAATTTACACGGTAACCTCAATGTTACTTTCATTATTATTATCATCGTTACGCTTGTTCATTCAGGAAAACCTCACCGGGTCTCAGCACTTTTTTTAGGAGAGTCCTGGCCAAGTTTTCGCAGTAGAGGGCAGTGTTGCTCTGTGTCATCTGAACTGGGTAATTTGCAGGTAATTATTTTCAGCGTTGGGATGTTTGGCCAATTAGCAGTTGCAATATATGTTTTAGTCCGCTATGGGAGGAAACCCATGCAGGACAGAGTGAGAACACGAACGGCGGCCGAGTTGGGAATCGAACACAGGTACTCCTTCTCCCAGTGAGGCATGAGTTGTTACCACTGCGCCACCCACTGTGCCAGGGCATTGTGCGTTGTCGTAACGTACTGCGGCCTGACAGTGAGCAATCTTTATGACTGTGGAAACCAAGCTGCGTGACTGCCCCACGTTCACTTTGGGGTTCATCGCGTGGCCGTCGCGTGCTGCTTGTCACTGCGCACAGATGACATGTGACTTGCAGCTTAATGGCCATCCATAAGAGAAGCCAGCACTGGGTATCACCGCGTCGTAAATATGAAATTAGAAATCGCATGAGGCATTTTAAATGCTGACAAATGTGACATGAAATAGCATATTCTCAAAACGGAGAAGTGCCAATTTTTACGAAGGAGCGTTGGCATTATATAACGGTAATTGATTCAGAATATTGGCGAAATGCTTTTGCTTTATAAAAAAAAAAACAGATGCTTGTTTGAACTGAATCGTCGTCTGTTTCTCGTTTTAATATTTTAGAGGACATTTTTTTGCCCAGTTGCAGCAAATAAAAATGTATCTTATTAGAGAAGGTTCATCCAGGGTGCGTATACCCCAAAAATATTTAAGATTATGGCTCAAACACCAGGCACAACTCTGCATAGCTTCTGACAGGGCTCAGGGTGGGCAGTAGAAGGCAGTGCAGCAAATACCATTGTTGTAGTTTACTTCTATACTCCCGCATATACTCTCTACCTTCACCAACCCACACTGTTTAGCATGATGACGTATGGTCAGATGACCCCCATGGCCCACACGTTATGGGGAAGCCATCACCCAGCAGTGGACTGACACAAGGCTGTAAACTTTGATGCAGACGCTCACTGTCTTTAGCTCACACACCAGCATGTGCATGAAGACAAAGATCCTCCGGTGGGCATGCAGACTGTTAGGGCAAGTGCGAGTAGCTATAAAGGCCGACAGTACACGAGGGGGTGGGTGGCCGGCCAACACCTTTGTCTCCCCAGTGACAATGTTTACACACCAAACCAGGTTCTCATTTGAGGCTGAGTCGACGTCGGAGAGGCCCAGGACGAATTCAGATAATCGTCACTGGTGTTGGCCGTGAGCGGGAATCGAACTCAGGTCGCCGGGTTTTTATAGCACAGCGTGCGCACCGCTCCGCCACCACTCCGTAACTGTTAATACCTGTGAAGACAGGCATGGCACACAAGGAGGTAGTGGCCAGAACCACACCTGTGAAGACAGGCATGGCTCACAAGGAGGTAGTGGCCAGAACCACACCTGTGAAGACAGGCATGGCTCACAAGGAGGTAGTGGCCAGAACCACACCTGTGAAGACAGGCATGGCACACAAGGAGGTAGTGGCCAGAACCACACCTGTGAAGACAGGCATGGCACACAAGGAGGTAGTGGCCAGAACCACACCTGTGAAGACAGGCATGGCACACAAGGAGGTAGTGGCCAGAACCACACCTGGCCACCTTTGTCTCCCCGCGTCATCCCTTTCCTGCCCCCTCCCCCCCACCACACATCTCGGGCTCCCCTCTGCCGACCCCCGTGCTGACCCCCGTGCCGACCCCCGTGCTGACCCAAGTGCTGACCCCCATGCCGACCCCTGTGCCAACCCCTGTGCCGACCCCCGTGCGGACCCCAGTGCCGACCCATGCCGACCCCCATGCTGACCCAAGTGCGGACCCCCATGTTGACCCCCGTGCTCACCCCCATGCTGACCACCGTGCCGACCCCCGTGCCGACCCCCGTGCCGACCCCCGTGCCGACCCCCATGTTGACCCCAGTGCTGACCCCCATGTTGAGCCCAGTGCTGACCCCCGTGCGGACCCCCATGTTGACCCCAGTGCTGACCCCCGTGTTGACCCTCATGCTGACCCCCAGGTTGACCCCAGTGCTGACCCCCATGTTGACCCCAGTGCTGACCCCCATGTTGACCCCAGTGCTGACCCCCATGTTGACCCCAGTGCTGACCCCCATGTTGACCCCAGTGCTGACCCCAGTGCCGACCCCCGTGCGGACCCCAGTGCCGACCCCAGTTCTGACCCCATGCTCGCTATCTCCCCCAGAGCTCGATTCGCTGGAGGAGCTCGAGAGGAAGCGCATCTGCCGCATCGTGACGCGCGACTTCCCGCAGTACTTTGCGGTGGTGTCGCGCGTGCGCCAGGAGAGCGAGGTGGTGGGCCCCGAGGGCGGCGTGCTCAGCTGCACCGTGGTACCCGACGTGCGGGCCTCCTTCCCGCAGGGCGCCCTCACCAAGCGCATCAAGGTCGGCCTGCAGGTGAGCGCCGACACCGGCAGGGCAGTGCGACCCAAGCGTGGGCTCGTTTGTGTCCGGCAACGACACACGCGGTCGAGCGTGGCCTGTCAGGTCCAAAGCAGGTCTCAAGATTCTTCTCGTACATTTCCGGTTTGCTTGTCATTTTTACGTGTGGAACAAGGTGAACAAAGCATGGGCCTTAACACGTGGATATTAGCCTGCCATGACACGGCGATGTTGCTGTTGATTTTTGCAATTGAAGTAATTTGCAATGTAAATTTTTCAAATTCGTGCAAATTTTTGACTGTGGTGCCGATACATTGCATGCTCTTTTTTTTTATACACACTTTTTTCCCCACAGGATCATTCATGTCCACTGTTCAGCAGGCGACGCACAGTGTGGTCATACACCCGCTATATTAACCAAGGTGGCCAGCGGCTAGAACCACAAACCTTTGAAACGAGTGGCTGACTGCACTGCCACTCGGCCACGTCACCGCCCCAGCACATGAATTGACAGCGTAATTATTAAACGAACAAACAAAGCGATTGTCAGTTTCACATGCAGTAGGCTTTTGTGAACAATATTATCCATAATAAAGGTTTTTGGGGTGATATTGCATAAACAAAAAGTGCAAATTAGTTAGTACATCACACCGGTGTGTTGGAGAGTAAACCCGTGACATTTACAATTCGAGTACGGCGCTTGGGTGGTGATTACAGCCAGCTTCATCAGGCAGGAGCCAGGAATGTGAAGAAGTCCTCCTTTTTCGGTCTTCAATAACGGGCGTAGAGGCGATGTCATCACTGCAGTGGGCCTGCCTGTCAGGTTTCGAAGGAGATTGTGTGAATCTTTTGCAGGCCCACCCAGTGCCAGAGGACATGGTGAGAAAGGTCCTAGGCAACAAGGCGGCGTTCAGCCCCATCGTGACGGTGGAGCCGCGCCGCAGGAAGTTCCACAAGCCCATCACCATGACGATCCCCGTGCCGCAGTCCACGAGCGCCATCACGGCCGCGAGCGCCGACACGCGGGTCAACGGCTTCAGCGAGACAGTGCCCGACACGCCGCCGCCGCTGCGCCTGCTGTGCAGCATCACTGGTGGGGGTGCTCACAACGACGCGCGTTGGTTTGTTATGGGCGGCCGAGTGGTCGGTGCTGTCGGGAAGGCTCATGCCACGTTGCGAGGAGCCCCCGGTTTCCATTGCCGAAGCGGGCATTCTTTCCACGTGGGGTTTGTGCGTTGTGTCCCTCCGTTCCGCATGGGTATCTATCCTCCAGGTTCTACGCTTGTTTTCCCATAGCTTAAAGAAAAAAAAAAACATGCAGTGTATCGTTGATTGGACAGACGTCCCGGTGCTGAAAATGTACCTGCAAATTACCCAGTAGGGATTACAAACAAAAACATCATCTCCTAAATGCAAAAAACTTTGCAGGACCCTCCTGAAAAATAATCTTGAGACTCAGTGAGGCTTTCCCGGGTAAACGAGCGAAATAATAATTACGGAGAGCACATATTGCTTTCATACAGCCCTTTATGAACCCACTGCTAGATGAAGACCTCCCCATACCGTGCGGGTCGGGGGAAATGTTTGACGATACTTCACCCCACGCTGCTCAGTGTCAGTAGGTGAAGAGAGATGTTCAGGACCGTTTAAGATACCACTCACCACTAGTGTTTGCCACAGCCAGCAATCAAACTCCGACACCCGGGTTCATAGGAGAGTGCGCGAATGAATACGCCACCCTTTCCCACTATGCTCTTATGACACCGTTCCGTTTTAAACTTTACAGTGTGCGATGATTCGTCACGCTGTTTTGTTGGCATTTCCAATTGTGTCATCCGCATTTTCATTGGTTAGCAAAGCAAGGATGCCTATCTGTAATAAACACAAATTATACTTAGAATTGTATGCATGTGCCCTAAAGCTGTACATACATTATACAAAGATCCCCTGTGAAGGTGGGCAGTTGATGTTGATGAACACCTATTCAGGCCTGGAATGTACACAAACGCGGTGGTGTGGTCAGCACCTCGCCTGGCCGCTGAAGTTTAAGCACTACACGAGGTACACGTTTTAAGGCGAGTCAGCCTAAGGGAGGCCCAGGCCCAGTTCCGGTATTTATCACTAGATGTAGGCCGTGAACTGAAATTGAAGTCAGGATATCGGCTTCGTACAACAGTGCACTCACCGCTACGCTACCTCACCCCATACATTAGAGGGCTCACTGTGACAGGACAGCCACACACTCATTAACCTCTTATCGTGTCCCCACGGCTGATTCCTGTGGTCGCACAGGTGGGATTTCACCGGCGCACTGGGAAGACATCACCGGCACGACGCCTCTCACCATCACCACCTCAACAGTCTCCTTCACCACCAACGTTTCTGCCAGGTTACACGCACACACACGCACGTGCGCACACCGACTCAACCCATAACGGGTGTTTGTTTTCGCTAAAGTCGAGTAAATGGCTGGCAAATTTTTATTGTGAAATTAATAACAACCAATCCGAGTGATAGTGAACTAAGTGTATTCGTTTTATGCCAATGTGTTTACACGACATACACAATTCTCCATTAAAAAGCTGGTAATTTGTGGCCACATTGTGGCCACATGTTTGTATTCCTGGGGCCATTATAAACTCTCTTTTGCACATGGATGTATTTAATAAAACTTAAAGTCTATTTTTAGATTAGTTGGCAAGGAAATCGTTTCGTAGATGTGCGGTGGATTGCTTCAATTCCTCCGTTGAATTTACAGAGTTCAGAGTGATTCATCAATGTGCAATCGGAGTTTCCTGCAATCACACCGCCGGTTTCCTTTTAGTTTCCACTCGTGAGGTTCCTAGTGGGCGGCTCTGCCGTGAGACCTGCAGATTCGATATCACGTGGCCCAGTGTTTCCGAGGTACAGGTTCTCTCGTGGGATCGACAATCGGGAGCTTGCTCAGGAGCGAGTCAGCGATCGAGTTCGGTTATGCTCTGAATTGCAACGTCGCCCGTCTCTTCCCCCATCTGCTGCCCCGGTTCGGCCGCCCAGGTTCTGGCTGCTGTACTGCCGGCAGCCCCCGGAGGCCGTGAACCTGGCTAACCGGCTGTACCAGGAGGCCACCTGCGTACCGTATCTGGCCACGTTCGTGGTGTTCTCCAAGGCGGTGGAGGCGGTGGAGTCGCGGCTGCGCTGCTTCTGCATGACGGACGACCGCGTCGATAAGACGCTGGAACAGCAGGAAAACTTCACAGAGGTGGCACGCAGCCGCGACGTGGAGGTGGGTACAGCTGGTTGTCGCTGGACGCTTGGCGCTTCACCACGCTCACAAACACAGCGACCGCACTCATAATCACAGCCACCGCACTGACAAGCACAACAACAGAAACAACCGTCATGCGTCCCTAAGTGGTGGGGACATCGCCACGGCGCTTGTGCCAAGCTCGGTGAATTTTGAGGCTACGTGAAGTGTCGAAGGCTCACTGACAGCAAGCCACAGAACAGACCCAGGTGCCATGGGTTGACTGATTGAGTTGACTGGCAGATGCACCAGCTGTGCTCCCCACTGTGCCAATTCTCTCCATTTTAGCCGTCCAGCAGTCCGATCGTTGTTGAAAGTGTCGTTCCTCTGCCCCCTGTTTGTTGTTGTTGGAGGGTGACTGCCTCTAACTCACCAGTAGCATCCTTAACGAACCTCCTTCACCGAGGCCGATCTTGACACTGTTAGTACCAGTCATCGGCAAGTCCAATTATCTCCACATCCTCCTGTATTACATGAGTCCATCTCTTCTCTAGCCCGTACTGTGTCTGTTTAGCCCCTTCTATCCGGCCAAACAGAAGCTGCTTGGGCATGCGGTGGCTGGGCATGTGGGCTACATGACTCAACCAACACAGCCTCGCCTGCCAACGGAGCTCACTAATGGGACTGTGACCAGATCGTTGAAGGATTTATGAGCTCGCACAATCCAGTCTGGTTAAACCTATGCTGAATCATAGGCAGGCTAGCCTGAATTTTTCAAACCGGCTCAGAAGTTCACTGCGGCCCAAGTGCCTATATCACGACTGACTCAGGCATTAAAGTCACCTTACAAGACAACTATATCCCAAAGGGTCCCTTTGGACGGCACCCAGGACAGGAGGTCATGAAAGGCATCTGACTTATCAGTCATGTCTACATCCATCCACTGATATTCATCTTATGTCAGTGCGTAAGCCACCACCATCTCCAACACCACCATTCTTCGCCTCTTGTTGATGGGCAGGCAAGCCCACAGCAATCTGGGTACTCGCAGCTTCCTTCACCTTAAATTTCGATTTAAAGCTTTCGTGACTGCAAGGATTAATCTTCTTTGGTTCTTTCGGTAAAGTCACGTAGAATGAGAATAAAATAATAAAATAAAATAACACAATAAAATTCTCACGACGTTTCACTCCAACGCTGTCCTCTGGACAGTCCATTCCCTTCACCTGATGAAGGCCACTTGTGTTGTGGCCGAAACGTCGTGAGAATTTTATTGTGTTATTTTATTATTTAATTCTCATTCTACGTGACTTTACCGAAAGAACCAAAGAAGATGATTCCTTCACCTTGTTTCCACATTCCCACACCCCCTTCATTCTTTTGTTTAAAAGCAATACCACTCACTCCCTGTTGTTTGGCAGTTTTCCTGCCCCGAGTGGAAGACTGTCCACTTCCTGTATTCTAGAGAGGTCCAGGCGAAACCATCTCCCGGCAGAGGAATGGCAGTCTTTATTCTACAGCAAGAGTTTGAACACTTCACGTGGCCAACCGAAGTGGTCAACTGTTGAGGAATCCCAACCCGGGTGGGGGGGGGGGTTAGTCTGACTCTGCCAAATGGGGTTTGGCCAGCAGGCATCATAAACCCCCCTGGGGCCTCCAGCACGAGCTTAGTTGAGGTGTTTCTACCGTGGTGTTTGGTAAGAAATAGTGCCAGGTGATAAATATGTAGTGTATGCTACAGAGAGGCGCACACACTAATTTGGAGGCAACACGTTTATTTACACAACTCTCTAACCACTTCAGGTTCTACAGCTAAGTGTGGCTACACTGGTCGCTATGTACGTGCGAGTTAGCTATCGCGAATTGGCCAGTCAGCACACACGCTGTCTGACCCACGATCCCGAGCTAAGACTCGACTGACGGCGAACCGAAGAGCGACCAGAGACCCCAGGACGATTCCCACAAACGAACCCCGATCCCTGTCCAGGCTGCCCCTTTATTTCTCTAGCCGCGGCCTCACTGCGCCCTCGGCCACGCCTCCTGCTGTATCAAGTAAGGACTCCCGGCCTCTGGTCACGTGTCCGTTAAGCCTCCCAGGGAGGTTCCGGCGCTCAGCAGAACTCTTGAATAGTAGCTGGCGCTAACACCACAGTGGACACATTTGTGTCACTAAATAGTATACCAGCCCCTTGCAACACATTGGTGTAATTACATACAAAGATAAAGATCTCCCCCGTGTAGCCTTGACAGACAGTGGGGGGCAAGTGCTGCTCGCGAGAATTACATACACTGACAGACATACAAAGACAAAATACAAAGTTCCCCCGTATAGCCTTAACAGACTGTTGGAGCAAGTGCCGTTAGAGAGCGCCTATGAAGGCCGGAACAGTACACGATGGGGTGGGTGGCCAGCACACAGGCAAACACTGACAGAAATACACACCCTGACAGACATACAAACACTGACAGACATACCCTAACAGATACACTGACAGACATAAACACACTGACAGACATGCACACACTGACGGACAAGAACAATTGTCACCATGGCGCTTGTGCTAGGCTAAGTGCACTTTAAGGCCATGTCAAGTGTTGAACGCCCATTGGCAGGAGGTCATGGTACAGACCCAGGTGCCAGGGGTTGGCTGACTGAGATGACTGAGATGACTGGCCGATGCACCACCTGTGCCCCCTACTGTGCCAACTTGCTGTGTTTTAGCCGCCCGGCGCTCCACTCATTGTTGTGAGCGTTGCTCCCCTGCCCTCTGTTGTTTCTGGAGGGCGACGGTATATAACTGCCCAGTAGCGTCCTTCATGAGCCTCCTTCACAGAGGCCGATCTTGACACCACTGGTACCAGTCATCGGCAAGTCCACTCAGCTCCACGTCCTCCTGTACCACATCACTCCATCTCTTCTACAACCTGTGCCGCGCCCGTTTAGCCCCCTCTATACGGCCGAACAAAATTTGTTTAGGCATGCGGTGGCTGAGCGTGCGGGCTACATTACCCAGCCAACACAGCCTTACCTGCCTGAGGAGCTCACTGATAGGCCTTTGTGCAGATCTTTCAAATATTTGTAATCTCCTCACACAATCCAGCCTGGTTAAACCCAGGATGACTTGCAAGCAGGCCAACCTAAATGTTTCTAACTGGCGAAGGTGTCCCATTAGGGGGTCCACGTTTCGCAAGCGTAGAGAAGGGAGGGCATGACAGTGACCGAGAAGACCTGACGCTTCGTGTGGAGCGACAGACCAGGCAGCTTCCACACAGCGTTACGCAGCCGATGAATGATTTAGTGCCGCTCGACTGATTCGGAGTGAGACCTCTGCTGTCCAACCAGAACTGGTCATACGTACACTGCCCAGGTATGGAAAACTCTCCACTCTCTCCAGAACTGCCCCATCACCAATGGGGAGTTGAGGGGGTGGAGTGTTTGATGTCACAAAATACCCAGGCAGGTGCTTAGTTCTGGTGGGGCTGATGATAAGCCCCATCTCTTCGTGGCACTTTCCAGGTCCAGCAGCAGCACCTCCAACTCCTCGGAGTGAGCCGCAATCACTAGATCATCAGCATGCATTATATGGTTTGACCAATAGGGAGCCATCCCTTGTCCGCACCTGGGCATCGATCTGTACCAGATGGAGATTCCTCTGCTACAGCCATCGAATGCTTCACGAACTACGAGGTCAAAAAATATGTTAAATAATGTGAGAACCAGAGGACATCCCTGTCGCACCCCAAGGGGAACAGGGAATGGCTCCGACTCCTGGCCATGCAGCTTTACCCGGGCCTGCCCACCATCATGAAGCTCCTTCATGATTGTGACCAGAGAGTCAGGGACTCCGAAAGCATGAAGAACAACCCAGAGCCCAGGCCTATTAATGGTAGCATAGGCCTTGACCAGGTCAATAACGCAGAGATGTAGGTCCTGTTGGAATTCCCTACACCTCTGCTGTAGCAGACGGACATAAAATATGGCATCTATAGTGGACCACCCTGGCCTGAAACCACATTTGGTCTCCGAAAGCCTCTACTCAGTTTGCCTGGCACGGCAATGTTGAATAATAATCGCCATCTTGCTCACCACCACGCTCACAAAAACAGCCTCTCTCAAGGTGTGCGAGAGAGGGGAATGGTCTAGCGGACCAGGGCTGGCTCAATTGTTGACACAGCAAGTACAGTCTGTTCTCTTATAACCTGGCAGTAGTTGTGTTCCTGAAGAACACCTGCCTTTTGTAAAAATCGCGTTATAATAAAAAATATATAATACAGGGTAAATCACAGTCTGCGACAACACGTGAGATGCGTACGCGGGCCGAACAAAGACTGTGGTGCGTGGGTAGCATCTAAAAGCATCCAGCAGCATCCCATTGCCTTGTGCGATGATGCTACGCTGAGGCAGCCGTACCACCGCTTATTCCTACTCGCGCGACGTAGTTCAGTTCACTCAGTCGCGTTATATACAAGGTTCATCCGGGTTACATAAAATCTGTTCCCTAATACATTAATCGCGTTATATACAATTCGAGTTATGATAACAACACGACTGTCAATTGTACTTTGAGAGTGAGCGGCTCGTGACTCGCTTGTCCTCTGCCGATCGCGTGTTCAGGTAATGGAGGGGAAGCCCATCTACGTGGAGTGCTTTGGCAACCTGGTGCCACTCACCAAATCAGGGCAGCAGCATTCTTTCAACTTTTATGCCTTCAAGGAGAACCGCCTGCCCTTCTACGTAAAGGTGACGTGTAAATGTTTTGTTTTGAGTCATCGGGCTACTTGATTTTACATCATTAAAATATCAATAACCAGCCACTTGTTACAATAAAATTCACTCTCGAGATCATTGTGATGCATGACACTTATACAATGGATATGTTGCATGTGTTAATTGAAAAGCATATCAAAAGTGGAAAATGCAGTACAATTCCCACGAATAAAGTAAATTAATTGCAAATTTGGCAGGCATGGGCATTGTCAGGATTCAAATTGGCTAATGTTTTTAACCATTAGAGGGCTGCAAGAAAGAGCTTAGTGTTCGAGATGGCCCGGGTGAGAAGGATTCTTGGAGATTTTAGACAGCGGAGAGACTGACAATTGACGAAATAACATAACCGACTGGAAGTGAAAACAAATGTATTCGACAAACGAAGGAAAGAAAGATGACAGCCGCGTTGGGACTCATCTCGAGAATGAGCTGGGACGGGATCCCGGAGTTAGCGATGCTGCGCAGCACACGAATGGAAAGAAACAGGAGCAGGGGATGATGCAGCCGGAGGGGGAGAAAGCGGAGCAAGAGACCTCGAAGAAATAGGCAGTGAGACTAAGGAAGCAGTAGAAATACCGGCTAGGGAAAGAGATTCAAGGGCGTAAATTAATTCGGCTCTTTTGAACTGACGGATAACCCACTTGACAATGACGAGAAGGTTGCAGGGCAGTGAGGGGGCGAGATGGAAGTCTGCTGAATGTGGAGAAGACAACTTAATGAAGAAGACAAAGTCGGTCTGAGGCAAAGGAGACTAGGCAACTTCTGATCATTCGCTTTCAAGCAGTTAGATCCATGTTCGCGTAACTGCAGAACAGAAATGAACAAAATATTTGCATCTCACGTAGAGGTAGTTTTGTTTTGCGAGGGACGGCCGATTGATTGTGCGAGCGATGGCTCGGTGCGCAGGTGCGGGACGTCACGCAGGAGCCGTGCGGACGCCTCTGCTTCATGAAGGACCCCAAGACAACGCGAGGTCTGCCTCAGCAGGCGATCTGTAGCCTCAACATCACTATACCTCCTTACAAGAAGGTACAGCAATTCACTGGCTCTTTTTGAAAACAGACAGTCTTTTGTTCGGAGTAGCACGGTGGCAGAGTGGTAACAACACTCTTGCCTCAGCAAATAAGGATCTGGGTTCGATTCCCGACTCGGGTGCCTTTCTGTGTGGAGTTTGTGAGTTCTCCCCCTGTTCTGCATGGGCTCCCTCCCAGCTTTCCGGTTTCTTCCCCATAGATAAAAATAACATGCAATGTATGTTTGTTGAACTTCTTTCGCACCGTCTACAGCCAACCGTGCTCATCGGAGGTGTATCGTAACTCGTATTGACAAAACACATCCCAATGCTGAAAAATTATTGACATTTTCCTCGATTGGGTTTATGCATCGCCCGCCCTCCCCCCCCCTACTGCAAAAACTTGGCAGGACCCTCCTACAACAACGTCTTGAGACTCAGCGAAGGCTTTCCTGGGTAAACAAGCGTCATAATAATATGAATCACACATGTGACGTTTCCTCATTGTCCGACGTGTTGTTTTGTCATCCTCCAGGAGAATGAGTCTGAGAGAGACGATGAGGATGAGGTAAAGTTCACAGTTTTTTCGCCGGCTGTCTTTCATCCGTCGTGTTTCATTGGTGCTTGTGGGCTATCAATCATTGTGTGAAACATAAATATGACAGCACCTGACAGCACACAGACAAACAAACCTAAATAGATCATTTAATGTCTGTTCTATATTATTCTACAATAAAGATGTAGCGATATGATACACAAAGATATTTCCTAGTGTCCTTGAGTACCCCTTGACAGTCAAACCTGCACACAACTCTGCTAATTTGCTCAATATGAACATTTGTAGTCATTGGTTTATAGTTTGTAAACTGTAAGGTGATTTTGATTTAGAGCTTTCGTGACTGCAGGGATTCATATTCTTGGTTCTTTCGGTAAAGTCACGTAGAAGGGAAACAATAAAATAATTGTTTTATATTTTTATTATTTTATTGTTTCCCTTCTACGCGACTTTACCGATACAACCAAGAATTTGTAAGGTGATTGTTTCATTATACGGCCATTCACATACTACGTTAAATTAAAAAAGTTAGTGCTTTGAGATTACTAATTTTAAAGTCTCTTTATAAAATGTTGTTCGTTTTTATTCAAACGTCACAAATGTGAAAGGTAACATCGAAAACAGCAACGACGGTTTCAATGTGTACGGCATGCGCGTGCGCAATCGCCTCTCGAGACGGGGTAACAAAAACGAAGAAAAATGTGGCAGCACAGTGGTAACGCACGTGCCTCACAGCAAGAAGGCTCTGGGGTTCGATTCTCGATTTGGGTGCCTTTCTGTGTGGAGTTTGTTGTGTGCACCTGCTGTTCAGCGTGAGTTTCCTCCGGGTTCTCCAGTTTCCTGCCATCGCTAAAAAAAAAAAATCCAATGTAACGGGTATTGGCCAAATATACCAATTATGTAAAATTATCTGTAAATTACTCTATTGGGATTACACAGCAGCAGCAGCAGCATAAGCATCACCCCATACTGGAAAAAAAACTTGCCAGGACCCTCCTGAAAAAGAGTCTTGATTCTCAGTGAGGCTTTAGTAGGTAGCCAAGCATAGTAGTAGTAATACTAATACAAGATGGGTGAGGGTGTCAGGAGAGGGAGACACAGAGGCAGAGAGAAAGAAACAATTCGGTACATCCGGGGTGAACCAATCGGGGCCCAGCACCAACAACAGCAAGGAGCCCCCAGGGATAGCCGGCGCATCGCCAACTGTCATTACGATCAGTATCTGTCAACTATTTTGGTGTTTCGTTGGTCTCGGGTCTAAATTGAATAATGACAGTAACCCATGCAAACCAGATTCGTTTTGATATCGTTGCATGCAGCGGAATGGTTGAGCACACCGGTGAACCACACGCACACGGGAACAGGGCTTTAATGCATGCAATGTTTTCTTTAGTAAAATCCGAAATACCGGTCATTGATATGGAACCAGTTGCTCGCTAACATTTTCTAATACAGTTGCAAAGGTATTGGTATCAAAAGCAAGTTCATCAGGCGATGCGCTGTATGCAAACGCAGTCAACATGAAACAACCCAATATACAAAGTAGTCAACGTGTATGCAGAACCGAAGTGGTTGTGATGCTTATTGATGAATTTACATTAGGCACGATCGGGTATATCGAATGCCTTCCACTCTACATTCAGCCGCTTCTCGTGATGGGATATGGATATACTAACGTCTTGAATTGACCAAAATATTACGAATTATTGTTTTAATTTCTTGTCCGATCTCTCCCATGAGAAAGAGCAGTGCTCTCTCTCTCTCTTGAGTCAATAGAGACTTTGCCGATGTATTTGGACCTCCACTATTTGGCCATAAATTATTTTTTTAAAGATAAAGGTAGTTTATGTACATTTGGCCTTGGTCCATGGCTGGTGCAGCGCAGCTGATCACTATAATGAGCACTTGTAGTCTGGGATATCTACGGCACATTGTGAGCCAACCTCAAGGCCTTTCTACAGGTTTCCCATTGTTACATAGCTCTTAAGCCAAGTTAGACTCCTGTCTAAAAACTAAACTATTATTATTTTCCAAGGTAAGGCCCACTGAGCTATAAAGCTCGTTCTTCAGAAGCGACCTGACCAAAAATGATAGCTCAACGAAGTAGGTTATTTATAGCAGCCAAATGCTCAATGCTTTTTTTATTAATGTTGAGGGAAAAACCAGAGGACCTGGAGAAAAATCCACACGACCACGGAAAGAATGTAGAAACCCCAAATATACAGCAGGCATCAGGATTAGGTTCAAACCTTCGACCTCCTTTATACCAGACGAGGCAGTTCACGTCTCGCCACCGTGGTGCCCAAGGAACTTCGGAGCTGTGGTGTCAAGTTGCTTAACATGAGAACATTTGTATTCAAACAGCCACATACGAATAATTTACAATTTTGATCATTATGATTAGTATGAAAAAAACACTATGATTGAAACAATGAGTATTTATTCCTACTTAACACTTAATGTGATTTATATGACGGTTAAACCCACAGGGCATTTTCAGTGGGCTGGGGCACCCAGAGCATTGTCAAAGGGCTGGGACAGCCAGGGCAGTGTCAGGGGGCTGGGGCAGCCAGGGCAGTGTGAGGGGGCTGGGACAGCCAGGGCAGTGTCAAAGGGCTGGGACAGCCAGGACAGTGTCAGAGGGCTGGGGAGCCAGGGCAGTGTCAAAGGGCTGGGGCAGCCAGGACAGTGTCAAAGGGCTGGGACAGCCAGGACAGTGTGAGAGGGCTGGGACAGCCAGGGCAGTGTCAAAGGGCTGGGACAGCCAGGTCAGTGCTCTTAACTCTAGCACAGGGTTGCAGTGCGGTACTGGGGCTTTGTAAATGGAAACTAAATTATCCATCGAGGCAGTCAGATAAGTTGAACGCGGAGTGCACAGAATCTGTGATGCTCACCCCGTCAAGGCGCTAAGTTTAGTCGAGTGAGATTCTCCGCGTGCCACTTCTGATTTATGCCACTGTCACCCTGTTTATACATCCGACGACTGGTTTGGTGTCACGTCAGGAAACTTAGTGGGGAGTAGAACAATGTCAAGTTAACTTGTTTGCGATGAAATGTTTGCGTGTGTATACTGCGCACGAGTAAGCAACACACGGTAAACAAATGTACAGTGTCAATTTTCTGTGCACAGTTTTGCTGTGTATGCTATATTTACATGTGAAATTACTCATTGGGTTTAGGGGGAGATTTAAACAATGATTAAAAAAATTACGTGTGGAATGATAACCGTGAATACACGAGTGCATGCCAGCTTCCGGTCTGAGCACAGAGGACATGTCACCCGATGACCGCACAACATCCTTGGGTGGGGAGTGACCAGGCAGCGCTTTGGCGGCGTGCGTGCGTGCTGCAGCTCCTCTAGTGGCTGTGCTTGTGTCCACCCCTTACCCTAGCAGGAGCGGCTGGGCTACAGGCGGCAGCCCTACACGTCCCTGGCTTTACGTAAGCATTACGGCAGTCTGAACGCGCTGGGCTTGTTGAGTGAGTTCCATTCCATTACTAACCATCGCTGGCACGCGGGGGACACGGTGTTGCTCGCAGTGCACTGCTAGTGGGACTTGCGCACAGCAGAAGCTGCTTTGTCACGTCGCGCATCTTGCACCTGGCTGCGGAGTGCATTTTCATTCGCCGAGTCGCGGCCGAGAGGTGTCTAGGTGGCTCAGAGGTCAGGGTGCTTGGCTGCTGCCACTGACATCCGGGGTTAAATCCAGACGGTCGCCCGTTGTTAAACTGGGCTCTCATGTGCAGTAAGTCGATTTGTTCGGCCCGGCCACCATTGGCTGCATGCAAATAAACCACCGCAATAACATTTCGCGTCTGCACTTTATTTGGCAAAAATTCCAGCTCTGAGATTGAAAAAAATATATCAGTTTGTCACGTGACAAACGTTGGTCTCATATGTCGAGGGGTTGGAAAAGTGCTGTTGCCTACTGTGTGGACCAGAGGTCACTGGAGGGAGCTCTGTGACATCCGCCATGGGCCGCTCAATAACACACAGTGGGTTGTACCGCTCTGCGAGATATCCGAAAGGACGCTCCGTCTCGTGGCATGACGCCGCTGAGAACACGTACTCAGAATAAAACTTAAGTAGAAAGACAAATGTAAGTGGGAAGATGCCGCGTTGTTGATGTACCAAGCCTCACCTTCCTCTGAGCTACAGTGCCAATCCATGACCTCTCCCACATTCCACTCAGCGATATGCACATTGCAACATTGGCCTCCATACCAGACGCACGCAATCTAAATCTTATTTGGGCTGAAATGTTTTTGTCTGAATCTGTCGACAACAGTAATTCATTTTTGTTCCTAAACAAAAACTGATTATCTGGCTTTAACTGCATTAACGGGTTATTCAACACACCATTTGGCACCCTTTATACTCCACTGGTGTGTTGAATACCTGTTTGTTACTATACAATTAGGGTTTATATATCATCGAAATGTGACCGCATCTTTTTGTTGTGTCTCACAGTGTCCCACTTGCAGTGCCGAGTGATTAATGTCTTTGCAACATACATTATTTTACATTGTGCATTTGATGATGTTTATTTGACTGTAATTTTACTCTTAAAAGCCTTTCATTTTTGGTTCCTTCAATGACCAGCTTAGCATTCGCGTGTTGGCTGGTAAGGCGAGGGGTTATTTTCATTGGACCATTGCCTTTGGTAGGAAGCGTTAATTTAATTCAAAGTCACCTTTATCCAAGGTAGCTTTACAAGTGAAACGCTCCCTTCTTTATCAGAGCAGTTGCATTTGTAAAATGGCCTTCTTGCATGACGCACTTTGTACGTGCACATTTTGTGTGATGTTTTCCCTATCTCATCAGTCACACATGTAACTCACCCTGCCATTTAATCACAACACGATTTTGCATCTTGTGTCTCTTCACCTACCATTGTTTACTGTCGCAGTGGTAGAGAAGCTTTAAAAAAAAACATCTTCTTACTGAAGCATCAAACTCATTACCGTAATACTTCAACCATGTGGCGTGATGTTGTGCGACGACGGTGTTGTGGTGTCAGCCGTGGAACCTTATGGAGTGAGCTTGTAGTTAATCAGGATATGAGTACACCTGCTCACAAACGCTCAGTGCTGACAACGAGACTGAGGAGTTGAGACTGAACGAGGCTGAGCTCAAGAATCGTCGTTCCTGATTGGCTGCATGCTCACTGCAGCCATCTCTCTGTTTTACTGTTCAGAAACTAAACACAGTACAAAGTTATTTTACTACATATACCTAGGTCATATTGCAATTTTTGACAGTATTGTTGGTTGACCGTGTTAAAATACTGCAATCATCGATATGTATTGTATTGTTTTGCGATCTTCTAAGATGTCGGTTAAGGACAATGTTAAATATCATTGTGCAGTTGCGTGTAGAGCAAATCGTTGGTCCTTTTACACGCATATTGTTTCAGATAAGAACTCTGAGACGCAATTTGAGCTCCACCGTGTACGGTGAAATGAGGCAGCCTAAGATTGTATTAAGCTCTGCAATCAGACGAAGTCAGTTGAAACAGCATGGAGCATTTAAATTTTGATTTAAAGCTTTCGTGACTGCAGTAATTCATATTTTTAGCTCTTTCGGTAAAGTCACGTTGAAGGGAAACAATAAAATAATAAAAAATATTTTTTATAATTTTTATTGTTTTATATATTTTTTATTATTTTATTGTTTCCCTTCAACGTGACTTTACCGAAAGAGCTAAGAAAATAGCATGGAGCATGTTGATAAAATCTGTGTGGTGAGCTATTCATAATTCAGTGGAAGTAAACTGAAAACTCCATTGCTACAACTGACCTCACCAGTCTGCAAAACCAAGCAAGTATTGCCTATTTCACCATAAAAAGTGGAGTTCTCATTGGATCCCATCACCCTTACCGTTTACGTATTTTTGACAATGTATAGGAGTTCTTCTTGTCTGACCAGCCTTTCTCTTCTCTTGTCACACTTTGTTTTTTTTTCTACATATTTTATTTCGTATCATTTTATTTACTTATGATTTTTTTAAAAAACCTCCATTATTTAAGGCGGCTCGGATGGTCTGAGGCCCAAGTCGTACGTGGGGAGTCCATACGTCGCCAGCCCATTGCGCGTAAAATCAGCCGTGGTGTTCCCCGCCACCTCCACCAGCCAGGAACTGCTGAGGGACGTTGGTGAGATGAGGCGCGACCTCATGAGGGTCACGTCCATCCTCAAGAGTGACGGCGGCATTGCCGGCATGGGCAAGGAGGTGGTAAGGTCGCCAAAGCTCGACGTCAGGGTCAGGATGGCTGCGGGTGGCAGGCCGGAGGAGAACGTCGGCGGAGAGCCGTTGGAGATCATGGAGAAGGTCAGAGAGGATCTGGAGAAAGTGAGCGAGATATTGAAAAAGGACAACTACGGGGACGTGAGAGTGGTGCAGAGGTCGCATCAGGAAGAGGGGCGGCTCGCGCGCTTTATCAACAGAGAGAGCGGAATTATAATCAGTGATGAAGAAGTGGAAGACGCGAGCAAAAGATACTCCGCATCCGTTCGCTACTATGATCAGAAGTCTGCAATGTTTGATGTTACTGCTGCAAGTCACAAGGGCTCCATCAAAGACACGACTAAAACTGTTTCTTTTTCATGTGAAGACATTAAGAGCGACATGAATAAGCGGGTGGGCTTCTACCAAGACTCGTCCAACGAGAGCCACACAAGTGTTGCAGGGCAAAAAGAATTCCTCGTGAAGGAAAAAGGATCCATTTCATCCGAAGACAAGAAACTAGGCAGCAGACTTCCAGGTTCCATTAAAGTCCTTAATGAGTCTCCACCATGGTCACCACTGAAAAGGGTGAGAAATGACGGCGATCTTGAAAAGCCTTACAACTCCTATCAAACGGTACGCAGAAGGGATGTCCTTAGCAGAGACAGGCCTGAGAGGCTGGATCTGGCCTTTGAGAAAAGGCAGATGAGCAGACCAGATGAACATCCACATGGCGCTCAAAGTAAAAATGTGACGTCCTCAAGTCAAGCTAAATATGGCCTGCCAGTGGGCAGTGCAGATTCTGTCAAGTATGGAGCTTCCAAAGGCACGTGGCAGCCTGACTCCGTTCTGTCACCCCCTTCATCGGACCTGCCACTGACATCTCCGGTGGTCGAGGAGAAGCCCATCGGGCCCATTCGCGACAAGGTGCGTGCGCTGCAGATGAGAGTGGACGCCGAAGCAGAAGAGAAGAAGCGAGGGCTGTATAAGGATCCGCACAAAAAAGACGAAGTGGCCACCAGATACATGTTGGGAAGAACGACTTCTCAAGGTCAGAGCAGCAGCACGACTTCGCCTACAGCTCCTGAAATTATAGAGGAGACCGTGTCTGTGAAGGACCTCATGAAAGTGTTCCAGTCTGGCAGAGATCCCTCGAAGGAGCACGCTGGTCTGTTTGAACACAAATCCTCCTTCTCTGGTGACAGCGCAAGAGGGACGGAGTGGAGACCTGGAACTCCCGAACGGAAACCATTAACTCCAGAGTCGCCAATGAGGATGCCGTTCAAAAGCTGGAAACCCCCCTCTGACAGCCCAAAGAGAATGAGCGAGATTGCTGGCGACATGGCAAGCCCAACAAGGGCAGCCCGGAGCCACTTTAAAATGCTGGAGAGTCCAACTCTTCAACGGAAGATTAAAGGGCCAGAAGACGAGACGAAAGTTTACAAGCGAATCATAATGCTAGACGATGAGGACTGTGGCGAAAAACAATTCATGGCGGCAAAATTTGAGAATCTACCGCACTCCCCAGAAAGCCCACCTTCACCTGCTCCCCGCAGGAGATCACCTGTGTCTCCAGATAGCCAAAGATCGCCGGTCAACAGACTGTGCATTGGCTTGAGGAAGCTGGAGGGCCCAAATTCACCAGACGAGCACACCACAGAAAGCCATAAGTCCCCTTTAGGTTATAGGTCTCCACTGGGTCATAGGTCACCAGAAGGTATAAAAACACCCATAAGTCTACGATCTCCCACAGGACAAAGAACACCAGAGAAACAGAGGTCCCCTTTAGGTAGCCGATATCAGGGCATTCTCAAGTCTCCAGAATGTCATAGGTCACCAGAAATTCTCAAATCATCCCGAGGTCAGCACACTCCAATGGGGTGCAGGTCTCCAGACAGTTACAGGTCAAGCGAAAGCCACCGGTCACCTGAAAACCCAGGCTATCGAGAAGAAGAAGGAGAGTTGACAGCCGACGAGTCTCTCCCGTCATACCTGGACTCATCGCACCTGGACACCCCTCTATCTCAGGAGGAAGACAGTCGCCCAGGCTCTGCCCAGCTGATGACCGACGAGTCATACCGCTCGCTGCGGTACCTCACTCAGCAGTCGGTTGAGTACGTGGAGGATGAATTCACAGAAATTCGCGGGGAGGGTTACCAGTTTGCTGAGAAAATGCTGCTGTCGGAGTGCACCGATCAGACCCATTCGGACAGCGAAGAGACCTTCTTGGATTGCTTCGCTACAGGGACGGTGAGAAGGGGGTCGAAGGATGTTCAGAAGGAAACGAAGGAGCCTGGCAAGCAGATGGATAAAGTCCCCAGACAATGCGTCTCTCCTGCTCAGAGCGACGCCAAAGGGAAGACGTATCACGACAGCGACCCGGCACCTGGAAGCAACCATCTGAGGGGATTCTCGTTAGAGAGGAAGGGGTCTCCGGACAGAGAATCGTCTCGTTACAGAGAAGACCGAGTGGACAAAACCGTCAAGGAGGCAGCCGAGAAGCTCACCGAGGTGTCGCAGTATTTTCGTGACAAAGCCGAAAAGTTGAACGATGAACTCCAGTCGCCCGAGAGAAAAAGAAGAAGCCCCGTGAGGCAGGACTCCGGCTTGACGGGGTCTGAACCTGGCAGTCCCATCAAGCAGGTCTACAATGTGACCAGGCAGGAGCCTGGCAGCCCAGTTCGTCAGATGTCCAGCCTGGCTAAAGCCGAGCCAGGCAGCCCGGTGCGGCAAGTGTACAACGTGTCTAAGCAGGAGCCGGTGAGTCCGGTCCGGCAGGTCTCCAGTCTTGCGAAGCCAGAACCAGGGAGCCCGTCGAGACAAGCATCTCCCTTAGCAAAGCACGACGTCGGCGCCAGCGCCAGACCGGGTCCTTCACAAGTGCAAGGGTCCTCATCCACGAGTCCCGGCAAACAAACGGGGGGACCACCGCCGAGTGCCGATCACGACAGCACCGTGAAGCCCAGGGTCTTCCCGAGGTCTTCCATCCCCGTCCGAGAAGGACACGGATCAGCCTCTTATAAAGACTACAGGACGAAGCGGATCACAGAGGCGAGGGAAGCGGTTTTTTTGGATGAAGAGCATGACGACGGGCAATCGGCAAGGGGCTCCAGCATAAAGCTAGTGGAAAAAAAAACGATCGATGTCCAGAAAAGTCCAAGAGTAGCTAGAGTCATCCAGGAGGAGAAGGTAGACAATGATCAATTCAGGCAGTTCCGATCACCTCCATCCCAAAGGTTAGAATCTCACCCTGAGAAAGTGGGCATCGGCTCTTTACATGGAAAATTGCCGTCGCCAGCGATCGGCGATGGACTAAGAGGGGCCCAGTGCAGCAGGGAGACGGACAAGGATCACGCAACGGCTCCTGACACTCACTGCTCGGTGCATTTTGAAGGCGAGTCATCGAGTTCCAGAGCAGGATGTGCGACAGAAGAGCACGCAAATCAAAATGCGAGGGCCCACAAAAGTGTTTCGAGGAGTCCCAAGCATGAAGATAAAAGTGAAACAAGCCACGTCAAATCCGAGAGCTCTGGTAATGGAAGAAAGCATGAAGTTCAGCGATCGGGAAAATATTCTACCTCCTCTACAACAGAAAGAGCGCAGAAATCACCCGAGAAAAGGACGTCGCCGTCGACATCCAGGCGGTATTACTCGAGAAGCGAGCACAAAACCCAAGTGGCTTCTTCTAGTGCGTACAAGAGAACTAAAGAAAATGCTGATATTGACAAGAGCCAGTGGGATGGACAAAACCGACGCTCCACCACTGACAGCGAACGTGACATGGAAGATGACTCCATGATCTCCGAGAAGGAGCGCTCCACCGTGGAGGAAAAGGAAGACATTTCTCCGTCGGCATGCACCGACGATGCGGGGAAGGGGAACGAGGGCGACAACGGCGTCGCCAGCCCCGAGCAGTCGACGGTGGAGCCGGGCGCCGCCGGGCCCGTTCGGCTGGAACGGTCGACGAGCGAGAATGCCGAATCGGCCGCCTGCCACAGAGCCGTGAGCGACACGGAGAGAGAGAAAGAGGTGGAATTCATTAAGCCAATCAGTGATGACAAACACGGCATGAACCTGGGAAAGAAGTCACCATCCCAGGTCGGTCTGGCCAATTTCACCTTGCAGGAGCAGCACGGCACTGAGGTGCGCAGCAGAGAGCAGGTTGGCGTGAGCCACACGCCGAGCGGGGGGGACTCGAACCCAGGTTCGCCGCCAGGGGCCGTGTTGTCAAAAGTGTTGAACCCCGAGGAACAGAAAATTGTGCAGTGCAGCTCTTCATCTTCTGACTTTGAGAAGCTGGCCGTGAAGGCGGCAGTCACATTATTGTCTGCCGTGGAAGGCTCCGAGCAGTCGGGCGATGAAGCAATGGCCATGGTGAAGTCTCTGTGCAGTGAGGAGAAGATGATGGAGCACCTTGCGCTGACCGAAGAGCAAGTAAAATCGCTCGCGCAGGAATCTTCCACGTGCCAGACCTTTGACCCTGCCGGTGTTCCTCTCACGGAGAAGGAGAAGATGCAGCAACTGTTGGTGAGTGAGAGCAAGGCGTTGATGGAGGCGGAGCACAAGTTCACGACAGACGTGCAATGCTTCTCAACGACGGTCGACACCCTGACCTATAGTTCAACGGAGAAAAAGGTCACAGCCATTGTGACGTCAAAGGATTTTGTAGGACCTTGTGCTCAGCAGTCACAGGGCAATGTGATTAAAACTGCCACCACATCTGAGACCGGTCCCAAGAAGACTCGGTGTGAAGCCTCGAGTAAACAGTGTGAACCACAGTCTCCTAACCAAGACGTGGACAACGAGCCTCGGATGCATAAAGTTGAGCCCGAGAGCTCTGTTAAATGTGGCTTTTCACGAACGCAGCAAAACGACTTTGCAAAGAGACACGAAGCATTTGAGTGTAAAACTAATCGCGGTGAGCTGACAGCTGAGCAACGCAAAGCAAACTCTACTCACGAGCCTCCAACCTACGCTTCGGTTTTCCCAACGAAATCTGGAGAGCCCAGCAGCGCGGTGTCCACACCGGATCCTCATCAAAAAGAGAGAACGTTTGAGTTTCCTCCACCTCCTCCCATCACCATGCTGGACGAGGAGCAAATGCCGCCTATGATGGAGCTGGCAGGCGAGGAAGGAATGACGTCTTCATCCTCGGCATGTGACTCGGAGGTCACGCTGCTGATGTGCCATAGGGAGGCGCGGAAGTCGAGGCACGCCGAGCCCAATATCAAAGTGCAGCCTCCGTCGCCCGTGCAGTTTAGCGCAGAGGATCTGAATCACCCGGCCTCTGCTGAGCCAAATCAGTCACCCATCTCCCTCAAGAAGTACACGTTTAAGCTGTTTAACGACGACGAACAGAAAGAGCGAGCCAAGAGGAAGGACGAAGGTGAGAAGACAGCAGCCCGCAAAGCCCCCGGCGTCGATTCAAAGCAAGTGGCGTCAGACGCTCCGGGAGACCGGGATGCGCCACAGGACACTCAGCCGACCGAGCGCTCGTTCACCACCACAGCGGAGTTCTCGCATGACACCGACGCCACCGAGGTGGACTCCCTCGACGGGTACGAGCTGCCCAGCGAAGAGGACGAAAATACCGTCGCAGAGGCGAGCAACAACAATAGGCTGCTTGACTGGGCGGCTGAGGTCCGCGACGCGACCATGGGCAAAACCGACTGGTTTCCCGTGGACGGGTCGGGCTTTTCCTTACACGACCGCGAGCCACCGCAGGGACGCAAACCTGCAAGTGCTCACGCAAAAACGGAGGAATCAGGTGAGAAGCAGTCGGACAGCACCTCAGAGAACTTTACACTAGAAGGCCGTCACCCAGATCGGACCCCGTTTGGTAATGTTTATCCTTTTCCCTCCAACTTAGCGGGCAAGGCGGTGAAGTTTGACCCGTGGACTACAATTCGCGACGAGGAGGAAGGCCGCGGCGAGCACGGCCGCGCCGCGGAGCCGAAGCCGTTCCGGCTCGCGCTGCACAACGAGAGCGTGCAGAAGTCTCCGGCCAACTCCCCCGACGACCTCACCCCGACGGCCCGCACCCCGACCGACCCCGAGAGCACCCCAACGAGCGAGCGCAACATGTTTCCCTTCCCGTTCCGAGAGGGGAAGATGTTCGAGATGACTCGCAGCGGCGCCATCGACGTGGGCAAGAGGGAGGAGAATGACGTGGCCAAGGACGCGAGGCCGCAGTGCCTGCCCATTGGTGAGGGAGGCGCCCAGCCGGGGAGCGTGGCGGTGGGGGCCGCGCCTCTGCAGGCGGCCGCTGACACGCCGGCCTCCTCCCCGCAGGGCGCCGAGGAATCCACGGACCCCTTCAAGTCGTCGCTGTGGACGGAGCAAGAGCTGAAGTCTCTCCGTGGGGCCACGCAGGACCCATTTGCGACGCTATGGGACTCTCTCGAGGAAAAGATAGTCTCGTCCATGACCACGAAATCCGAGTCCAAGTCGCGGATTCCCATAAAGATGGGAGTCTCCGCCTCGGCCAAGGTCATCAAGAAGGACGCGCTGAGTGCAGAAGCGCCCGACGATAAAAATCCAGACTCGTCCACAAGTTCTGCCGAGTCAGCGAATGCATTGGGGACGGAGTTGTGCACGTCGGCAAAGCCAGAGCCATTAGACGCACATGCGGTGACCAACGTCAACAGTAAACTAACGAACCTTGAGACCAATGAATTTTCCGATAAACATAATTTAGACAAAGCTGTAGCAGACACCAGAAGCAGCAGCAGCAAAACATTTGAGCAGAGAGCTGAGAGCAGTGGTTGCCCCTTAGCCTCTGGGAGACTTGGAGAGGGGGAATTCGCACCCAAACCACTACCTAGGGAGAAACACTCTGCACAAGAAAGGCAACAGCAAGTCACAGTGGCCACTGCGCAGGCACAACGCCCAGCAGCTCAGGATCGCCTGATTCCCAAACCAGGTGACAATCCAGCTGCACAGTACCCCTCAGAGCCGTCGGAGCGGGCCAAAGTTCAGGCTTTTCCACACGCTGAGCAAACTGCCCCAAGTCAGACTTCGCTGGTGGGTGAGCAGGGCAACAAAAAGCCAGCACTTTCTCCCATTAAGCACTCGCCCCACGTAGTGGCGTCGGCCAGCAAGCAGGCTACAAGGGTGGCCGTGGCCTCGCAGCACAGGCCAAGCGCGCTGCCAGAGAATGCTCACATAGCCAAGTACACCGCTGTGACGGCCAAATTGAGCCACTCGTCCCCCAAGCACGACACGAAGCATTCCCCCACCCATTCGCCCAACAAGGGCCCAATGCACACTGTTCACACACTCAAGCAGTCCGCGGCACACACTGCCCACGCGTCACCGGTGCATCCCTCGTCAGAGGCCATGCACCCTCCCCTGCCCTCAAAGCAGCCGCCTGTGGACTCCGGTCATCCGGTGCATTCACATTCCGCCTCAGGTGAGCAGGCCGTTCGGGACGACTCGCACACGTATCGCTCCTGCTCGCCTTCTGAACAGTCCCTGACTCAAATTCCCCTACACGACGATTTAACGTCGAGCCAAACCTCCAGCGCTTCAGAGCAGATTCCCCCAGCAAAATCTGCGCACACGGAGAAGCACGGCACTTCGCACGGGGCCAGTGCCGCCACGACGCACTCCACGTCGAGCACCAAGCAGATCCCGAGGGCCCCTGACCCACATGCCGACGTGAACCGAAAGCCACCTTCCACGCATCCCTCTCCCCCGCATGGCGCGCTTGCCCAGAAGCACCCTCCCGCGCATGCCGACCACTCCGCAAAGCATGTCCCCTCCGCGAGCACGCACGACGCAAAGCAGGTCCCTGTACCGGCGGAGCGCACGTCCAAGTTGCACGGCAGGCCCGGCGAGAGTCCAACGAAGCAGCACGCTTCTTCGCTGGAGCACGTGGGTGCCAAGCGGGCGCCTTCGCCGACCCACAGGCACGCCACCAAGGCGAGCGTCTCCCCGAGACATCACGAGCAGGCACAGGTCAGCCCCTCCAAAAGGCACACTGGGCAAATGTCGAGGCAGACCGCTGAGCAGTCGCAAGCTGACAAGTCGAAATCTAAACTGCCCATCAAGTCAAAATATTCGAGATCCGAGGCGTCAGGGGTAAGCACCGAGACGAGCGTGTCGAGGGTCGCAGAGGTTAGGATTAGGGGCGCAGAGGTCAGGACAAAGGTTACGGCAAGTAAGGAGAAATCTATAGTGCGAACAAAGTCAGAGTCGGAGCAGCAGATTAAATCCAGGATACCCGTTCGCCACAGGAGTTCGGATTCCGATTCAGATGGAAAATTCCAATCGGAAAGGGCTCAGCTGAAAAAAGGGAGACCATCGACTGCGAAACCAAAAACTTTCCAATCCAAGCTGCCGGTGAAAGCAAAGCCTGAGCAGACGCAGCCGGTCACGGCTTCCCCCGTCGTGGACGAAGCGGCAACCTGCAGCCCTGCCCTTCCAGAGGCTTTCCGGCACTCCATCGAGTACTTCGAGGGCGTCAGCAGGGAGGCGTCGCGGCTCGCCGATCGGCTATCCCTGCAGGAGGGCCGGGGCGACGACGCGGCAGCGGCGTCCACGGAGGACGACGACAGCAACGTGTATGATGTGTCGACCGAGTCGCCCAACCCGCCCTCGGACGAGCGCTCGCCCAGCAACAGCAGCAGCAGCTTCAGAAGTCGACCCATCGAGAGCAGCCCGGGCTCATCGTCCGACGCGACTCCAGCCAAGAACGGAACTAGTTTGTAGCCATTTTACTTCTGGTGCCAGACTGACGTCCGCGATCAGTCCTGCGCGCCGCACACGCCATCTCCATTCGTCTGGTGCTCCATTGTCTCCATTGTCTCCCATTGTCCGTGACGTGTTCGCATGCATGCTTGTGCGCGCCTGGGTTGCCCCCGCGTGGATGTGCGTCGGTGACGTCGGCCTACCGAACGCCGGTGCGTCTATGTGGCCATGAGTGCCCAATGTCATTCTCGTTTGCGGTGCACTTTTGCCCACGACCAGAAATGTCACGATCGTGAACACGTCCTGTAAAAAAAGGTGCTGAGGAGTGCTGTCAAAATACAGTTTTGCAAATTGAGAGCAAGCAAACTCTTGTTTATAAGTGTACAGCGTTCCATGATGGAGCTATTTAGTGTGCAGGCAGTGCAACTGCACCGGGGCCCAGGGGCCAGAGGAGCCCCAGGATATAAAGAGGGCAGAGAAATTGGACTGGGGCGGAGGGTGCCGTTTCATTCCTGGCACCAGGACCCGTGCCAACCATGTTACACCACTGACAGCTATTGGTTGTTGCAATTAAAACTTGTTTGAAACGAAATATATGCATTTCGCTGTATTTTGACCGTTTACAACTGAAAAGAGTTTGCTCTGATGCTGTACAATATAAACCGACTTGTTCACTTTGTCAACTTACTGCACGTTAGAAAAACAAAGCCCGTGTCATTTCCATGTTCTGTTTTTCAAACGGTGTTGTGTACGACCACTTCAGAACGTTTGTTTTCATGAAACATGTGCACCGGGTCTCTGCTGCATCTGCCCGTCAATTGGCGGAGATGCTGCTGTGTGTCATTCACGTACGGCACGGTGCTGCAGTAACACACCCCCCGGCCTCGGCAGCGAGATGCCTCCGTGGGTAACAGGCAGCAGCAGCAGCAGACGAAATTCTGCCACTCTGTGCGCACCATGCATGCGATGTAGTGCATGCCATCCGCTGCAACTTCCACGTGCAATGTCCTTGATCCCATGCAATCTTCTGTGAAATGTGTCCACGTTGTTTCCTCTCGTTTATCGGCTTCCCAATATGCATGCACCCAACTCCCCCATCCATTCATCCTCCATAATTGACATGTACAAATGCTACGCTGCATCTTTTCCCCCGTGACTGTAATTGGGTGATCTCATGAAAGCATTGTTGTAAATATACTACTGCATACCTCAATAGGCACATTTTCCTCAAGAGGATTGTGTTTTGTTAAATTGCTGATGAACATGGTTTGTGATTATTATTTTTTTCAGCTGCTGGTCACAGCCCGAGTGAGAGGACCAGCTTGCGGTTGTCAGAAATCGCAGGACATTTGGGCATTAGCTGGCCTGGTAAGATGTGCATGCAATAAAAACAGATAATACGTAGCACAGTTTAATAGATGCTAATAGTTTTAAGCATAGCCTTGGCTGTATTTGTGTGAAATGTAAGATTTGCGGCCCATTAGAATTTCAATCAGCCATTCATAAATAATTATCTTAAATGTGGGCTGGGGAACCTTTTGCTTACTGAAGGCTGTATCAGACTTTCAAATACCTTTGGCCGGCACCCACTGATGAACACAGGCATCCGGTCACTTCTGTCATTGCATGAGGCCCTTGCAGTGACAAAAGTGACTCGGCACAGTTGAATTAAGACACAGCATTTTTTTCCAGATGTAAAACATTCCCCTCTCGAACCTGATTAGTGCGGCTAAGATATTTGCAGCGATGGTTAAATATCACTTGGATGCCATTTTTAAGTGGTCAGCCTCATTTGGCCGTGGTCCATACGCATTTAGACAGTCGTCAAGAAAGATTTCACGTGACGCAATTTTAACTGTCGTGTATTTAATAAATGTTTTACCCAAGCCTGTGGACGATTCTGCCATGCGGCTGCGCAGAGCTGGCCCGTGAGCTGAGTTTCCACGAGGACCAAATCAACCGGATACGGATGGAGAACCCCATCTCGGTGGCCGAGCAGGGCCACGAGCTCCTCCGCCAGTGGACGGCGCACGACGGCCCGGCCGCCACCGGTGCGTCCCTCCTTGCCCAGCATTTGCTCGCTAGCTCACGTCGCCAAGCGTCATCACACGAAACGGCGCCCGCGTTGTCCCCCTGCCTCCTCGGTTTTGCACCGTTACGCTCATTCTCGTTACGCTCATTCTCATCTAACGTCTGATGCGGCCTTCCTGCCTTGTTAACAGTTTTTCATACACGTGTATGTCCAACTGATACTGTCCCGCACCTCCGAGTCGGTAAGAACATTTGTTATTGGCTACTGTTATGAGTGCAGTCCATCACGAATGCACATTGATCACACGTTGAAGTAGACTCTCTGAAAGAACACCATTTTGAGTCTGTTGCAGAACTGGCTCAGACTCAGGGATGGATCCCGAGCGTGAGCCGGTAGCGTGTTTCAGGTCTTTAGGCCAGAGACCCCGAAACTGCGCTAGCCATATCACGCGCGAGGTTTACATGCTGCGGGCACAGCAGCAGGTCGCCGCAAGCCGGTACGCACTGATCGGGGAGAATAGGACGGAGCAGATCGATGGAGATTCGTGAAGACGAGTAGGCATAATTTATACACAATCCCGTATTTAATAGGTAGCCAGCGCAGCTCATCACGGATCATATTTCTGTTTCCTAACTATCAGAGAAGTCAGACTCCGCCTGTGATGGAAGGGTTAGCTTGACGTTGCCTTCTTCCTCTGCAGTGGAGAAGCTGAAGGTGGCCCTCGCGCGGATCCACCGGCTCGACATTGTGAGCCTTGTGGAGAGAGGGGCCGGACGGGGGGCACGCTCCTACAGCGAGATCGAGGGGACGATCGCATTGGATGAGTCTGACGGTGAGCGCACGCGAGCGAGCGAGCGGTAGCGAGCAACCCAACACCGTGATGCGCAACGAGGTCTGAATTAGCGTCCCCGGCGCAGTCCAAGGTACGGGGATTAGGGGTCTGCGTTCCATTGCACGGATGCAGCAGGCGAGGCGTTTGGCAGCGTCGCGTTTCATTTTCCAACAGTGCCCGCTTTTGTCGTTGTTTCCATTGCGCTTGAGTTCGCAGTTTCGTTTTCACCCTATTTTTTTTGTTGTTGTTGTTGTGGATGTGAAGGAATTTTTGTTCGTTTTACCATTTAATTCACCGTTCATGTTTGCTTTGCGTTTGTTCATCGTTTTTCACGAACGCCTTCAAGGAGTCTCCCCCCCGCCCGATGAGTTGCCTTCCCCCTTGTTCCCGGGGTCGACCGCCCGACCCAAACTGAGCTGGGGGCCAGACACGACCGTAGAGGTCAACGGGACACCTCCACTGTCGCCGGCGGCTCCGGGGACGGCCGACGAGGCCGGGCGTAACTTGGCGCCCATGGTCGCGTCGGAGGATGACCTTTCCCTCGGAGATTCAGGTTTTATATTTTACTTTTGTTATTTTACTTTTCCTTACATTTTGTTTTCTTTCCTGTATACTTATCTGTTTAATGCCAACCATGCAACATTTATCCCACCGTGAAAGTATGCGCAGCAACAGCACCATATGCTCATGTACTTTTGACGTGTGTTGTTTGAACCATCATCATTGTGCGTTCGTGAGGCAGCAGCGTTGGGTGTTCCACGCAATGCCCTCCGATGGATGTGACACGGGTTCAAAATCCCGGCTGTGTACGAGGGATCCACCTCTCCACGATGCCCGCCCTTCCTCCCCAAGCATGCCCTGTCGGCCTTAATAGGCGCTCGCCAACAGCACTGTGTACCAACAGACTACAAAGCCAATCTTGAGATCTGTGCGCATTTGTAACTGTAAGGGTGCGTGTGTGTGTGTGTGTTATCAGGGTTGGACAGTCCTGCCGTGAGTGTGAGGACAGGAGCGATGCAAGCAGTCAGCCGGGATGGCATCAACATGGACGGCACAAGGTGCTCGCCGCCACTAATGCGTCGCACGGCAACGAGGGCGGCAGGGTGCTGCAGTGATTACACTTCCCGCCTCGCAGGAGGAACGAACCTGGGTTCCATTCCCGACTCGGGCCGCCTTTTTGTTTGGAATTTGATGTTCTCTCCCTGTTCTGCATGGGTTTTCTCTAGATTATATGCGGTTTCTTCCTGGAGTCAAAATGAAATCAACGTGTAATGTAAATGGTATTGGCCAAATATTCCAATGCTGAAAAATAACCTGCAAATTACTCAATTGGGATGACGCGTGACATCGCCCCTGACTGCAAACATTTTTGGGGATTGTAAGCACTCTAAAGAATCTGGTTGATTTTAACTTAACATTACTAAAATATTACAATATGATATAATTTACTACTATAATGAGACAAGAATGTCTGTGTGTTCCGTGCGTGACGTCAATCCACGTCGACCAGCCCCCCTCATTAATAATCATGTGCGGGTGACGTCACTCCACATGGAGCACCCTCCCACCTCATTAATAATCATGAGCATGTGCCGTCACGCCACATCGAACAGCGCCCCTCATTAATAATCATTATAAGGTGACGTCCTCCAAATGGGGGAGCGAGGCGCCTCCTCCCCCCTCCTCAGCATCAACTTATAATCCTCACTACTACAAAGGCAGAACCCTCACGTCACGCGATCTCCGTAACGCTGTTGAGACATAGAAGTAAAAAGGACGTCATGATGAACAAGGGATTATAACCTTAAAGTGAAATAGGTCTGCGTCACCGCGGCCTTACAAATTGCACACGCGTTGATGCAATGAATATCACGTCGCGGTCTGCTTTTCGCTTGCAAGTTTCAGATTTACTGCAATACACCCGTCCCTGGATGGGCAAAAGGCGAGTTTGTAGAGAGCATCTCAGTCTGACGCATTGCACTTATGGTGTAGACCAGCGTTTTTCACTAATTTTCAGAGGGGGGCACTTTCGCTGATAAGACATCATCAGAGTGAGGGCTGCTACACATTTGAAACCATTGGGATTTTGACAGGATAATGATAATGGGGTGTTTTCACTATGTGTATTGGCGAAGGGCCGCACCTCAGCGGCTGCACTAAAGGGGCCGCCAGTGGCCCACGGGCATTGCAATGAAGAACACTTGTGTAGAGACACGAGAGAGAGGGATGCAAGTCCGTTATAGCCAGAGGAAACATGGGATGTCTTGAGCCTGGACTTGAGCAGGAACAGGGAGTCAACAGCACGTATTGCCTGGGTGCTTACGGTGAAGTAGAGCTTACACTCTCCCCGCTGGCAGTTTGTAATTAACTCTGAGATGCTTCCTTGCCACTTCGCATGACCGTGCAGTGTGCGGAGGAGAGACGAGGCTGAGCAGCTGGTGGTGGGACAGACCAAGCCATTGGGATCTCACAAACACCTCGAGACGGACGGGCCGGGCAGAGGGCTTCACGCCATGGACGGAAAACCCGGGGCTCCCAGCAGCAGAGAGGTATCATTTGACTTGACCTCTCACCCACGTTTAATTCAGTAAGAAGGGCAGCAATGGGAGGCAGGGTGGTGACATTTGTGCCTCGTGGCAAGAAGGACCCGGGTTTGAATCACGACTTTGAGCACCTTTCTTTTTGGAGTTGTGTATGTTCTCCCCCTGTTCTGCATGGGTTTCCTGTGGGTACTCCAGTTTCCTCCCAAAGCAACAAATATTATACACCGTAACTGGTATTAGCTAAACTGCCCAATGCTGAGAATTACCTACAAATTACCCAATTGGCATTACATGTAACTGTCACCTACGACTGCGAAACACTTGGCAGGACCCTCCTGAAAAAAAGTCTTGAGACTCAGCGAGGCCTTCCTTGGTAAAAAAAAAAAAGGCAATCGTAATAATAGCAAAGACAGTGCGTGGTGTGTGTCCGGTGGCGCACGTGCCATCGTCACAGCTTCACAATGTGGAGGAGGAGGTCCCAGGTCCCGTGAAGGTGCAGTCTCACCTCAGTTCGCCACGCTCTCTAGCGGCATTGCCAGGCCGAGATTATAACTCACTTGCTGCACTTTGTATCATAAGCCCTGCCGGCCATTTGGTATCTGACTTGTCGCACCGCAGGTGGCGGGATGTTAACTACCTCGCCTGGTATACAGGAGGTCATGGGTTCGATCCTGACCCTGACGCCTGTTGTATATTTGTAGTTTGCACGTCTCTCTCCCCGTGGTCACGTGGATTTTTCTCCGGATCCTCTGTTATTTACTTCCGACATTTAGAAACACGCGTATAGAGTATTTGGCTGCTATGAATTTCCACTTGATGAGCCGCTTCGCTGAGCTATCATTTGTGGCCAAGTTGCTTCTAAAAAAGAGCTACGTAGCTCAGTGGTAAAAGAAAAAAATAGTTTCAAATCTTTTTCGTTTTGACTTCCCCTTTTTTTTCTTCTCAACAGTCAGATGCAGCAGAACCCAACGCAGATTTTACAGTTTGCCCGGCACACACACAGGGACAACGGATTGCGTGTAAATTATATGGAAAGCTATGGTTAATTGCACAGGTGTGCAATAAACTACTCCTTGGATACTGTCGGGAAAGGAATCATATTTCCATTTGTGGGCTTTGAATTAAACTTCTCCGTGGCTAATAGTGCTTCATCGTGTGTCCTGGTCTCTTGCCTATTTCCTGCATTGGTGAAATGTATTGCTGTTAAGGGGCATTGCTGGCCGAGACCTACGGAGGAATGTAACATGTTAGCATTAGTATTGACATAAAATAGAGCTGCAAGTGGGAATTTAATAATAACACTGAACCGTTTTTTATGGATATGGTTTTGGCAGTCTCATTATGGAGTCCACTTGACACTTTAGTATGTCTCCGTGAAATGAAATTTTGCATTGGAATCGCAATAAATCTAGCTTAACTTGATGCGTAACAAATTTTGTTCATATGCTTGGGCTCAATGGCAATATTGTATTGTGTCTTGTAAGGGAAGATATGCCGTTGTCTCCAGAGTTTAGAAGGCATGAATAGTGGTCTCTTTTCAGCAGGTTATGTTCTATTGGTAAAATGTATTAGTTGTACTGCTGATCACAAACGTATACTACATTTTAATCTTTCTTATTTTTAACGTATATTTCAGGGTCTTTGCTCAGCATTGGGAATGTACGACCTCGGATCATGTTGATAATTTATGTTTTATCTTATATTATTATTGAGTGAAGTAAAATGAAAATATTTTTGGGTTGTGACACCAGCGTCTTTACAGGGGCAGGATGGACGTACAGCACCACCAATGCCACCGTTGCCTTCACCTTTTCCCGAGACTCCCCTCGTTGGCAGTCCCTCTCTCGTAAATCGCTGCCTATGGAATGAAACGGATAACGTGACATTGATTAAGCTGCCTGCGATGCAGTGAGAACGGCTAAAAATAAAAAAAAGCTGCGATGCTTAAGGGATATTTTTTTGTAAAGCCTCCCCACCTGCCTGCAAGTGATGATCCTCATGCGGCGGTCATTGGCCATCCCCCCCCCCCCCCCCCCCGAGAAGGAGGGGGCGGGGGGGGCAGCGTGCCCGAACGTGGCTGCGGTCTGGCGGTCATTTTTAGCCCAGGGGACGCCGAGTCCCGAGCGGCTCTGGGTGGGCAGCAGCAGCAGCAGCAGCAGCAGGAGGAGGTGGTGGCGACGGCTGCTCTTCTCTGTCTCTCGCTGCCGGCGCGACACTCCGCCGTGGGTTGGCGCGGAGAGGGACGATGCTTTGGGCGCTCGTCGCGCTCCTCCCGAGGCAGCTGCTTTCCTTGCCGCTCGTGGCCGCGGCGGCGGCGGCGGCGTGTGTGACGCTGCTCTGCTTTGTCCTCTCGCCCTCCACCTCGGGGGTGCGCTCGCGCGCGCAGAGAGACCGCGGCGGCGCGGTGCCCGCGCGCGCGCCCGACGCCCCCCCCTCTCAATCCGCACCCCAGTCCGCTTCCGGCTCTGGCTCGGAGGAGGAGCAGACGGTCACCACCAGGGTGATCCGCCGACGTGTAATTGTTCAGGTATCCTGCGGCGCAGGTAGCATTAGTATATGTGTTTGTGTGTGTGTGTGTATATATATACTGTGCGTCTGCATAGATGTGCAACCCGCATCAGTGTCGATTATTTTTTAGTTGTTTTAAAGGCTTGTTCCAAGAACATTTTTGACCTCTCTTTTGCTTGCTTAGGGGTGGACAAGTCCTCTGATTTTAAGAACGCCTTGCAGTGCTGTGCAATTTGTTTAGATTTGTGTCCCTTGGATTGAGATTTGTTTTCTTCAGCATTTTACTTTAAATTTTAAAGAATGTTTTGAGAAGACATTGTATACAGTATACCGTAGTTACTTTCTTAAGTCCTTAGACCACAAGAGCAACAAATAGTTGTGGCATCCACATTTTGGGCTTATTTTAAATGCAAATTTGTATGTACTAACTTATAAAATAAACAATGGTACTTTGCACCTGTAATAGGTATACTGCATATATCGTTTGTAACCTGTGTAAGACAGTGCAATGTCTATTTACCAAGCCACTCAGCAGTATGGTCTTATGACCTTGCCAAGTATTCTTCATCGCTTTAGTTTAGACTTTCTTGAGAAAAAACATAAAAGCTGAAACGTCACCTTTATCATGACCAGGCACAGACGCCTGCAGAATTATGTGGGCCTGTTTAATTGTACGTCTAAAGTATTTTCATTATATAATCATTAGTACGGTATATGTCCTATCTTTACATTCCATAAAACATAGACATTGCACCATGACCCCTTGCATGATTCGCTCTGAACTTTGAGTTCCCTGTCTCCATTACTTTACTCGTTCATTTTCATCCACGCATTTGAAGGTGGTGCATGAGCTTGGATTAAATACGAATTGAGGGATACTTGTAGGATTTTTGTAAAAAAAAAATTGCTTGCCGTATTACGTCATTCACAGTGTTCCCAATGCGGGTAACATTGGCAAGCAAAATGCGACCTCTTTGTTGTGGGTGAGACCTGTTCAAACCCGCAAGTCCTGTCTTACATGGCCGCAGGGCGACAAGCCGCTGGATCTCCTTGCTGGGCCTATGTGTGTGGAAGAGTTTACCGACGAACAGGGAAACCTCGTCACTCGAAAAGTAACATCCTTTCCATTCGTTGCATTTATCATGTCGGCGTTCCACTGTTTCATAATTCATACATACATAACATTTTCACCGTGTTTTGATGTTTACTTGGATTCGTCACCAGAGTTACAATGTGATGCTCTATCCGTGTTGATTAGCGCTCGTTCAAGTTGGTATTGTCTTTCAGTGTACCCTTGTGTAGCTTGGAAATGTAATTATTACCGGTTTTATGATGTTGCAGTTGAGCTTTATAACAAAAACACTGTCGTGTGCATTACGGTAGCTTCATTAACATAAACAATCTCCGAGATTGAAATTTGCATAACGCTTGCTCTAAATCACAACGTGGCCTCGCTGCGGTGGCCAGGTGACGCGCAAACTGATTCGCCGCGTCACTGCCCCCGACGGCTCAGCGAGCGAAGAGGTCATCACGCAGGCCACGGACCCTGACGCTTACGCCAGGATGCAGGCCGGAAGCCTGAACCCAGGGCTTGAAGGACCCCTTACGGTATAAAACACCCTCCCTTGTTGAAGCCTTCATTCTGTATCTAGCTCTGCAGGAACAGATTTTTTTTCACCTTTTTTTTTTTAAGCAGTTTACGTTTTTTTGCTCAAGTGATTTTTGGGTGTGGACTTTTGCTTTTGTGTTCGTTTCTTGTTTCTGGGGTCATGTTTTCACCGCGCTGATGCAGCAGCCTGTTGTATTATTTTGTGTGGTTTAGACATTTGTTCAATGAGTTGGATGTGACGGTGCACAGCTTTAATACAGAACTTTGGATTATTTTATGTTTTCCATAATATTTTTTGGGTTAGATCGCGTAAATATAATTGTGTCGTTAAAACACCACCTGACACAGCCAATTTGTAAGGTTTTCCACGTAAACAGAACTTGCCAATTCGTTACTAGTACAGCACACCGGAGTGTTGGAAAGCAAATTGTAAATGTTGTGGATTTGTTCTCCAACACACGGGTGTGCTGTACTATGAACAAATTGGCATCTTCTGTTTACGTGACAAACCTTACTATTTGATTGTGTTGGGTGGTGGCGGGTTTAACGACACATTTATATTTACGCCATCTAACCCCAAAAAAAACTACATTATGGATGATATTGGTTGCGAAAGCCTGCGTGTTAAACTTTTATGTTTTGTTAAAATATTTTACCCAGGATAATCCCTTATGATGGGTGTCCAGGATACTTGGACAGGGGCAGGGTTGATGGATCACACGGCATCGTGTGTGTGATCCCTTCCTGAGGGGCAGTGGCACTCAACCAGGACTCGGTGAAGCAAGTATCGTGCTGATGTATCATGGCAATATTTTGGAGTTTTAATGCCTTTCCCTGGGTTCTCTAGTTTCCTTACACGTAATTTTCAGTTAAGTGCATGAAAAATATTGTCAAATAGGATTTAGAACAATGTTCCAAGCAGACAATCTTGGAAAAAAAGACTGGTAGGTGAAGGAAATTAATGTAGAAAATGTATTCAATGTGGAAAAACATTTATCGTGAGCCAGCTTTGTCCCATTCCTCCTGCTCAGTGTTGTCCCCCGTGATTAACAGCTCTGTTCTATTCTATGTCTTGTCCCCCTCGCAATTCCGCCCTCCTGCAGAGCCGTGCCGATGATCGCATTGTCACAAAGGTCGTCACCAAAACGATCATTCAGGGTGAGAGGACAGAGGTGCATTCTGGGGGGGGTGTGAGAAAGATAGTAAATGCTGCCAAGGTCAAAAAAAAGTGTTCACAAGGTAACGCTCTGTGGGCCTTTGCAGCTGGATCATAAAGATGCGGCAATAGCATAGGCTTTGCAAAGCTTTTAAATCAGTGGCGTAGTGTGGTTAACATGGGCCCTGGTGCAATGATCAATTGGGGCCCTCTGTCCAATGCCCCCCCCCTCTTCATAACCCGGTGCCCTGGACCCCCACTGGCCCAGCGAGCCTGGCTGCATTTGTACTGCCTGCAAATTGGAGCGTGCAAGCAGCTTACGCCACTGTTTGTAGAGTCCACGTTGGATTGGTGGAACAGGTAAGCAGCGTTGTCTGGGCCGCGAGCCCATCCGATGCTGGAACGCCGTACTCCCCTGCCTGTCACAATTATTCAACGTCGACTTTGGTATGCAAACAGGTTTGCAATGCCTAGGTTTGCAATGCCTACTTTGGCTTCGATCAAAATATGTGCTCACTCCGTGCTCTTTTCAACAGCCCAGTGAGCCCATTCAACAAGGGGCGTGAACTCTAAAAAATAATCTCAGAAAATGCTTACTGGGTAGTCTGGGGGTTGAGCTGACATCTTTTAGTTAAATTACTCTCTCTCTACATATGAATATAGTGTGTGACCAAAACCACCAGAAATTTTCACGATCTCGTCAGATCTTGAATGCTAAGCAGGTTTTGTGCCTGGATTAGTGCTTGGTTACCGTGACCCTCGTGCCTTGCAAGTGTTGTCGGCTAAGTGGCTATGTTATGGTCAGCAGATGGCAGTCAACCTAAATCCACTGTTGTACTTCTATGCTCTCACATCCATTCTACTGGCCATCACCAACCCCCACTGACTAGAATGGTGAAGTATGGTCAAATAACCACAACGGTCCCGTACGATAGCTCATCGGATTCCTCCTCCAGTCTTAATAAAGATTCTGATTCGAGATTGAAAAGGGCTGTACGTATCCACGTGTGAAACATTGTATAAATATGCATGCGTTGGCTGTACAGATATTGTATGTGCGATTATGTTTATTGTCAGAAGGCGCTGACCAATCTACAATAAGTTTGCTCCCCTTGTATAATAAAGGATACAGTATAACAAAATAATTATTACTCTAATTTTATATTGCATATGTAATCGCAACGGATGTATTTGCATTTCTCACAGTGATTCTGTAAAAAAAAATAGACTTTAGAATCGTATATAAATAAAATTCTGCTGTTGTTTCTCCTTGCCCCCCTCGATATCGTAACAGAGTAACGGTGCAAAAGAGCAGCACTGACTGCCCAAGTGGAGCTACCACGGAGCGAGGAAGGGCCACAGCTTGGAGAGGGATTCTGGGAAGCGTGCCACACGAGACTGGAAGGCGACTTCGTGCAGTAAAAAAAAACAAATCAAACGTGTAGAGGGGAGAGATGATTGTGATCCTTGGTGAGTGCAGATTGTGAGTGGCTTGGGGAGGCCTTGAGCAATGCTGCGTTGGGTGTGACCCGTACTGGATTAGAGTTACCATTTAATGCACTGCATGATGCAACAAACAAACAAACAAAAATGCTTTATTTTAAATTTCCATGTTTAATTTTCAGCCAAAGACACTCTTGTTGAAACATTTTTATTTTTTGTGAATCACTTTCCTGTAAAAAAAAAGTTCAATAAAAAAAGGGGAAAAAAATTGTCAAACACAAGTTTTGAAGGTCGTAAAATCCATTAATTGTAATCCACCGCCACATTGGTATGTTATAAGGTGATTTTGAAAAAAAATAAAATTATAACTTATACTATTACTAAAACTTGTTATGCTTTATTAGAGCACAGTAATTTAGCTGGGCTAAATGATGTCTGGTATTGTATTGCGTATTCGAGAGGCGTTGCAGATTACTGGCCTGGGATCGGGCAGACAAATCACACAATCCTGTATATAAGACTGCCATGTTATTGCTTGTAACAATTATGTTGATGCAGCCTTGGCATGGAGGTCATTACTTCCTTCAGCTTATTATGTCCCCCACCCCTCTTAACTTAAATGGCCATCATTGACACACAATGTAAACACAAACATGTACATAGGAGTTGCCATTGAATGTACTGTAGTGATGCCATGCACCGTAACACTCATTCTGTATAAAATCTCACGAACAAAAAAGGTTTGTTTTAAAATACCGAAAAACAAGTTTAACAAAACAATTATGAAACAAGTATGCATATTCAGCACTTATTTGCAAAACTCAGACCTTGTATATGAATAATGCAATTGCTGCCATCACAAAATCAGCTGTAAACAATGCTTGTATTTGAGTTTTCATCGTTCAAATCGCCATTATACACACGATTAGCGCTAAAGCACATATTTAAAGGGACGAAATTACGTTTGAGAAAATTGCCAATTATCATGCCTGCTGCATGCACTTCTACATTAAAAAGATGTATGTACGATGACTCACTTATACTGTATAACTAAATTGCGTAGTTACTTGTGCGTTCTGTGGACTTATTTTCGGTGGCTGGGATTTCTCTAATACAAAAGCATTCATCTCTTTGATTTTAATGAGAAGGGAAAAAAACCCTGCGTTTTGGGGTCAATGCGAGAGACAGAAAGTGGACATTTTGATGGCAGTAAGCCAGCCCCACTTACTCCCAGGACACACAGAAGTTTGCATGGGTTACCTGTTCCATCCTGAGTAATGCTTCATTCTAACCAACGTCAACTCAAATAGAACTTGTTATTTTATTTTACACGTGTACTTTACATCAGTGCAGCTGTTGGTTTAGCCGCCTGTCAACATGTTGGCATTGACAAGGTAATAATCTCGAAGAAAATAATTTTCCAAACTTGGCCATCTTCGGATGGAATCTCAAAACATCGGTAAGGGCTGTTCATTCCAAGCAACTTATGGTTTTAATGTGCAGGCAAAATGACAAAAATCAAGAGTACATTACGGCTCAAGTGGAAGTTAATAGTTTGTGTGTAAAGTACAATATATATTTTTCCTATAACTTCAGAAAGTGGAGCAAGTACTGTACTTTTTTTTGTCCAGAAAAATATTGGAAAGTGCCTAAAAAACCAAAATTCCCAAAATTTAACCGTAGGGTTTTTTTTAGAGCTTAGTTTTTACGACTAATAACCGCACTTCCCACCGTCCCTTGAGCTGTGGTCACTGTCTGTGAATCAAAAACACGCCTGCTCACCACCTTCCACCACCCCCCCCCCACACTATAGCGCGCGTCTCTTTGTAAAAAAAATTAAACTAAAAAACATTACCACTTGCGGGCATTTCAATTTAGGTAAAGGGTCATTTCTGTTTGCTTATTTCACTTTGCTTTGTTAAAAATCCTGCTTTAGTGGGCTACATTGAAATGCGTAATTTATGACGAGATAATTGTAGTGATAATGGAACATAGATCACTGACTTGTTACTCACAATAAAGTATTTGTGTCTTAAACATGTCTTCATCTGGTCCCATTAAATACAATCGTGTATATTTTTCTGCAATACGTATGCCGACTTTGCAGTGTAAATAACGAACCATGTAATTCATGCATTTGTATACACGTGCAAAGGCAATTGAAAACGTACCTTTGGGATGTAGTGCAAAGTAAAAAATATATATTGTATTTAGAAAATTAAATGCAATTATTGTAAAATTATTACGTAAGTACATGTTCTAGTTTCATATAAACATAATATAGAATGTACCAGTGCCGGAGGTGTCAGCACTCGGCAATGGGGGGGCCCTGTCACAGTGCAGGGGTGGGGGGGCTTGCAAACAATGTCAAGTATGACAATCTTGTGACAACCCTGCAATGTGTGATGTACTCATTCCCCTTGTAGGGTAGAGATATCAAAGGCTTTAAATGATCATTTTGCTCATGAGCTCATTGACCTTCCTTAAACTCTTCATTAAAATCCTCTGCCCAGGTGAGAGCTCTGGGTTTTGTTGGCAATTGGCATTCTTGTTTTGACCCAGTCTTACCGAGATTAATGATCTCTTCATTGGTATCCTTGAACCAGGTGATAGCCCTTTGAGATCCAATGTCTCGTTGTGAATGATGCCCTTAATGTAATCATATTACAGTCTCGCGATATGCATTGTGGTGACACCATTTCACCAAAGTGATAGCCCATTTTGAGGTCTCTGAATGGTGTCCTTAATCTAGCAGATGAGGGCCCACTGAGACCACCTGCCGAGACGCTTTATCCTGCAGGTAAGACTCCGCTGAGATTCTCCATTTATTGTAATCAATGTTTTTGTTTCAAGCGCCAGCCAATTGAGATTAATGATCTTGTTGGTTCACCTTTGGCAGACAGCCATTGAGATTATTACAAAACAGGTCCCTGCAGGGTGGGCTGGTAGGACAAGTCTCTGCGTTGTCTATTGCTGAATTTACACCCAACAGCACGAGATTTCACTTCGTTAAAGTATTGAAAGCGGACGGACGGACACATTAATCTATTGCAGGCTGGTACACTCAGTTCACAACTTCGTTCCTACCAGTATAATTGTACGCTATATATGTCTATTGATGCAAAGATGTGGCACAGTAAAAATAGGAAAACTGTTGATTTTAGCTTCAAGTGCATGCGTGGCATGTGACATGTCACTGATTTGTTCACTACGATCATTTATAAATGCTTGCAATGTGCATCGGATCATTAACCGAAGAATCAGTTAGATATAACTTATTCTGGTCCCATTAAACACAATCGTGTATATTTTTCTGCAATACGTATGCCGACTTTGCAGTGTAAATAACGAACCATGTAATTCATGCATTTGTATACACGTGCAAAGGCAATTGAAAACGTACCTTTGGGATGTAGTGCAAAGTAAAAAATATATATTGTATTTAGAAAATTAAATGCAATTATTGTAAAATTATTACGTAAGTACATGTTCTAGTTTCATATAAACAATATAGAATGTGCCAGTGCCGGAGGTGTCAGCACTCGGCAATGAGGGGGGGCCCTGTCACAGTGCAGGGGTGGGGGGGGCTTGCAAACAATGTCAAGTATGACAATCTTGTGACAACCCTGCAATGTGTGATGTACTCATTCCCCTTGTAGGGTAGAGATATCAAAGGCTTTAAATGATCATTTTGCTCATGAGCTCATTGACCTTCCTTAAACTCTTCATTCAAATCCTCTGCCCAGGTCAGAGCTCTGGGTTTTGTTGGCAATTGGCATTCTTGTTTTGACCCAGCCTTACCGAGATTAATGATCTCTTCATTGGTATCCTTGAACCAGGTGATAGCCCTTTGAGATCCAATGTCTCGTTGTGAATGATGCCCTTAATGTAATCATATTACAGTCTCGCGATATGCATTGTGGTGAGTGACACCATTTCACCAAAGTGATAGCCCATTTTGAGGTCTCTAAATGGTGTCCTTAATCTAGCAGATGAGGGCCCACTGAGACCACCTGCCGAGACGCTTTATCATGCAGGTAAGACCCCGCTGAGATTCTCCATTTATTGTAATCAATGTTTTTGTTTCAAGCGCCAGCCAATTGAGATTCATTATCTTGTTGGTTCACCTTTGGCAGACAGCCATTGAGATTAATTATAAAACAAGTCCCTGCAGGGTGGGCTGGTAGGACAAGTCTCTGCGCTGTCTATTGCTGATTTTACACCCAACAGCACGAGATTTCACTTCGTTAAAGTATTGAAAGGGGACGGACGGACGGACACATTAATCTATTGCAGGCTGGTACACTCAGTTTACAACTTCGTTCCTACCAGTATAAACAAGATTCTGCACTGCGATTAGCCAGGTGAGAGCATGCCCATTCATGATCCATTATCCACTTCTCTTCACATTAAAGCCGATTGAGATAGCAATACTTCCCAACGTAACTTATTTAAGGGAGGTTGGACGAGTCCAAGTCCATCCGTGGCTGACTGAAACGCACATCTGCTCGTTTTGGTGCGCAATGGCCAACGCCTACAGCCAGTGATGACGTCATATGTTTCATTGCTGCCAAGCAGGCGCCGTCGAAAAAAAATATGAATTGAACTTTTAAAATCGGTTAAGGCAGCGGTAAACAAAATTATACAATAAAAAAAACAATCCAAATGTAACAGGTACGGCGTCATGTAGATATTCCATTACGGTCCGCATTGTATGACGTCATAAATGTTATGCAACCTGATGGGCAGGGATTCACGTCTTCATATCACGAGAGCCGTATGACGTCAGAACGGGTATGTTACCGGGCGGGCCAGAATGACGTGCCAGGGCGCGCGCAAGAAAAACGACGTCACGCGAGCCGACGAGCGACGGTTCTGTTTCATCGATCGTCGGCGGCATGACGTCATCGGGTATTTAAAGCGCGCGCGCGGCGAGTGGCCACGTGACAGAGGCGGTCGCAGCTGCTGCTGGCGGCTGAGCTTGGAGCTGCAATATTTTGTGGGTAAAAAAATGTTCAGCACGGAGAGAAAATGTTTATTATTGATCGTAGTGAACGGCACAGCGATGATTTTCTCCGTCTAAATGGCACGGTCGCCTAATGGCTGCATAGCCTTGTGTGTGTGTGGAAGCGGCGGGTTTTTATATTTTAAATATTGCAATGAATCGGTCGTTGTGAATGCCGCTGTGTGTCTTGTGCATCTCGCAGGAGGAGAACGGTCGTGACTGCTTCACGCGCGGTTTTGTTGTTCAACGTGGAGTGTAACGCCCCTGTGATGTGAGATTTAACGTTTGTATCGCCGTGTGAAAATTGTTGAGTTTATTTTTTGTAAAAAAAAAAGATTTTTAGCAATATTTGGTGGTGGCTCTGGTGTCGATAACCACGCTGTTTACGCGTCTTCTTTCTCGAAGTCTTTTGCCGTGTGTCCTATGCATTTCATTGCCTCTCCTCCCGCACTGAAGTCCCGATCGCCTATTGCTGCAGCATTGTCTTCATTTAGCCAATTTTGAGAACCCGCTGACATCAACACGCTTTGCTAAGCTGTACTTTGGGTAAAATTTAAATAAGCTATTTACCAGGGTGTACGTGTGTTGGCGCATTATACAGTAGAGTTGTATTTAATGCAGTACACACGAATTGGGTGTTTCAAACATTCCTAATGTATTAGCGGCGTCCTGCTGCATTTGATTGCTCAATTTCAGCAGTGAGCGCAGCACGCCTGTTACCTGGGCGAATACCTTCGCACCAGGAGGAGATAACGCGCACGCATCCGCACAGACGGATTCAAGAATCCACACTGTCCTGGCCACCTCGCTGACCTCAAAGTGGGTTTGGGGAGTTCGATAAATACCTTCTCTTGCGCGATCCACTTTGATCCTCGCCTCCTCCATGGGCGCTGGGCGTTAAGAGGGGGCGACTGGGAGCGTTAAGAGGGGCGACTGGGGGCGTTAAGAGGGGCGACTGGGGACGTTAAGAGGGGCGACTGGGGGCGTTAAGAGGGGCGACTGGGGGCGTTAAGAGGGGCGACTGGGGGCGTTAAGAGGGGCGACTGGGGGCGTTAAGAGGGGCGACTGGGAGCGTTAAGAGGGGCGACTGGGGACGTTAATAGGGGCGACTGGGGACGTTAATAGGGGCGACTGGGGACGTTAATAGGGGCGACTGGGGACGTTAAGAGGGGCGACTGGGGGCGTTAAGAGGGGCGACTGGGAGCGTTAAGAGGGGCGACTGGAAGCGTTAAGAGGGGCGACTGGGGGCGTTAAAACAGCAAAGCGACACGCCAGACGCGATGAGATAAACGATGACGATCGCTCCTCGGGTGCGTCCCTGCCCGGGGGAAAGGCAGCGACACCCATCGCTAAATTGTGCTCGAGCCCAGCAGGGACCCTCCAACTCTGATTGCATGGCGTTGTGTGGCTCGACTGGCAATCTCTTAAGTGGGTGCTACTGAGTCTGCCTGCATCGTCGAGTCGGGGGCTGGGCGGCGGCGGTGAGGAAGCTTAGCCGCCTGCGGTTTCAGGGATCGAGCATCGGTGGTGGTGGTGGTGATGGCCGTCTCATTGGGCTTGCGCACAGAGGCAGCAATGGGTCGTCGTCCCGGGGGGCCACTCCCGCCGGCCCTGAACCTGGCCGCACTCTTGCTGCTGCTGCTCACGGGGTGCCCCCGCAGCCTCGCGGAGGCCCAGCGGGCCCCGTGTAACGCGAGCGCCACCCCCCCGGGAGGGGTGTTCAGCTTCTGCCCGCTCTCGATGGACGGGCGGCCCGTGCCCCTGGAGCGGTACCGGGGTCGCGCCACCCTCGTCGTCAACGTGGCCACCTTCTGAGGGCTTACGAGGACGCAGGTGCGTGCTTGGGAGAGCGAAAGGGGGGGGGGCCCGCTCGTTGTTGACACGTCCACTCGCCTGCCCGTCGGAAGAATCTCAATAATGGTTTGCCTTCTCGGCATCCGAGTCCGGCGTCTCTTATCATCGGAAGCATCGGAATTCCTGGATCTGCGACGTCACCTTTATCAGAATCGATCATGATAAGTACTGTATCCGC